ATTGGTGGCCAGAACGTTTTGGCAGTTGGAAAGTTATCTAGTCGCCCAGTCTCCCCTCAACCAGAAGTATTTCTTACTGGCCAGACCTCGACCTCACTCCTAATATTGCTATCTCTATTGGAAGGGGGTGGGGAGATGGTGACACTTTGAGTCCACGTTTACAGCTGAGTGCATAACTTTTTAATGTCGCCATTATCACTTCCTAGTAACAGCGATTTTAGCAGGCTAATTGTAAATCAACGCACGGCTGTAGTTGTCAATTATAACTCAAAGCTCCTCTCTGGACTTTAAGAGGTGTCAGACTCTGTGGGACAGGAGGGGAAAGTGCAGTCTTTATACCCACAGATCTGGGTGACTTTTCAGCTATTTCCCCCCTTTTAATTTAAGTTATTTTTATCTGAGTATCCAACTGACTCTTTCTCTGCTGTCTATTTCCGTCCTCACAGTGTGGTGCCGGCTGAGCTGCCGTGTGTAGGTTACTGACTTAGTTTCAGGGCCCTGAGTAACTGGGTAAGCATTTCACTGTTAGTCTACACCTGTTGTTTATGAAGCATGTGACGAATAGCATTTTGGTTTGATTTAACTGTCTGAAACGTATACATGCTGGAGAGAAATGTAACATGTTTGAGAAAGAGTGACTTTCTGTCTGGGTCATTTCTCTTCTGTTTGGAAATCTTTAAAATATGATAGGCCTAACTACTAAGGTCAAAGGTAAAGGCATCCTGAAGTAGAAAATCACAGGGAGAAGACCAGGGCCATATCATAGCTGGGGAAAGAAAACAAATCTCAGGTTAGGCCCTCCGTTAGTGGAGTTTGGACTGGACTGTGAAAGCAGCGGTATCTGAAGCAGTCACACAAACACCACGTCCCCACCGCTGCCCTTTGCTCCTTTCCCTCCCTTGATCTTGTTTGTCTCCTGCACTAATTTATGGTCTAAAGGTGAAACGTCTCGTCCACTCGCTTACTGCGGCTGACTCATGTTTATCCTTCTGACTTTCTAGTAAACAAAATACTGACGTTATCATTCATTCCCCCTCCCAAGAATGTGACTGAAGTGATGCAATCAATGCTCTTTATTGCTGTGTTTTTTAAACAAGATCCCCAGACAGTATTGCCTGTTGGACTGTGTTGTGTTTGGTGTGGTTACAGTTAGTGGCAGGTGCCAGTTACAATGAGCCTGTCCTCCTATAGCGCCTCCCACCAGCATCCTCTGGTGTAGAGGAGGTGGTGGTGGAGTGGTGCTCTATAAACTGCTGTCCCTTGAGATTGTCCCTCTCTGAGGAATGTGATTCATGTGAAAGTTGGTGTCATGTGGAGGTAAACAAATGCACCGTCCAATAAATCAGTCTGGATACAGGAGCTGGTATACAGGGCTAGGGGGGACCTCTCTGCAACACTCTCAAGTCTGTCAAAATGGCCCTTTAGGCTTCACCCCTCCATCTCCCTCAGACAGTAGCTAAGGGGGAAAGTAAGTTTGTCCTTTTCTGTGGCTGTGACTTTTAGACTGTGGTGATGAAGCAATAGGGATGTGTGGACTAGAGATTGTTAGGGAGGCGAGGAAGTAGGCTAAGTGTTTGTGTGTGGGGAGGGTTGAGGTGATTGTGTTGTGGTGGTGTTTCGCTTCACACTAGTTAAAAAGTGTAACACAGTGTGGTCAAAGACTTAGTAACTTAGTTGTAGTCACAATCTGGTTACCTACAAGAGTGTGCAAAGCTGTCATCAGGGCAAAGGGTGGCTATTTGAAGAATCTGTTTAACACTTTTTTGGTTACTACATGATTCCATATGTGTTATTTCATAGTTTTGATGTCTTCACTATTATTCTACAATGTAAAAAATAAAGAAAAACCCTTGATTGAGTAGGTGTGTCCAAACTTTTGACTGGTAGTGTATTTCTAAAACTTTGGTTTACTTTAATGAAGCTACAAGCTAGGTGTTAATAGCAACTGGCTGACTCGTAGTGCTAACGTAACGTTAGCAGCCTGGTAGGGCTAACATCAGCAGGCTAGTAGGACTAAAGTTAGCAGGACTAGTTGGCTAGCAACCTTGCAAGTTGATTTGTAACAATAAATTCATAAAGTATTTGCTTGTAAGTTGGCTGAAAATGTAATTGAAACCAATAGTCATGAGTGCAAATGATGTTGTTTAATTTAAAGTTATACATTCTGTTAGTTTACCACCCCTTCGACCTCCTCTTAACCTCCCCTCCCCAACACCCCCTTTGATGACGCAAGTTTGAAAGGAAAACATGTTATTGTGCAGCAGAAGCAGAGCTCAGTGTGCTTGTAGCCTGTACCTGCGTGACCAAGCGGCGGTCTAGCCCCGGCTGTCCCACATCTCCTGGCAGACAAACAAAACCCCCCGCTCTGCACCCCTCCTCCCCCGGCCTCCCCCCTGCTGCGCATCGCTCACAGTATCCACGCTGACACAGCCACTTCCATCACGGAAAGCACATAAAACATTTAGCATTCAAACTCTCCCCTGCTTCTCTCGCTCTCTCTCTGACTCTCTCCTCCTTTTCTCTCTGTCTTTCTCTTGTTCTTTCATAAGAAAAATAGGCCATTTGCGGGGCTGTATGTAAGTTCACACCTGAGTTGTGACTCTTCCCTCTCTGCTTCCTCCACTTGAAGAATCAGACTGACCTCTCCTGTTGGCAGGCAGGACTAGATAGATTGCTGCTGCTGCCTGTACAGGAGCTGAGCTGCCCAGGCTGCTGCCCACCAAAGGAGCTTGGTCACTCTGAGCTCGATTAGAGCTGATCTGTCTAATGAGTTAGTCCAGAGCTGAGGAGAACCTGCAGCCGTCCTAAGATGTGAACAGGCCCTTCTCAAAGGGGGATGAGAACCTAAGGTCCTTTGGGTCACAGTTGAAACTCGTTGGGAAAGGGGAAGTGGTTTAGATGGTGTAGGTGAGCGGCTGTAGGTTGCTACGTTTTTGGCAACGATGACAATCATGCCCACCTGACCCGAGAAGCATGGGAAAGCTAGCACGGCATTGTGTGTTTGATACCTCCTGTTGTGCCACCCTATGTGCCATCAGGGGTTTCAGGCTGCAGATTAGCTTCAGTTGTTGCTGACAAGATGGACATTTGGATTGGCCAACAGGAAGAGAAACATAATAAAAAATATAATACATAAAATGCTGGGTACTAAGCACATCCTCATCCGGTCCAGCTCTCTCTCTGTAGTAGAAGTTGTCCCGCCTGAGCCCAGAAAGTACCACGGCCACAAATCGTCCTGTACCAGGGCTGTTGTCGGCCCTCCTCTCCCATTGCATTTGGGAGAGGATGTAGTTATATTTGTATATATTGTGTGAGCGCTCAATTTACCAGTGCCACTGTTTGATGAGAGGTCGATACAGATGGGTGTTATTTATAGCTTTCAGTCTGACTCAGCTTTGGGGGGACTGTCTAAAGTTCATTGGGGGCATAGCGGGGGTGTTGGGGTAGAGGGGTTGGTACAAGGGGGTCACCAGGTATGGGGAAGCTGGCATGGACCTCTAGTTGTTTGATGACACTGAGAAATCACACCTCCGTCATGGGGACTTTTGAGTCATGACTTATGTAGTGTTCTGTTTGACACTGTATGACTCTGTGGCTGGTCTTCAGAGACCTTTTGGGTGGCTGCATGTTGGACCCCTTCTCCCTCTCAACTTGCCCCCACTTCCACACCCAAACACAGCCGCTTACACTCGAAAGACCCACTCAGATGTTTCTGTGGATCCCTGGTGGCGTGTTTTCCCATTCGTGTCCCTCCCGCTTCTGCCCTGATTACTAATCTTGTTTCCTCCTCCTCCACTTTGACTCACACTGCCAGACACAGGGATGACATCTCTCACTTCCTGAGAATCCTACCAGCCCCCCTCGCCCTCCTTCCCCCTCCTCTCCACTCCTTGCTGCTAGACGTGTTAGGCACAGTCAGTGTGTGGGTGGTCAAGAGGAAACTAAGAAGAGCATTGGCTGCTCTCAAATAAATAAAGCATTCTGTTGCTGCCCGCCGGCCTGCGCTGTGAGCAGGCCAGTGATATGAGGTTGTTTAGCTGGTGTCTGGGCATTGGCAGGTGGAGATTGTCACCAGGAGGCCAAGGAGGTTTTCCTGACCTGGACTCTGCTTATAAGCCCTAATCGTCAGTCAGCTCCACTCCAATAGGATGGCTCACACTTCAAGTGAATGCCCAGAACTTCCTCATCTATCAAACTACTGTGATCGGTCACATGATGTTAGGTACTTCCCTCCTGCCTGTCTTCATCCTGTTGGATTGTATCCAAATCCAGTGATTGACAATGACCAGATGTACAAGCCAGTCATGTCATGACAATGATCTGATGCACCAATCATGTCAGGCAGCTTTGCAGTGCAGGCTGGAAGTGGACATCACCGCTGTGTCCTGATTGGATTGTTGCCCGGCATGTGGAAGCAAGAGTATAACCTTTGACCTTTGAGAAGAAGCTAATGGTCAGGGTCAGTACAGTGAGGGTCCAGAGCCTTTACACTGAGAGACATACTAAGATTCTGGACAACTAGAGGTTTCATGTGGAGGGAGTCACAGGTACATTATGAGATAGAACTTGAATGGAATGTCATATTCTTGATGTACAAGCACCCAGTCTTGCATACACACATTCTATCTCTCTTCCTCGCTCTCACACCCCATCTCTCACACTCTTTCACAGTCTGGGCCTGAAAAGCGCAGTGTCAGAGTGCGCAGTATCTGTGTCTCAGCTGTGCCTGTCCCTCAGTGCCAGCGAGCCGGCCGCGCCGGGAGAGATGGAGGGAGAGAGGAGCATGAGTGTCCTCAGCGACCTGACCTGACCCAGACACAGTGGGCACCACGAGGGCATGGGCTTAGCTTCCCCTGCCCCTGCCACACTCCCTCGCCCTCGCTGGGTCTGCACCCTATTTCCTCGGCTCGCTCAGGACGAGGTTAGCTCGGAGACAGTTCTAGAAGAAGATTTACCTTTTAGAACTTTCTATAGACAGTGGTGCCTTCTCTTGTGACCACATGACAAAGGACAAGGTCAGTCAGGAAAGTAGTCTGGCTGTCGTCAGCGTGACGGAAGGGAAAGCGTTCTATGCACTGTTGTTCTAAACACTGAAGTAACTTTTTGGCAGCTTTGTGAATGAGTTGCTGTCTTCAAAGTTCAAGGTGATCTTTCCATTCACAGGGGAGCTCTAACAGTACTGCATTACCTGGCTGTTACCTGGCTCTGTCAGGTGTGCCTGTATGAGAGCTTGGAGATCATGACCGGACAGTGGAGAGATGACGGTGGTCCTCCTTGCCCGTGTTGTTGTGGCGGCGAGTGTGTTAATGTAGGTTGTTAGTGTGTCAGTGTACCAGCCAGGCATCCACAGTGTCATTGCGTGAGTGAGTGGGAGGGAAACGGACACCAGTGACTGGTACAGTGGGAAACTGGAGTCCAAAAAGCTTCCTTTTGCTTTGAAGCATACAGATCTACCTCTTTACCTCCACTCTCCCTCCCTTCCATCATTCCTTATCTCGCTCTTTTCCCCCCCTGCCTTTTGCCCTGTGTCCAACTTTGGCTTGGTGGCACCACTGCTCCTGTTACCCTAACAGGGTATAAGAGGGGTCAACACGGACAGGGGCGGGGAGGGGGGAGGGACGGGTGGTTCAGCTGTTGGCTTTACACCCCCCACCACATTTCCTTCCTGTTCCTTAGAGACAGGGAGTGGGCTGGTCTGTTGCTATGGTGACACACTGATTGGCAGCTGTATTTGGTCAGCTATAGAGGGGGGGTGGTGGGTTCCTCATGGCCCATGCATGGTTAATTGGTGCAAATGATTACTTCAGACACCCCTGTCTGTATATGTTTAACCCACTCCGATTTGACACTTGCATAAGTGAGGATGAATTCTACCCCAAGCAGTACACCTGTGTGTCTGTATAGATGGCTGTGTGCCCTTACCTACTATATTTTATTAATATCCAGCCCCATTAGAGACAACATTTGTGTGAGTGCTTTGGCCGGTTGGGGGAGAGAGCGAGAGAGAGAGGGAGGGAAATATGTAACAGGCAGAGAGAAATAGAGGAGGAATAGGGAGGGAGAGAGCGGCATTGTGGGAAGGGTTGCTGATACAGCACAAGCTACCAGGTTTATTTATAGAGACCTCGCCGCCCAGCCCTTGGATACTAGCAGCCAATGAGCAGCCAGAGAGGAAGGGGGTGTCACACTCAGGAAGTTCTCAATGTGTTCACTTCAGCATTTAAAGGCACAGTGTGACATTACTCAGTGCTCGGCAGATAGCCCTCATAACTATCGTCATTTCCCTCCCAACTGAGGCCAGGGCAGAACAAGGCCTCTCATAACAACAGCAGTTTCCATGCGTTATGAGAATTTTCTTCTGTTTTTTTTTGTAGACCGATTTTCTACCGTTTTCTTTGCAATTCTGATCCAAGTGCATCTACAGTCATTACTGTAGCATAAAACCACAACATTGCAGGTGCAGCTGTCCTATTTAGTTTGACCATTTAAAGCTGTGTTGTATTGTTAAACTCTCACAATGCATGGCCAATGCTGATGGAGATTTATTAAACAGTCTTTGCTGTAGAACATTGTCATATTGATCTGAAAGGCTGATTAACTGTAACTCTGTAAGCTCTGGATACAGGTCTGCGTGAGTGCAGTTACATGCACACAATAATGCGATTATTGTGGATAGTCAGATTAATATAATTGTTTGATTAAAACGTTGACATGCTTTGCAAGAAGAACGATTTCCCTAATAATCCTGTTTACATGGACACATCTGAAATCAGGCTACCTGAAAATAAATGTTGTACCACAGCGAGCATATTTGATTCTGAGTTCGGACATTGTATTTGAAAATGACTTCTAAGATGCATACATTGTTGTTCCGAACACACTTCACTCGCGCTAAAGAGGGAGGCTCGCCCGGCTGGTGCTAGCACATGCGCAGATCAAAGACACCGCTGGAATGTCGGTGTTTACATGTCCGAATAATTTAAAAGATTGCTCAGAAAACCAGTTGTTTTAAGATGAACAGAGTAAGGTGTTTACATGACTATTGCATAATCTGCCTACTGCCATAATCCGTTTAATATTGAATTATTAGTGTGCATGTAAATGTACTGTGTGTGTGTGTGTTTCGAGTTTTATTAGTCGTATGTACAGGATACACATGGCATACACTGTTCAACGAAGTGCTTACTTGCAGGTACCTTCTCGACAATGCAACAACAATGATAAATATTATAAATATGTTTGTGTCCATGTGTTTCTCTTTTTCTCTGTATTTGTGCCGAGAGAGAAAGCAGTTTGAGATGAGTCACGTATGTCATGTTTCCTCCTTCCCTCTCAGCCCCCCTCCTGATGCCAGTGTTGGGACTCCTCCTATCACAGGAGTGAATGCATGCAGTCACTCTTCAGGATTGATGGTGCACAGACGTGCTGTTTTGCACTTTGTTTAAACTACGGCCATTGATCGGCGGGCTATTTCAAGTTGTAATGTGTCGTTGATAAATTTCACCCCCATTACTCCTCACTTTAAAAGCCAGTGATGAAAGCATTGGCTGTGAAATATCTCATCAATTTCATATACCCCCTTTTCATATTCCTCTTTCTGCACTTTACCGGAGACATGCAATTAATCTGTTGGTTCTGCAGGACACTAGCACAGTGGTCGAGGTTTTCATCAGCAACTTAGGACATTACACTGGAAGATGTGTTGAAAGGGTTTGCACTAAAAGTAACCAAACCGTTGAACAGGACATGTTGTTGGTACTGTTCAGTAGTGTAAAGTCATTGGTGCACCATGTCCTCTGTTTAATCTTCCTCACATCTGGAGGGAAGAACAGAGTTGGGAACGGACAGACTGTATTAGTTAAGGGACATCATTTCCCTGTCATTTGACATTTTACCGGCAGCATTTTAATTTACCGGACATTTGAGAAATGTACTGGACCCATATGCATTGGGTACATAACCTGATTAGGGCGTCCACCCACTGTGCTCAGAATGACAGAAATCACATTTAGATTATGGTAATTCATATTAACAGAACATGCAAGTCGAGGATGCAACGATGTGCGGTCCATCTTAATGACTTCTGATGCGCACTTTGAAGATGCACATTTACTTTTCCTCAGCTAACAAGAAGAGTAACGAACAGCAAAATCACTAGCCTATGTCAATCTACTATCCCCCATAGTGGAAAAGTTTACCTATTCTATTGGTCAGCTTGTTGAGAAAGAAATGGCCTATTCCAAACTGACTCTGGGACAGTTGTGGGACGATAGATCCCAAATTCATCCAACCAGTAGGCCTAGGCTACATGAAAATGAGTCTGATGCAACCGATCAGAACGTTTAGCTTAAAATGATAAACTATTATTTCTTCACATTATAAGGGCAGCAATGGGCACAAGGCATTAGGCTACGCACAAATGTTCATTCTATAATGTAGTTAGTGGGAAAACACTTATCTAAAGTGTACCGCACATGCAAGTGGTTTCATGTGACAGAGATGGAAATATCTGTTAGAAATTTAGAAAGAGGGAGATCTAATATGCAACAACTAGCATGGGTTGCTAATATGACTAGGATTGTGCCTTTGGCTACTGGACAATGAAAGAAAAGTTTATTATAAAATAATTGCCTCTAATATGGTCTGATTTTGGCTAGGCTACTTTGAGGCAAGGTAAGACATGCCTCATAATATGTAGTAAAAAGTTCAGGTTTCAAACAATTAAGTATATGTTTTCAAAATGCGTACTGCCTCATTGCAAAATGGTGTGTGACACGCGGATGAAGCCTGCTTTCTGTTTACTATGCATTTGCTGTTTGAGACGCTGTAGCAGCAGCTCTCGCGCTGTCTGACAGATTTTCCACTATGATACATAACGAATATACTGTATATGCGCCAATTTAATTCCACTAAATTATGCAAATTAACCTATAGACCGATAAGCATGACCAGTCAAATGTATTTCCATCGACTGGTATTTCCATCAATGAATAGGCTAAAAAGCATTATTCTCCCAGACAATTGACCGGCGGCAATTTTATTCATCGGCTTTTCAAAAAAATATATATCGGCCAAAAGCCGTCTATTAGCGGCTAACGGAAACCCTGGTCTGAACTTAAACTTTGATTCAAACTTTAACTTAACAACCAGGATGAACGTCTTGTCATAAACCTTCTACCATCCACAACTAGGTCAAAGCATGGTCTGACCCCTTATGTGTTTAATGCCAGTGGAAGGAGTTTCCAGGCTGGTTTGCTGAGCCACTGGCGGATGTTTTTTGTTTTTGTGCGAGCGACCAGCCCCTCTCTAGCTAAGTAAGTAAGTGAGTGAGTGAGGTCAAAATTCTGCAGAGGCCAAGGTTTACCCAGGAGCCAGCGGTCCAAACTGCTGTGTCTTGGCTTTGGTGGAAATCAGGCTTGAGCGTGCGGCGCTGTCACCACCACACCGGACTGCTCTTACCAAGCCTGCTGTGTTCCAGCCATGCTTTTAGCTCGACTGCAGTTAAACTGCAGTCAAAGCAAAGTCTCAAGGCTGCCGAGAATCTCAGTCCAGTTGAGCCTGGGATTCTGACAGAAGAACAAGTCTGGTGGAACTTAATGACAAAGCAAAGCAGCACACTAAACAGTGACTCATCGTTTTTTTGTAGGATGATGCAACAGTGTTGTCATACAGTGGTTTGTCCCATTGAAGCCCATCTTTGCTAGCTCCCTTGACAGAATCAGAAGATTTTAGTGCTCACAACATTCAGCAACAAAAATGATTTGGTTAAGGTTCCATCTTCTATATCTTGTGAGAAGCCACCTCTCCTCCTGTCTTTTCATATAAAAGCAGGAGTTGGCGAGAAAGAGTTCTGCTTGGAAATGTCCTCCTGGTTTTGAGGTGTGACAATATGGTCTACTGACCTCCACAAAGGTCTCTTATATCTTTCTTGCCGTCACACACACACACACACACACACAGACACACCGGCCTTGTCAGGTTGACCTGCGCTAATGCTGTTTAGGCTGAAACAGGACACCCTCTTGCATAGAGATATTTCACTCCACCATTATTTCTGTGGTCTTTCTGGCAGGGAGCTAAATGGCCTTGAGGAGTGGTACCCTACTAAGTACCCACCCCACCCTTTTGCTCTTCATCTTTGATAGGGTGTATGTGTGTGACTTCAAGGAACAGCCAAGAAGGGTGTGAGAGCACGTGTGCTTTTCCTCTGCAGTGCAGTGCTCGTGCCCACACCCACGGCAGTGCATGTATGATGCGTGAGGAAGCTTCATGTCGATGTGTTTTTTCTAAAAACCTCTCCCTCTCTCTCTCTCTCTCTCTCGTCCTTTCTTCCCCCTTTCCTCCATCTCTCCGTCTATCCTGCGAAGGTGGAAGCAGCTCAGGATGCAAGCCCCCCTCCTCTACCCTCTGCCAGCCTGCCGCCTTGGGCTTCTCCCCCGCTGAGCCAACCATGTCGAGCCAGCACAGCCACCCCTCCTTTAGCAACATCCACTCCATGGCTGAACAGCAGCAGGTACCTAGCGGCTAACGCCCTCACAGCGCACTCCTCTAATGCTCTGTTTAGGAACAGACCTTACACTGATGCTATACACACACAACACACCCTGATGCTATACACACACACCTGACGGTGTACACACCTTATACTGACGGTGTACACACCTTATACTGACGCTGTACACACCTTATACTGACGCTGTACACACCTTATACTGACGCTGTACACACCTTATACTGACGCTGTACACACCTTATACTGACGCTGTACACACCTTATACTGACGCTGTACACACCTTATACTGACGCTGTACACACCTTATACTGACGCTGTACACACCTTATACTGAGGCTATACACACCTTATACTGAGGCTATACACACCTTATACTGAGGCTATACACACCTTATACTGAGGCTATACACACCTTATACTGAGGCTATACACACCTTATACTGAGGCTATACACACCCACAACTCATCACGTGCAAGTAGGTATTAGCATCACATACTGGATGGACATAATGAGAGGCTACCTACCTGTTGGATTGTAATATACATCCACAACCTCAAACACGTCAGCATCACATACTCTATTGACAAACAGCTACAACCACCATCACTGATACTATTCTGTGGCTAGGCAACAGTGTTGCGTGTATACATAGGTTAACTCAAACATGCACAGTTATGTCATTGGAAATTACTCCTTCCACTCGCATTGAATAGTGTCCTTTACATACTTTAGTTCTAATAACTGCTAGTTAGAACACTGCAGGGATGTCTTGGCCAGTTTTGGGGCTCCCCTCACCACCTGTCACCTGTCCCCTCCAGGTGCTGTCTGATGCGACCATACTGCAGAGGAGGATCCCCCCAAGTTTTCGAGATCCCTCCAGCGCCCCGCTGAGAAAACTCTCTGTCGATCTGATCAAGACTTACAAGCACATCAATGAGGTGAGTGAAGTGTGTCTGTCAGCCAGGACTGCTGCAGGAGCCATGATCTCCAGGAAACATCACCTCACAGCTGACCTGCTGGGATCCGGCCCGGGAGGGTCCAATCCGGCTCGCGGGTGGTTTGAGTAAAATAAAAATTTATTTATTTGTATTTATTTTATACTATACTATTATACTTTCAAATGACTAAAACCGAATCAAAATTCTGTAGAAATGATAATGGACCTACATACAGTTTCTTGACTGTCCATCTCGCTTATAATCACCGAAATGAAAGCTAGCAAGTCAGGGAACATCAGAAATTCCCCAAATGGATGTATAGAGGATTTTTTTGTGTGAATATTGACGGTGAGGAAGTATAACCAATTTTCAGTGTGACCTCGTTGAAGACCGAATGTGGCCTCCAGGGCAAAATGAGTTTTACACCCCTGGTATAAACATTAGATGTAGGGTTGCAAAATTCTGTTTACTTTACCAAATGTTCCTGGTTTTCCAGAAATCCCGGTTGAGTTTTGCAACCCTAGGTATATGTAACTTCATTAGCATAAACGGATGAACTAGTGAAGGATATCAGTTTTATCATTGGTTTGGTTCTCCGAGATCTATCCAAACAGTAGTATGGGAAACATCAATGACTTACCCCTCTTTCTCTTTTCCCGCCCATCCCTTCCTCTCTCCATCTCCTCTCCTCCGTGTCCAGGTGTACTACACGAAGAAGAAGCGGCGTGCCCAGCAGGTGCCCCCGGAGGACTCGAGCACTAAGAAGGAGCGGAAGGTGTACAACGACGGCTACGATGACGACAACTACGACTACATCGTCAAGAACGGGGAGAAGTGGCTGGACCGCTACGAGATAGACTCGCTCATCGGCAAGGGTTCCTTCGGACAGGTCAGTGGACATAGGGTAGAGGGGAGGGCAGGTCAGAGGAGAGAGGGGAGGACAGGTCGGTGGAGAGAGGGTAGAGGGGAGGACAGGTCAGTGGAGAGAGGGTAGAGGGGAGGACAGGTCGGTGGAGAGAGGGTAGAAGGGAGGACAGGTCGGTGGAGAGAGGGTAGAGGGGAGGATAGGTCAGAGGAGAGAGGGGAGGACAGGTTGGTGGAGAGAGGGTAGAGGGGAGGACAGGTCAGTGGAGAGAGGGTAGAGGGGAGGACAGGTCGGTGGAGAGAGGGTAGAAGGGAGGACAGGTCGGTGGAGAGAGGGTAGAGGGGAGGATAGGTCAGAGGAGAGAGGGGAGGACAGGTTGGTGGAGAGAGGGTAGAGGGGAGGACAGGTCAGAGGAGAGAGGGTAGAGGGGAGGACAGGTCAGTGGAGAGAGGGTAGAGGGGAGGACAAGGAGGAGAGAGGGGAGGAGGGAGGAAGAAGAGGATGGAATAAATTTGAGGAGGACCACTTCCAAAGTTGAAGGTGTGAAGAGTTGCATGTGGTGAATGAAGTATTTCTACAGACGTGAGGAGAATGAAGGGGTCATTGCTCTTGTGGGCCAGAGGAAAGAGGAGAGGGATAATGACTGTATTTTGTTTGGTGAAGGAGCTTTGCCTTCGCCCCTACCACCTGCAAATACTACAAACAACATGGCTGCCTGTCTGAGCTGTGACCTTTGCCATCCCGCAGGTGGTGAAAGCGTATGACCACCACGAGCAGGAGTGGGTGGCCATCAAAATCATCAAGAACAAGAAAGCCTTCCTGAACCAGGCCCAGATAGAGCTGCGACTGCTGGAGCTCATGAACAAACACGACACTGAGATGAAGTACTACATAGGTGAGGACGCGCACACACACACACTCTATCAGTGCTTTAAGCTCGCACTTAAGATCTAACACTATTGCATTGTATACCATCTACTAAAATTAATTGATACTGTGCCTCTTTGACGTCACATGCAACCCGCTCCACATTTAACATCTCACTTGAAATATAGACCAACGCCCTACTTCTCATATATCCCTATAAAAAAAGTATTTAGTCAGCCACCAATTGTGCAAGTTCTCCCACTTAAAAAGATGAGAGAGGCCTGTAATTTTAATCATAGGTACACATCAACTATGACAGACAAATTGAGGGAAAAAAATCCAGAAAATCACATTGTAGGATTTTTAATGAATTTATTTGCAAATTATGGTGGAAAATAAGTATTTGGTCACCTACAAACAAGCAAGATTTCTGGCTCTCACAGACCTGTAACTTCTTCTTTAAGAGGCTCCTCTGTCCTCCACTCGTTACCTGTATTAATGGCACCTGTTTGAACTTGTTATCAGTATAAACGACACCTGTCCACAACCTCAAACAGTCACACTCCAAACTCCACTATGGCCAAGACCAAAGAGCTGTCAAAGGACACCAGAAACAAAATTGTAGACCTGCACCAGGCTGGGAAGACTGAATCTGCAATAGGTAAGCAGCTTGGTTTGAAGAAATCAACTGTGGGAGCAATTATTAGGAAATGGAAGACATACAAGACCACTGATAATCTCCCTCGATCTGGGGCTCCACGCAAGATCTCACCCCGTGGGGTCAAAATGATCACAAGAACGGTGAGCAAAAATCCCAGAACCACACGGGGGGACCTAGTGAATGACCTGCAGAGAGCTGGGACCAAAGTAACAAAGCCTACCATCAGTAACACACTACGCCGCCAGGGACTCAAATCCTGCAGTGCGAGACGTGTCCCCCTGCTTAAGCCAGTACATGTCCAGGCCCATCTGAAGTTTGCTAGAGTGCATTTGGATGATCCAGAAGAGGATTGGGAGAATGTCATATGGTCAGATGAAACCAAAATATAACTTTTTGGTAAAAACTCAACTCGTCGTGTTTGGAGGACAAAGAATGCTGAGTTGCATCCAAAGAACACCATACCTACTGTGAAGCATGGGGGTGGAAACGTCATGCTTTGGGGCTGTTTTTCTGCAAAGGGACCAGGACGACTGATCCGTGTAAAGGAAAGAATGAATGGGGCCAAGTATCGTGAGATTTTGAGTGAAAACCTCCTTCCATCAGCAAGGGCATTGAAGATGAAACGTGGCTGGGTCTTTCAGCATGACAATGATCCCAAACACACCGCCCGGGCAATGAAGGAGTGGCTTCGTAAGAAGCATTTCAAGGTCCTGGAGTGGCCTAGCCAGTTTCCAGATCTCAACCCCATAGAAAATCTTTGGAGGGAGTTGAAAGTCTGTGTTGCCCAGCGACAGCCCCAAAACATCACTGCTCTAGAGGAGATCTCCATGGAGGAATGGGCCAAAATACCAGCAACAGTGTGTGAAAACCTTGTGAAGACTTACAGAAAACGTTTGACCTGTGTCATTGCCAACAAAGGGTATATAACAAAGTATTGAGAAACTTTTGTTATTGACCAAATACTTATTTTCCACCATAATTTGCAAATAAATTCATTAAAAATCCTACAATGTGATTTTCTGGATTTTTTCCCCTCATTTTGTCTGTCATAGTTGACGTGTACCTATGATGAAAATTACAGGCCTCTCTCGTCTTTTTAAGTGGGAGAACTTGCACAATTGGTGGCTGACTAAATACTTTTTTCCCCCACTGTAAATATAATGCTACATACATATCAATCCAGTAGCCTTGGTAATGATAAACCTGTCACAGAATCACCTCTACCTCACTAAGCTCCTATAGCACTGGGTGAGGTGATTGACACACAATAATAGATGGCATTTATATGGCCGAGCTGTTTTTCCATGTGGTCAAAGCACCTTGCTCTCCACTCTAAGGGCACACTGTCACTCTGGAAGTCCCCTCAACCACTACCCAGTAGAGTAGCGCATGGATAGGTACTGCGTTAAGTATACCTACACCCCCCCCCCCTCCCTCTCCCCTGTCACTGAAGAGGCACTTCATGTTCGGAACCACTTGTACGCTGGACCCAGGGTAGGGGAGGCAGGCTGGAGAGAAGTTAGAGGGGAGGACAGTCAGAGGAGAGCGGGTAGAGACAGGTCAAGGAGGGGTAGAGGGGAGGACAGGTCAGTGGAGAGAGGGTAGAGGGGAGGACAGGTCAGTGGAGAGAGGGTAGAGGGGAGGACAGGTCAGTGGGTAGAGGGTAGAGGGGAGGACATGTCGGTGGAGAGAGGGTAGAGGGGAGGACAGGTCAGTGGAGAGAGGGTAGAGGGGAGGACAGGTCGTGGAGAGAGGGTAGAGGACAGGTCAGGGAGAGGGGTAGAGGGGAGGACAGGTCATGGAGTGAGGGTAGAGGGGAGGACAGGTCAGTGGGTAGAGGGTGAGGAGGGTCGAGTGGAGAGAAGGTAGAGGCAAGGACAGGTCAGTGGAGAGAGGGAAAAGAGGGGGAGGACAGGTCAGTGGAGAGAGGGTAGAGGGGAGGGACAGGTCGGTGGAGAGCGGGTAAGAGGGGAGGAACAGGTCAGTGGAGAGAGGGTAGAAGGAGGACAGGGTCAGTGGGTAGAGGGGAGGACAGGTCAGTGGAGAGAGGGTAGAGGGGAGGACAGGTCAGTGGGTAGAGGGGAGGACATGTCGGTGGAGAGAAGGTAGAGGCGAGGACAGGTCAGTGGAGAGAGGGTAGAGGGGAGGACAGGTCAGTGGAGATAGGGTAGAGGGGAGGACAGGTCGGTGGGTAGAGGGGAGGACAGGTCAGGTCAGAGGAGAGGGGGTAGAGGGGAGGACAGGTCAGTGGAGAGAGGGTAGAGGGGAGGACAGGTCAGTGGAGAGAGGGTAGAGGGGAGGACAGGTCAGTGGAGAGAGGGTAGGGAGGGGAGGGACAGGTCAGTGGAGAGAGGGTTAGAGGGGAGGGGTTAGGGGGGGAAAGGACAGGTCAGGGGGAGAGAGGGGAGGCGGGAGGAAGAAGAGGATGGAAGAAATTTGAGGAGGACCACTTCCAAAGTTGAAGGTGTGAAGAGTTGCATGGGGTGAATGAAGTATGTCTACAGACGTGAAGAGAACGAAGGGGTCATTGCTCTTGTGGGCCAGAGGAAAGAGGAGAGGGATAATGACTGTATTTTGTTTGGTGAAGGAGCTTTGCCTTCGCCCCTACCACCTGCAAATACTACAAACAACATGGCTGCCTGTCTGACCTGTGACCTTGGCCATCCCGCAGGTGGTGAAAGCGTATGACCACCACGAGCAGGAGTGGGTGGCCATCAAAATCATCAAGAACAAGAAAGCCTTCCTGAACCAGGCCCAGATAGAGCTGCGACTGCTGGAGCTCATGAACAAACACGACACTGAGATGAAGTACTACATAGGTGAGGACGCGCGCACACACACACTCTATCTGTGCTTTAAGCTCGCACTTAAGATCTAACACTATTGCATTGTATACCATCTACTATTCCATGTGGTCAAAGCACCTTGCTCTCCACTCTAAGGGCACACTGTCACTCTGGAAGTCCCCTCAACCACTACCCATGTAGAGTAGCGCACTCGGATAGGTTACTGCAGTATACAGTATACCCTACTAACCTCCCCTCCCCCTCTTCCCTCCTCTCCCCCTTTAGTCCACCTGAAGAGGCACTTCATGTTCCGGAACCACCTGTGCCTGGTGTTTGAGCTTCTCTCCTACAACCTGTACGACCTCCTGCGCAACACCAACTTCCGCGGCGTCTCTCTCAACCTGACCAGGAAGTTTGCCCAGCAGCTGTGCACGGCGCTGCTGTTCCTGGCCACGCCCGAGCTCAGCATCATCCACTGCGACCTCAAGCCCGAGAACATCCTGCTGTGCAACCCCAAGCGCAGCGCCATCAAGATCGTGGACTTTGGCAGCTCATGTCAACTAGGCCAGAGGGTGAGGAGACTAGCTGACTAACCAAGCACAGAGATATAGAGGACCCTAATGAACCCAATGTATGTGCTGGGTGGGGGTCGGGAGGGGTGTTGAGGAGAGAACACCATTGGGTTAGGAGAGAGGGAGAGGCAAGGGGAGGGAGGACTACGCCTTACCAAGCACATCAATATACACAGTCCACTCCTGAAATCAGTGCATTGCAGTTCACCACTCCCAATCCCAATGGATCCTTTGTGAATTGTTCTGGGTATCTGCATGCTTCTGTCTATTATATTTATGATAGACCTAAACCATTGCATACATCAGCAGTCGACTGTGGTTTATATAGTAGGCCCTTAATGCACACTATATCCCCTCTAGATGCTGGGGGGGGGGGGGTGTTGTTGGGTAGAGAAGGAAATTGGGGCAGGGAGGGAGGAGAGAGCTATTGGGGGATAGAGAGAGAGAGACGCAGGAGAAGGGAGGGAATGGTAGAAGAGGTAGAATTAATAAGAGCCAGCTTTTTGTAAACCAGATAAACGTTCAATGTATATTAACCTTTTCTAAAACATTGCTATCATTTGTGTGTTAATGCCTCTGGATATCTCAGGAAGAGGGAGAAGAGAAGGGTGGGGTAGATGGATGGATGGATGGATGGATGGATGGATGAGGGAGAAAGCAGGAATAGCCCACAGATGATGATTCCCTGTCTCCAGTTTTAAAAGAGAATGCGCTCTGTTTTCTGCGGACGGTAAATAGACATGGCGAGGGAAGCTATGGAGGGAGGCCGTTGCCAGGTTGAATAGGAACTGGCATTCACAGCACGTCTTTGAGGACTCTTGGGAAGACGAGGAAATGGGCCTCACTACAGTGCTCAAGTATAGAATCTCAGCGGCTCTGCTGCACCCAGTTTAGATATTTCTACTCAGCTTGGCCTGCCATCCTGTGGACGAACGGTGTCATGGCACCACCTCCTCCACAAGTGGGTGTGCTCTAATTTAGATTAGAAACGTTATTAAAGGGCCACAGCTCTGTTCTGATGTAACCAACATACTGGAGCTAATACCTCTCTCTTTTCTCATCACATTTTCTCCCCTCGTCCTTCCATCTCTCTCTCTCTTTCTCTCATTTTCTCTTCTTTGGTAATATATTTTATTTCTTTACCTACCTGTCCATCCCTCCTCTGTCGTCTCCCCCCTTCTCCCTTCTCTCCCTCTTCACCTCTTTTCATGTCTTCCCTCCGTCCTCTCCTCCTCTTCTCTACCACAGATCTACCAGTACATCCAGAGTCGGTTCTACAGATCTCCGGAGGTGTTGCTGGGCATGCCCTACGACCTGGCCATCGACATGTGGTCCCTGGGCTGCATCCTAGTGGAGATGCACACGGGAGAACCCCTCTTCAGCGGCTCCAACGAGGTAGGCTGTGAGAACACACAAACACACAGCATTGGGTGTCAATGCCAAACTTGCCCCTGACCTGTCCTGTTGTTTCTCTCTCTCTCCAGGTGGATCAGATGAATAAGATAGTGGAGGTGCTGGGGGTCCCTCCCAACCACATGCTGGATCAGGCTCCCAAAGCACGGAAGTACTTTGACAAGCTGTCTGACGGCCTGTGGACCGTCAAGAAGAACAAGGACATAAAGAAGGTACTTTACCCCTCGGCCTCCGTGAGTAAAACTCTGCTCTTACTTAATCTTCTCATCTCCGAAACACATCCCTCCTGCCACTCACAACGCAGTAGGTTCAAGTTCCCCTGTCATCCCACAGATCTTGGATCAGATTACCTTGCTCCTACTCCCAAACCTAAACTTAACTACTAGGGGGATGGAAAAATATTTGACCCTAGTGTCAGTGGTTAGAGGCAACTTCTCTACTTACTCCTACTTGTATTAACCATTCACCCCTAGAGAGGGAAAGAGAGATGTGGAGAAGTAAGGGAGGAGGGTTAGCTTGATTTTGGAAAGTAGTTTGTGCAGAAGAGGTATTTTCTCCCTTTTCTAATTTCTAACCTAAACTCACACTCTTAGGAATGATATCAGAGTCCTCAGCATCTTCCTCTCCAATCATCATCATCATCTAATCCATCAGAACCCCTGGTCATATAGCTTTCCCTAATTGTTTAAAAAGGTCATTGTTGTTACATTATTGTGTCTGTATCAGAAGCATTACATAGCTACGCTAACCCTTTTATGGGATAGAGGGATGAGATGAAGGAGCAGTAAAAGCAGATGAAAGGTGGAGCTTGAACAAAGGGAGAGGCCTGGATTACGGTGGAGGTGAGAGATAGAGGGGAGAAAGGTTTGGATCAGATGTTAATTAACTCTGTCCAAAAGACATTAGAGATGGGGATCAGCCATCTCACCCCAGAGACAGGCACACCTGTGTGTGTGTGTGTGTGTGTGTGTGTGTGTGTGTGTGTGTGTGTGTGTGTGTGAGCACACGTGCACACCTATGGGTCTTAGCATGTATTTTCACTAGACGATTAGGGGTTAAGTGAATTGCAGGATAAGACAACTTATTGTTAGTTTTAGGACTAGGAGCTGATGGTCTTTAGACCGGAGACCATGTAAGGATACATGTTGGAGGTCTCATTCATTCCAGCTTCTCATCACTGGCTTGGTGTTATGTAAAAAAGGATAAAGTAGGCCTAATAAGTGAAAGTTATCCATTCATAATATGCATTCTACTGACCATCAACCATTTCACCATCATAACAACATGCATGCTTGCATGTGTGAAATTCAACCATAATAATAACTAAAAGTCACTAAAAACTGCCTCGAAGAAAATGAGAACTCAACAGCGTTTCTCTGCACCTCCCCACATCCATATTCTCCGTTCTCCCCCCTCTCCATCTCCCTCTATCCCCCTCTTCAGGAGTACAAGCCTCCTGCGACGCGGCGGCTCCATGAGATCCTGGGGGTGGAGACCGGGGGTCCTGGCGGGAGGCGGGGCGGGGAGCAGGGGCACGCTCCCTGCGACTACCTGAAGTTCAAGGACCTGATCCTGCGCATGCTGGACTACGACCCCAAGACGCGCATCACGCCCTTCTACGCGCTGCAGCACAACTTCTTCAAGAAGACGACGGACGAGGGCACCAACACCAGCAGCTCCACCTCCACCAGCCCGGCCATGGACCACAGCCACTCCACCTCCACCACCAGCTCCGTCTCCAGCTCCGGTACGGGACACAGCAGTTAGTATACAGTATACCTTTACCATAAGCCACACTCACAGTCCACTGCATGGGGAAACATCTAGCGGAAAGCCACTGCAGAGGTCAAACCTCAATAGAACAAACTCTAAACATTGGCAGCCTGTTCGATCCCATATTCCTACTGCAGTGTTTCCCCCCAGATAATTCCCCCTATGTTTGTGAAAAACAGAGTCCTTAGATTGAGAGCTATTGAAAGCCCGTTGAAGCAATGTTGGTTAGTACAGTACTGTAAAGGATATTGTCTGGGAGATCCCTCCCACCTACATAGTCTTCGGGGGAACACTGCAGTCTACTGCGTCATAATGATGGTGGTTCAATGTTACATCTCAGCCAGCCCCTACAGCCCCTCTCTCTGCAACAGCTACACAGTCTCCATAGAAACAAGCTCCTAGTCACTTCAGCCGCAGCTCAGTCCCTACAGCCTGCAGCACACCGTCACCATAGCAACAGCTCAGCCTCAGCGGCCTCTCCTCTGCCACGGCTACAGCTCCCATTCACCATGGCAACAGATAGTCACCTTAGCTACAGCACCATGTTCAGCAGCTCAGCAAGGTTATGTTCCCGGCAGTGATGGACTCAGTATGTTGATGTAACAAACCTATTGTGTATTCTGACTGACCGAGTGTATTTTCCCCGTCTCATCCCCTACTCCCTCTCTCCAGGTGGATCTAGCGGTTCTTCCAATGACAACCGGAATTACCGGTACAGTAACCGGTACTACAACAGTGCAGTTACACACTCAGACTACGAGATGCAGAGTCCACAGGTGAGCGGAGGTTTAAATCTGACCTCACTCTGATGTCTCGGATCTCATCACATGGAACAACATGTTCTTCCTCTATACCAGCTGGAACTGACATTTATACAGTGAGGGAAAAAAGTATTTGATCCCCTGCTGATTTTGTACGTTTGCCCACTGACAAAGAAATTATCAGTCTATAATTTTAATGGTAGGTTTATTTGAACAGTGAGAGACAGAATAACAACAAAAAAATCCAGAAAAACGCATGTCAAAATTGATTTGCATTTTAATGAGGAAAATAAGTATTTGACCCCCTCTCAATCAGAAAGATTTCTGGCTCCCAGGTGTCTTTTATACAGGTAACGAGCTGAGATTAGGAGCACACTCTTAAAGGGAGTGCTCCTAATCTCAGTTTGTTACCTGTATAAAAGACACCTGTCCACAGAAGCAATCAATCAATCAGATTCCAAACTCTCCACCATGGCCAAGACCAAAGAGCTCTCCAAGGATGTCAGGGACAAGATTGTAGACCTACACAAGGCTGGAATGGGCTACAAGACCATCGCCAAGCAGCTTGGTGAGAAGGTGACAACAGTTGGAATAAACACAAAAGAAGAGTTGAGTTGATGCCAAAGAGCTCCATTTTGGTCTCATCTGACCACAACACTGGGGGACCTTGCGGGCGCTGCAGGATTTCAGTCCTTCACGGCGTAGTGTGTTACCAATTGTTTTCTTGGTGACTATGGTCCCAGCTGCCTTGAGATCATTGACAAGATCCTCCCGTGTAGTTCTGGGCTGATTCCTCACCGTTCTCATGATCATTGCAACTCCACGAGGTGAGATCTTGCATGGAGCCCCAGGCCGAGGGAGATTGACAGTTATTTTGTGTTTCTTCCATTTGCGAATAATCGCACCAACTGTTGTCACCTTCTCACCAAGCTGCTTGGCGATGGTCTTGTAGCCCATTCCAGCCTTGTGTAGGTCTACAATCTTGTCCCTGACATCCTTGGAGAGCTCTTTGGTCTTGGCCATGGTGGAGAGTTTGGAATCTGATTGATTGATTGCTTCTGTGGACAGGTGTCTTTTATACAGGTAACAAGCTGAGATTAGGAGCACTCCCTTTAAGAGTGTGCTCCTAATCTCAGTTTGTTACCTGTATAAAAGACACCTGGGAGCCAGAAATCTTTCTGATTGAGAGGGGGTCAAATACTTATTTCCCTCATTCAAATGCAAATCAATTTATAACATTTTTGACATGCGTTTTTCTGGATGTTTTTGTTGTTATTCTGTCTCTCACTGTTCAAATAAACCTACCATTAAAATTATAGACTGATCATTTCTTTGTCAGTGGGCAAACGTACAAAATCAGCAGGGGATCAAATACTTTTTTCCCTCACTGTATGATATGCTGTAGATACTGCATTCTCTGTTTCTAACGATGACCCATCTTCCTCCTCAACCCCCACCTCCAAGGCTCCATCTCAGCAGCAGCTGCGCCTCTGGCCGGGTGGAGAGGGGGGCATGGGTCCCCTGTCCAACAGCGGCAGTAGCGTCGGCGACCCCCCATACCCCCAGCTGCTGCTGCACAAGCCGGCGGCCACGCAGCACTCGCGCCACTTCCTGGGAGGTGGCGGCGTCGGGGGCATGATGGAACCGCACCACCCGCACCCCATCTACGGCGGTCACCACGGCAATGGGCGGGGCATGCGGCAGACTGGGCAGGGGAACCAGCCCCAGGGCCAGGCTTCGCAGGGCCAGCCGCTGATGCCCATCTCCTCCCCACAGATGCCGGACAGCATCGAGCTCAGCCTCACACACCACCACCATCTGGGTCAGTCTTCCATCATGCCGCCCCCATCCAGCTTGGACTCCAGCCAGTACGGCTCCTCCAACCTCCACCTGGGCCTCTCTGCCTTTCGGACTAGGACGGTCACGGCCCCCCAGCCGCTCCCCGCCGGCTCCCAGCAACAGTTGGCCCAGCCCCCAGCCTCTCAGGACAGCTTGGTCGCTGCCTCCGGGCTTGGATACATCCCCCCATGCTACCCGGGCAGTAACAACAATAACAACCCTCCCCAGGGTAGCGTGGTCGGGGGTGGGATGCTCACCGGGGGGCCCCCACCCAGGGGAGTAGGGGGCGGCGGGGGGAGGCCGGATTCTGAGGAGTCCACCATGATGGGTGTGTGCGGCAGTGGAGGAGGCGGCGGTCAAAACGCGGCCAACTCTTGATAAATCTTGAACAAATTCCAAAAGCCATACAATTTTAACAACGACAACATTACAATTTCAACACACATATACATTACACACACTCGAGTTTGAAACAAATATGGCCACACATACAGGTTACAGAGACAAACCTGTGAAATATCAAAGGAATTGAGTTTTGTTTTGCATGGGAGAAGGTCGAGGGAGAGTAAGAGGGGAAGGCTTTGGAACTATTTTTATCCTTTTTTCACTTTCTTTGTTTTTCTTTTGTTGAAGGAAAGAAACAGGGCTCAGTAGTTGGAATGGAAAGTTTCAGATAAGTTTGTTTTTATTGTTATTATTATTATTATTATTATTATTATATTATTTGATTTTATGTGATTTAAGGAAAGGTTTGCAGCGAGATTTTTGTTGTTTGGGTTGTTTTTTGGAATGAAGACCGCAAAGGTAGATGAATGGTTTGAAAAGTGGTAATTGTTGGTTAAGAAGAGGGAGGCACGAGAGAGTACCCTTATGCTATTTTTAAATCTTTTTTATTTTAATTTTGTTTGTTTATTTTTTTCTGAAGTCTAGGTTTAATTGTACATGTTTTATTTATGAAACATCACTAGATGAGGAGGAGGGTGAGTGGGGAGAGGAAGAGCTGCTTTATTTATTCATCCCTTTTATTTATACAGGTTTAGTTTTTTTTTATTTGCTGACCGACAGAAAACACTTGCGCATACACATAGAAACAAACAAACTGGGGTCTTTTAGTTTGTTTTTCAGTTCAGTATATCTCACCCCCGAAACACATTTTTATTTTTAAATGTTTCCATTCTTCTCTTGCTTGACACAATGGCTTATATATCTGAAACGATGAAACAGATCATAGAAATAAAATGAAGCAAATGACAAAACCCGTAGTCACCACACAGTGAGAAACTATACGATGAGGAGGCTGAAACATTTGCCGAAGTGAGCCGCTTTCAAGAGGAGGGGGAACAAAACTTTACACAAAAGGAGGAAGTGATTCAAGAAGAACGAAAAACAACAAAACATTTTGCCACAAGGAAAACCAAAATGCTTCCCTGTTGTTTGTTTAAAAATAGTCTGCCTTCTACTTCACCATCTAACCAGACTCTTTCACCCTCTTTCTCTCTCTTTCTCTGTCTTTTCTTACTCCATTTTGTTTTGGACCGTAAACTACAGAAACGTAACACATTTTGGGTTGGATTAACTCTGGATATGCTAAGCCAAATCTTGCTCACTCTCTCTGTCTCGATCTCTCGCTCTCTTCTCCTCTCTGCCCCATTTTTCTGTTGGAAGGAAGGGAGGGGGGAGGGGGGCAATATATAGCAGGAGGGAGGAGTACTTACATATGAGGGGACACTTTCATGCCCTCCTTACCCCTACAGCGCCCCCCTGACTGACTTCTCTGCCCCCTTTTCTTTCTCATGTATTTTTTTTCCCCCTCCCTCCTTCACAACACTCTGTGAGTGCTGTTTGCCATCAAGTCAAAAAAGTGAACTACTTCTCTCTCGGCTGCTATCTCCACTTTCAACCATGTTCGGATTGCTGCTAAAGAAAACAGACAGAGATAAATAAATAAAAATGAAACTTTTTAACCCTCCTGCTTCAGAAAAAATGGAAAAATAAACCACTGCATCTCATGTATTTATTACTATTTAACAAGAAAAAGAAAAGGTAAAAATTAACCTGTTTTCTTCTGTTTTTTGTTTGGTTGCCTTCTTCCTGCAGGTGAAAGTTGGGCATTGACTAAATGTAACAGTTAAAGGTGGTATTAAAACACTGACTTAGTTTAAGTCAGCCACTGGGCGGGGCCTGAATGGGGGAAACTGGGTAAGAATAAAGGTGGATATATAAGAATAAAGAGTATACTTTTGCACACAAAGGTCAAATGCAAATCACAGCTTTCTGCTTTTTTCATCTTTCAGTCGACAGACCCTCATCTTGAGCAATGTGCATACAGTAGTAGGCCTGCACAAAGACAAAGTGTTGATGTGGCAAGCTAATAACTAAGTGATCACTGACATGGCATAATAAATCTGAGATTTGCGTTTGACCTCAAGTTATTTCATTATTTTTTGTACCTGAGTGTAACTGGTGTTGGGTGTGGTGGGGATGATGTCCATGAAGAACCACAAAGTTGGTGTGGCTACTAATGAACTTATTAGGAATCAGTCTCATCGTTTGGAGAGTCTTGCACTGTTGCGACTATTTTATTGTTGCCAATATACAGTAGCAGGAAGCTCTGAGTAAAGTATGTGTAAACATAGCAGTATAGCTAGATACATTAATGATTGGACTATCACAAGGTTACACTGAGTACACATAGTGTCTCCACTGTGTTTGAACCAGTGTCTTCCTGGAGGTAACGATTGATGAACACATGCTACTGGAAGTGTTAGAAGACAGGTTGTTGTTACAGCTATGGGCATAGAGTAGGCCACTAGGGTATCTTTGGTCGCAGCTTACGTTGGCACAATCCTCCAATTATCTATTCAATTGTCAATGGTAAATGCTGTTTAGTTCAAAATGTTGACTGTGGGGGGGGCAATATGGTGACTTATACCATAAAACTACATGCAATTAGAACCAATTTAGGACAGTTTGACTCATGTTCAGCATACATTGCAGTCTTCCTAGTTGAGAGTTATTGAATATGAATATAACAGGTGAAGGTCAAGTGTTGTATTCACACAAGTTACTGAGTAAAATAGAGAGCACCGTTTTACTGGCATCTGGTGGATAGGTAAGTGAATTACATACTCAGAAAGTTTACATTGTAACAACATAGTAGGCTATGCAAAATACGCTTTCATATATCATTGCAAATACAATTAAGCGAATCATTAATTAATCAACTACGCCCAGTATCCTACATGCAACGAACCTCCCCGTGTGTGCCAAGTGCGTAATTGTTGCGCCAAAACCAGGTGAGCGCAATTATCAAGCGCCTACAAGATGAATCTTTGAACGGTCACTCTAATTTGCAACCGTTTGCTTACAACAGTGTGTCCGGGAGGCGCTCTGGACTACAGAGTTTTATTATTTTTTTCTGTGGCTTCGGTCACGTTGAACATGGAACAAGTTGCGTGGATGTTTTTGTCTGTTTGCATTTCTGCCTTTCCATTCACACAAGTGTCCGCGGAAGCTGATTTTAATGTCGACAGATGGGGTGGTCAAGTGCATCAAGACTACCAATTTGCGGAGCGGCACCTCCCGGGCAATGTACCAGTGCGTGAGGTGATCAGGCCTCGGATAGGGGAAGACGATGCCATCGGTGCCCCGCGGTCAGAACCACCATACTACTTACTTCCCATGTTCCAGCACTCGGCGGTTTCCGTCGTCGATAAGGACTTGTTCAGACCAGAAAATACGTTTTCCCCAGTATCTTGACCAACCTCTTACTCCCGCCACAAAATAGTCCAGAGCTCAACCAAGTCTCTCCCGTGAGTAATCCACGTGGAGTGGAGGTGTTGTGCGGGTACAACCAGATCTCCGTTCGCGTCAACAGAGGTCAACTACGGTTTAGGTGTCTGGCCTCAATGCTCTTCCTGGGCGCTTGCCCCGTCACCCGGGTCACCACACTTTTCTTTTACTTCCATTATAACCTGAATGACTGTGGCAGTACTCAAACGGTAAAATGTGTTTGGGATACATTTTGACCACACTATCCATTAGGCGCACACTTAAACTGACGCTAAAATATGTACTTTTATGCTGTTAATTACTTCCAGACCATGAATGGCCAGCTGGTGTACTCCAGCTCACTTCGCTTTTCTCCAGAACCACAAGGGCCAGTGATAAGAGCCATACCTCTCAACCTCCCCATTCAGTGCATTTATAACCGGTATAGTGCCCAGTAGAATAGCCTTTACCATCCATTTCCTTACCAGATTCCACTACTCCTTACAAAGTTGGCTATGTACCCGAGGTGCATGACCGCTCTCTCTTGAAGAGTATGAATGGCAAACACATCTTTAGGCTCACTGCATGCAATGGTAAGTAAACATGTCCCATTACAAGAGTTGCCAAGTTGATTTAAGGTGCAGAGAAAGAGGGGCCAATCTTTCTCTCCAAATCTAGCGCAATGGGAACACTTGTCGTCAGAAGAGAGCTACATGCTTGGGGAGCCAATGTACTTCAAAGCCTACGCTACTTTTGTCCCCAAAGATGAGAATGTGTTTGTTGATTCCTGCTTTGTTACGCCATTCAAGGACCCAAATACCACACCCCGCCTCGAGGTCATTCACAACTTTGGGTAATCAAACACTTAAGTTCTCACACACTGATGAAGCTATAGCGTTTGTGTCTATTCTAGTGATGGGTATATCCGCATGTATGTGTTTTAGATGTATGGTGGACAGCAAGCGGAAAGGCAGTCAATCCCAGTTCTTCTCCAGAGAGTCAAATGTCCTGCTTTTCACTGTGGATGCTTTCCTGTTCCCCCAAATCACTGCTAAGGTTAGGCTATATCCTTTTATGGCACACAAATGTTACACTAGTGAATAGTGACCTATATAATATCATACTCTGTTCCACAGCGTCTCTACCTGCACTGTACTATGACTGTCAGGAAATCCACTTCAAAGCGGAGCGCCAAATCCTGCACGTACAATAGAGCAGTGGGAAGGTAAACTATATTTTTGGAGTCTCAACAGCAACCTTGCCCAATCTGATCTATTTCTATATCCAGTGGTGGGGAAAGTACCCAATTATCATACTTGATTAAAAGTAAAGATGCCTTAATAATACTCAAGTGAAAGTCACCCAGTAAAATACTACTTGAGTAAAAGTATTTGGTTTTAGATATAGTATAAGTATCAAAAGTAAATGCTATAAATCTTTTCAAATCCTTGAATTATGCAAACCGGACAACACGAGTTTTTATTTATTTATGGATAGCCAACATTCAGACCATAATTTACAAACAAAGCATTTGTGTTTAGTGAGTCTGCAAGATCAGAGGCAGTAGTGATGACCGCGAGTTCTCTTGATAAGTGTGAAATTGACCATTTTCCTGTCCTGCTAAGCATTCGAAATGTAACAAGTACTTTGGTGTGTTAGGGAACATGCATGGGAGTAAAAAGTACATTTTCTTCAGGAATAACTGTAGTAAAAGTTGTCAATATAAATGGTAAAGTACAGATATCCCCCAAAAAGTTGTACTTCAAAGTATTTTTACTTTACACCACTGTCTATCACAATCATGGTCTCAAGAATTACGTCACAAGTTACATAGACGATGGTCATGATTAGTGTGTGTTGGACACTGATAATAATGAAATCATTAAGTCATTCAGTTATGTCATGCTACAGTATTTTTTGCACTGGTTAACCAGGGGTTTATTCACTAGAAACCAAACGGAAGCAAACCACTCGTTTTTGTTGCAAAACGTTTTCTGTTAGGAGTAAACAATCTCTGTTGCAAAACGTTTCAGACTAATGATTACACCCCTGATTGTCATGGTTATGTGTCCTGTTAGGTGGGAGGAGCTGTATGTGCTCCTGCTGTGATTCTGTCTGTGAGGTGTCAGAGATTTGTAAGTATACAACATAGTTCAAGCTGGACCAGCTTTTTTCCCTCATCTTAGATTCATTCTTTGATACAATGTATGCTGATCTGTAACCTGTGGTTTTGCCTGATGTTTGTAACCAGGGCCAGCCTTGATGTCTCCTTCAGTGAAAAGCCTGATCACCCCAGTGAACCCTGGAGAGTGTTGGAGGGCAGGGAGAAGAGTTTGCCCATTCAGGCTGAGGAGAGACAGTGAGGAAAGGGTGGAGGAGACCTTGGCAGTCACTTATAGAGTGGAGGAGAAGGTGAAGTTTAAAAGCTTGGCAGTCACTCCTTGGGGGGAGGAGGAGAAAAACATGTCAGTCGCTGTTATGAATAAGGTAGAGGTGGTGGAAGAGGGGGCGCAGGAAGGGACAGTTATAGGAGTGAGAGGGGGTGTTAGCCAGAAAAGAAGTGGAGGAGGTGATTGAGGACAAACGGGCTGAGAAGGTGATTGATGTGGAGGCTGTAGAGAATGGCACAGACCAAGTGACAGAAAGTGTAACTTTGGAACATGTACCTGAGGAGGTCAAGATTGGCAATATTTCTGAGGGAAATACTGTGATGGTTAAAGAGGTAGATCAGTGGAACATGTTGAGTGTCGTCACCACGAATGCTGAGGTGTCAAAGAAAGTTAAGGAGCAGGTTGCTGGGGGAGAAGGGTCGAAGGTTAAGATAGTGGGGGTTGGACAGATGCCTTTGGAGGACGAAGCGGCAGTGTTTCTGCAGGGGTACGTGGAGCCTGCCGAGTGGAGAGAAGACTACCAAGGACCAGCCCTAGAGGAGGAGGAGCTGGGGAGGTTTTGGAAACCATCCACAAAGGTTAGTTTTCATCTAGTCTAGTGAATGTTTCAATGCCGCGTTTTCATCTAGTCTAGTGAATGTTTCAATGCCGCGTACTTGAGTTTTAATGTCAGTTTCGGTTGCAATCATTTCAAGTGTTCATGTCATACCAGCTGTTTTAAAATTGGACCTTTTTCTTATTTTCAGGACAAGCTTGCTGTGCTGGAAACTTCTGTCCCTATTGGAACATTGACATTAAATTAACTTAAATGAAATATTTCATAAGAAGAATTACACAAGTGTCCTTGTATGATTGAATATTAAATTACACTTGAATTGTTATAAGCAATGAACAAAGCTCAATGTTTTCATGGTAGCTGGGCATTTGAGGGATACATCTTTTTTTTTGGGGGGGGGGGGGTGCATATTGAAGATGTAAACGTATGGCGTTCTCTGAAAGGTACAACTATTTTACACACAAAAAATGACAGGGAGCTCAGAGAGAGGGAAGACTGCAGGATTAGGGTTGCAAAGCCACTGGTAATTTACCAAAGTTCCTGGAACATTCTGTAATTTTGGTAATTAACAATCTATGGTAGTGTAGGTAACTTTATACTTTAACTTTTAAAAAATGCATTCATAGTGTTTTATTTTCATATCTGGGTCCATATTGTCCATGAGTTTCTAGTGGATACACCACATGGTTAATGAGAAAATAGCCTAATTAATGAAAAAATCGAAACAATGGCATTATTTTAAATAACGTTTTTTCACAACTGTCACCAGTTTGGTGCCAAAACATTAACAAAAAAGTGTGTAAAAAAAAAAAAAGATATTTAATGTGGAAATCCTCATATTAAACACCAATTGCATTCACTAGGTTGATGGTTTATATTTAGGATCATGTTTACAGCTTTGTCATACTATTTATTAAAACATTTTAATAATGTTCTTTATTTTATATATTTTACATGTGATGAGTCCACACAGGGCCAGAGATAGACACCTTTGATAATCTGAAGTACCCAAAAAGGCCACTAGATGTCCTGTGATAAAATTCAAAAGAAACTTGAAATTACCAAACTTCTGGCAGTTTAATAGTAAACTTTGAAAGTTACCAGTAATATACCCTCCCTTTCAAATCAAATTGTATTGGTCGCATACACATATTTAGCATTAGGAGCTAGAAACAGAGCTGCCATGTCTATCGAAGCAATCTTGGTCACTACATGCAACCCTAGGCAGGACTGATGTAAAACTCTTTCAAGCTATTTTGTGGGGATGGCAACAAGTTGTGCATGAACAGTACCTTTCACATGCAAATGAATGATGAGCATATGTAAATTGCATAGTACAGTGTTGGAGAACTTGCACTCACACTGTCGCACACACATACTTGACTCTTTCAGCATAGTAGACCTACTTATCCAAAAAATCCCAGATAACGCTTGTAGGCAATGTCATGGCGAAGTTGGCTAGCTAAGCTTGTGCACAAACTCGTCATCGGGTCTAACGATTCGATCACACCGACATTGTCTTTGCGTAAAATGGTATGCAGCATCATCTGGATATTTGTGCAACAAAAGTTCAATATTCACCTTCCCCTACCATTTCTGTCCAGCCGTCTACGCATACAGTTTGACGCATACGTTCGATAAATCCAACGTATGCACCACACAGAACGCAATGCTGCAATGCAAACACAGCGTCCCATTGGAAATGAAGGTACTTCTAGTGTACCAAAATGCAATGAGGTCTTGCACCGAACTGCGCATGTGTAGGCGGTCAAGTCAAAGGCACTCCTTAGATAAAGTTTTTTTTGACGAAAAATGAAACTTGTCACTTTCACGAGGTTGGCGTATTAACATGTTCAACTACAGTATGAAAAAATGTACGCACTCACTAACTGTACGTCGCTCTGGATAAGAGCGTCTGCTAAATGACTAAAATTACATTTACATTTTACATTTAAAACACTGGCTCGAATCTAGGTTGTGCCTTTAGATTGAGAGAAAATTAACTAAGGAAGAATTTTTCACTTCTCTCATTGACTTCTCAAACACCAAACCCTGGCCTGGTCTGCTTTGGCTGTTTCGCAAGTGTTCCCGGATGTCTCGCGATGTTGCGCCTCTGGGTTTAAAAACTGTGTGGAAATCAGGAGGCTGGTGGGAGGACCTACAGTGCATTTGGAAAGTATTCAGACCCCTTGACTTTTTCCACATTTTGTTACGTTACAGCCTTATTCTAACATGGATGAAATAAATAAAAATCCTCATCAATCTACACACAATACCCCATAATGACAAAGCAAAAACAGGTTTTTAGAAATGTTTGCAAAAAACAGATACCTTATTTAAGTATTCAGGCCCTTTGCTATGAGACTCAAAATTGAGCTCAGGTGCATCCTGTTTCCATTGATCATCCTTGAGATGTTTCTACAACTTGATTGTAGTCCACTTGTGGTAAATTCAATTGATTGGACATGATTTGGAAAGGGACACACCTGTCTATATAAGGTCCCACAGTTGACAGTGCATGTCAGAGCAAAAACCAAGCCATGAGGTCGAAGGAGAGCTCCAAGACAGGATTGTGTCGAGGCACAGATCTGGGGAAGGGTACCAAAACATTTCTGCAGCATCTATTTGTAAGTCGCTCTGGATAAGAGCGTCTGCTAAATGACATAAATGTAAATGTTGAAGGTCCCCAAGAACACAGGGGCCTCCATCATTCTTAAATGGAAGAAGTTTAGAATCACCAAGACTCTTCCTAGAGCTGGCTGCCCGACCAAACTGAGCAATTGGGAGAGAATGGCCTTGGTCAGGGAGGTGACCAAGAACCTGATGGTCACTCTGACAGAGCTCCAGAGTTCCTCTGTGGAGATGGGAGAACCTTCCAGAAGGACAACCATCTCTGCAGCACTCCACCAATCAGGGCTTTATGGTAGTGGCCAAGATTCTCTGGTCTGATAAACCAAGATTGAACTCTTTGAACTGAATGCCAAGCGTCACGTCTGGGGGAAACCTGGCACCATCCCTACGGTGAAGCATGGTGGTGGCAGCTTCATTCTGTGAGGATGTTTTTCAGCGGCAGGGACTGGGAGACTAGTCAGGATCGAGGGAAAGATGAATGGAGCAAAGTACAGAGAGATCCCTGATGAAAACTTGCTCCAGAGCGCTCAGGACCTCGGACTGGGGTGAAGGTTCACCTTCCAACAGGACAATGACCCTAAGCGCACAGCCAAGACAACACAGGAGTGGCTTCAGGACAAGTCTCTGAATGTCCTTGAGTGGCCCAGCCAGAGCCCGGACTTGAACCCGATCGAACATCTCTGGAGAGACCTGAAAATAGGCTGTAATCGCTGCCAAAGGTGCTTCAACAAAGTACTGAGTAAAGGGTCTGAATACTTATGTAAATGTGATATCAGTGTTTAATTTTTTAAAAATACATTTTCAAGAATTTCTAAACCTGTTTTCACTTTGTCATTATGGGGTATTGATGAGGGGGAAAAATGATTTAATACAATTTAGAATAAGGCTGTAGCGTAACAAAAATGTGAAAAGTCAAGGGGCCTGAATACTTTCCGAATGCACTGTATAGACGGATCGGCGCGTGGAGCGTGTGTGCGTCTTGCATTGTCGTGTCGTTTAACTATGAGTGACACTAGAAAGCGAAGCAGCATCTGGCTGCAGTTTAAAGATATTGGGAACAAGAAAGCAGAGTGCCTTCACTGCAAAACGAAGGTCACTATAAGAGCAGGTTCCACCACAAACCTGCATAGACATACAAGAACTGTCCATCCTACAGTGCAGTTAGAGGAGAGAGGGCAAGCCAGCTCACCATCTACTGATCCTGGTGTGTCTCATACCAGAACAACAGCTGCTGTAACGTCTACTGCCATCCCCATGCGTGCAAGTATAACCTCTCCTACTGCAACTCAAAGCAAAATAAGTCAGTTTTTACCTAAACTGATGACCCCAGCCAAACAGCACAGTATTGATGATGAGTTGGCTAAAATGGTAGCTTCTGATTTTCAACCCTTTTCCATTGTGGAGGACAAAGGAATGAAAAACTTTGTCAAAGCCCTAAATCCCACATACACTCTACCCAGTAGAAAAACACTTTCCCAAACAATGATCCCAAAACTATATGACACAGAACGTGCATTATGGCAAGAAAGGGTGACAAAAGCTCCATCAGTTTGCCTGACAACTGACTGCTGGACCTCCAGAACAACCTGCTCTTTCATGTCTGTCACTTGCCACTTTTATTGAAGATTACAAGATGACATCTTGCCTTCTGGACTGCTTCGAGTTCACCGACAGACACACTGCAGAAAACTTGGCATGGAGCTACTAAGAGTGGCAAAAGAGTGGCAAGTAGAGGACAAAGTGGTGTGCTGTGTGAGTGATAATGCTGCAAACATCACCAAAGCCATAAAAGTTTTGAAGTGGACCCATCACCCATGTCTGGCGCATACACTAAACCTGGTGGTTAGAGATGCTCTGAAGGTGATCAAAACAACCGTGGATAAGGTGAAGGCTGTTGTGGAGTTTTTCCACAAAAGCACAGTAGCAGCACAGAAGCTAAAGTCCACACAGCGCCAAATGGGGATTCCTGAACTGAGGCCCAAACAAGAGTGTGCCACCAGGTGGAACTCAACATTTGATATGTTGAAACGAATGCTTGAAATAAAAGATGCCATCATCTCCACCCTGGCCCTCATCAACGCATCTATTGAGCCATTAAGCCAAGAGGAATGGGAGCTGGTGAAAGAGGTCTGCGCCGTCCTGGAGGTGAGGAGCTACCTTGAGGAGCCCCTCATCCAGAGAGCAGAAGACCCACTGAGCTGGTGGCAGGCCAAGGCCTCAGTCTTTCCACTCCTGGTGAAGGTGATGGAGGGGAGACTATGTATTGTTGCCACATCAGTTCCTTCTGAGAGAATCTTCTCCAAAACAGGGCAGATACTCACGGAGAGGCGAAATCGTATCAGGCCTATCAGCCCATCCAAGCTGAGGCATCTGATCTTCCTGAATGCCAACCTGCCCTGAGGACTAATGCTGTTTGCTGGAGTTTGGTTCTGGTTTTGATTCTGTTCTGTGGATTTGTTTGAAGTTTATTGTTAATTTGTGCAATAAAAAAGTTTAATTGAAATAAACAAATGTAAGAGTGGTTTTGTCACAGAATAAATGCACAGAATTAGGCATTATAAGGTCTCTCATAAAAACACTGAAAGCAAAAGGGTTTTCAACACATAAACCATGATTTTTTTTCAAAGTTAAGGTAAAATATAGGCTACAAAAGATCCTAAATAAAGAGCCGTTCGGGAGTCGAAAGAGCCGGCTCTTCTTTGGGAGCCGAGTCAAAAGAGCCGGCTCTCAGAAAAGAGCCGAACTTCCCATCATTAGTATAGACGGATCAGCTCATTGTGGTTTCCATGTTTGATACCGTTCCATTTATTCCCAGTGGCGTGTATTCATGGATGCCAAGGGAAGCCAGGCTTCCCAAAACATTTGACCAAGAAAAAAAGAAACATAAAATAATTTATTTTGTCACTCTGTATCTCACTGGAGAAAACATCAGAGCGAGCTAAACAGCGCCCCTCTGTCTCTGTGTAGGTCATCTATCTGATGCTGTCTGGTCCAAAATAGTGGCATTGAATGCAAGGTAAGCCAGCGAGCATTTGGCCTCTCTTGATGATAAAAAAAAGTATAAAATAATAGCCAATCAGTGTTGCGCTCAACTGTGAATGGTCCTGGTGCACAAAAAAAAAGTGTCAAGGGAAGCCCGTTTTGGATTTGGCTTCACTCCAATCACATTGCATTGAGAGCATACATCATTGACAGAAACTCGTTGTGAATCTCATTGTGTTGTTGTCCTCTGGTGGCTAGCTAGCTAGCTAAAATGGGCCCTTTCCTAAATTAGCCATGGATGGAGATAGGGATTTGGACTTGTGGTTTTACTTAATTCTCTGTACTGGCCAATGATTATAATGGCGATTCTGATCCAACCATAAATTCATACATTGTGCCCCTGGCCAGAGAGGATGGAAGTTCAATATGTAGCTAGACGTAGAAGGCTAATGTTAACTAGGTAACATTTCCCATGAAAGGAAATTAGGCTAGCGAGCAAGCATTTTAGACAGGTAGCCTAGGACAACAAAAAATGAAAGCGTCTACTGTATGACAGAGTGATAGATCGTTTCGTCAACATGAAAGAGAGGAGGATGGCATTGGCGTTTCTCTACATGTAGGGTGAGTCAACATGTTTTTTCTATTTGCACGAACGCGCACGCACACAGAATTCAGAACCATGCACAGCCACATATTTAGCTTATTTTCATTGGACTAAATTGTTTTTGGTGTCTTTTAGTTGTCACTGTATTATACTAAGCACAAGTGATTTGATGATGTTGAAATGGTGCTGGAATAGTGGAGGCAGCTCATGTTTTCTTTGCGTGGTTCTAAATCAATAGTTGTTTAGTGGTCCTAAAATGTCAGAAACATTAACTTGCTTGACCATGCTGTAGGTCATGTAACTGTTTGTTACATGCAATATGCTTTGTGGACTTCACCAGACAGCGGTTGCTCTCCGGTTTTGTGATGAAACAAAGGTGTGGTTGAATTTATTCTGCCAGTGTCTCTTATTGTCTCGGCCTTAGGCCTATATATCACAGTGGCAAGGCATATGAACTAACGGGTTACAGAGCAAACAACTTAATTATTGCAACACACAGGTTGTAATATGACTTTTTTTTTCTGGTTTGGCTTCCCCAGTGATTTTACCCACTCACCGCTACTGTTTATTCCATTCCATCCATTAATGTGCCTGTCCTCCTATAGCTCCTCCCACCAGCCTCCTCTGGTGGAAATGTCTATTTTGTATAAAGGGATGTGTGAAAGACCTGACAGACATTTTCATAAACCTCGACATGTTTCCATAATAGCCTGACCATGGATAGGTGGATGTGGTTATCCAGGTATCTGAGGCACGGAACACAAACAAGGAAGTAACGCAACATGTAAAACAGAGTGAAAGATGATTATTATCTGTCAACTCAGTAGACGGAGAGAATTTCAGCCTCTGATCTAACAACTCACTCTTACTTAGAAACCTACAATGCTGTTTCTTGTGATGATGGTGTCATTTCACCTGATGAAACAAAGTGACACATGCTCCTCTTTACCACAACTCAGTCTGGATGGAGACTACATTCTGGGAGGACTATTCCAGCTGCATGAGAAGTATGGAGTGACTGATACAGCGGCTGATACTGAGAACAGAAAACCTGAAACGTTTCAATGTCACAGGTAAGGCGAAGTCTGCTTTCACCACCAGAAAAAAATTATACGGTAAATGTCAAATGTTTTTGCACACATTTTGACAATAAACCTATGCAACCTTTATTCTACATCCAAGGTTTAAATTTTCCTCAGCAAGCTACCAGCAGATCCAAGTCATGAGGTTTGCTATTGAAGAGATCAACAACTCCACAGAGCTGTTGCCTGGTGTGAGCCTGGGCTATGAGATTTTCGACTACTGTTCTGACTTGCTCAGTTATTGGGCTGCTCTGGACTTTCTGACCCAAAAGGGAGGAGGAGCCATCCCTGTGTGGAACGGAACACACTACAGACCTAAAGTCATCTCAGTCACTGGCCCGTTTGGAAGCAGCCAAACCATCAGTGTCGCCCCTCTGTATATGTCGGAGATGATTCCAATGGTAAGTAGTATTTTATGACACAATATAACCTCATAATGGTGCTATTTATACAGTAGCTGCCTTGTTTGTACTCTTCAGGACTGGGTCTGTAGAACACTGCAATATAAATGTACCTGTACTGTAATGATTTGAATAATGCTGTAAAGTAATTAAGGGAATGGATATGAAGGGCATTGCATGCTTGTTCAAATATGACAATCCTTGTTCTCACAAAAGCATTATCGTTTTATGTTTTACTTCAACAGGTGACTCATGGGGCATCAAGTGTCCAACTAAGCTACAAAACCAGATTTCCCTCATTTTTCCGAACCATTCCCAGTGACAAATATCAGGTGGAGGCTATAGTCCGTATACTCCAACAGTTTAACTGGAACTGGGTGGCTTTCATCGGTGGTGACAATGACTACAGCAGAGATGCCTTGACAGTTTTTCAGGATGAGATTAGACCAGCTAACATCTGTTTGGCTTACCAAGACACTATTCCCCAAAACCAATCCTTAATAGGGCGTCTATTCAACAACATAGCCATGTTCAATGTCCGGGTTATTGTAGTCTTTGCCAATGTGGAGTTTGTCATTCCTTTCATCCAGAAGGCCATAGATCTCAGAGTGAAGGAGAAGATATGGATCGCTAGTGAGACATGGTCTATGAACAAAGAGTTGATCAAGAAGAGTCAGATTGAGAGCATAGGGACGGTTTTAGGTGTCACTGTCCAGAGGCACAAGGACCTGAGAGGATTTGATGAGTTCATTAACAACACAGTAACATCCAGACATGAGAATGAATGCACTGACATGGACTTGAAGGAAAGATGTGGTCAGATTTGCCCTGACTGCATCTCTACCAGTGCCCAGACAATTATTGGAGAGGACCCGACATACAGCTTTGTAATCTACTCTGCAGTGTATGCTGTGGCTCATGCACTCCACAATACTTTGCAGTGTGGGACACGGAACTGTGCCAACTCAGAAATCATCGCTTATCCTTACATGGTAAGTGCGCTGCATCTCCTTCAACATGAAGCCTTATGGTCAACCACATCACCAAAAATATGATTAGTAATTGACGTTATCGTTTAAGTTTACTATTTCGTCTTGCATTCCCAGGTCACTGAGGCACTAAAACTGGTCAAATTCAAATTGGACAATCAAAGTATAGAGTTTGATGAGAACGGGGACCCACCGGCTCATTACAACATTGTACACTGGGACTGCAAATATGGAACATGTTCTAATGTGGACATTGGCTCATACTTCACCAACCCCACACCAAGCTTCCATATAAATGAAACTCTCATACATTGGTTTGAGGGCACAAAGGTTAGTACTAAATTCTTCAAAAGCATGTGAGTATACATTACACACCATCAAAACACTGAGTGGTATTCAAATTAGTGATAACTGATGCTGGTCTTTTCCACAGTGCTATTTTAAGCTGTTCCTACTTCTTGCAGGCTCCAGTCCTGCAGTGTTCTAGTGAGTGTAAATTTGGCTCCAGAAGAGTTCAAACTGGCTTCCACGCCTGCTGTTTTGAATGTGAGATCTGCTCTGATGGAAAGTACATCAACCACACAGGTACAGAGCAACATGACTTTCTGTTATTGCCTGGAGTCTTTCCTGGACAGGTCAAGCGGTCAGGAAGAACACCTGGCACCATTTACAGTGCCCTCCACTAATATTGGCACCCTTGGTAAATATCAGCAAAACGGGCTGTGAAAAAAATGTCTATTGTTTATCCTCTTGGTCTTTCATTCAAAATATTCACAAAAATCTAACCTTTAATTAAAGTAAAATAATTGAAAGAAAAAATAAATTCTTATCATAATCAAATATGTGTGCCACAATTATTGGCACCCCTTCAGCTCTGAGTCTTCTCCTATAATGCGTAATGAGGTTGGAGAACACATGGCAAGGGATCTGAGACCATTCCTCCATTCAGAATCTTTCCAGATCCTTCAGATTCCGAGGCCCAAGCTTGTGGGCCTCGGCAGTGGTGGAAAAAAGTATTCAAAAGTTATACTTGAGTAAAAGTAAAGATACCTTAATAGAAAATTACTCAAGTGAAAGTCACCCAGTAAAATCCTACTTGAGTAAAAGTCTAAAAGGATTTGGTTTTAAATATACTTAAGTATCAAAAGTAAATGGAATTGCTAAAATGTACTTAAGTATTAAAAGTAAAAGTATTAATAATTTCAAATTCCTTATATTATGCAAACCAGACAGCACAATCTTGTTTTTTATTTATTTACGGATAGCCAGGGGTACACTACAACACTCTGACATTAATTGACAAACAAAGCATTTGTGTTTAGTGAGTCCGCCAGATCAGAGGTAGTAGGGATGACCAGGGATGTTCTCTTGATAAGTGCGTGAATTGGACCATTTTCCTGTCCAAATGTAACAAGTACTTTTGGGTGTCAGGGAAAATGTATGGAGTAAAAAGTGCATTATTTTCTTTAGGAATGTAGTGAAGTAAAAGTTGTCAAAAATATAAATAGTAAAGTAAAGTACAGATACCCCCAAAAAACTACTTAAGTAAAAATACTTTAAAGTACTACTTAAGCACTGGGTTTAGGTCAGGGGACTGGGATGGCCATGGCAAAACATTGATTGTGTGGTCAGTTAACCATTTTTGTGTTGATTTTGAGGTGTCCTTTGGATCATTGTCCTGCTGGAAGATCGAACCACGGCCCAGTTTAAGATTCCTAGCACAGGCAGTCAGGTTTTGATTTAATATCTGCTGGTACTTGATGGAGTCCATGCTACCATGTATCCTAACAAGTTCTCCAGGGCCTTTGGAAGAAAAACAGCTCCACAACATCAAAGATCCACCACTATACCTCACAGTGGGATGAGGAACTTCTCTGCATGGCTATCTTTCTGTCTACACCAAACCCACCTCTGGTGTTTGTTTCCAAAAAGCTCTATTTTGGTTTCATCTGACCATAGAACCCGGTCCCATTGCAAGTTCCAGTAACGTTTGGCAAACTGTAGGTGCTTGAGTTTGTTGTTTGATGACAGCAAAGGCTTTTTATGGCAACCCTCCCAAACAACTTGTGGTTATGTATGTCTGATAGTAGGTTTGGAGACTTTCTGACCCCAAGACCCAACTAACATCTGCAATTCTCTAGCTGTGACCCTTGGAGATTTTTTGGCCACTCTAACCATCCTCCTCACTGTGTGTGGGGTCAATATAGACACACGTCCTCTTCCAGGCCGATTGTTAACATCTCCAGCTGCTTTAAACTTCTTAATTATTGGCCAGATAGTGGAAATGGCCATTTTCAACCATTAAGCTATTTTCTTATAGCCATTTCCTGATTTGTGCAGCTCAACAACCTTTTGTCGCACATCATTACTGTATTCTCTGGTCTTTCCCATAGAGATGGATGACTATGGGAACTTGGCCTGTGTGTCACCTCATATTTGTACCCCAGTGAAACAGGAAGTCAAGGCTTACCACTTAAGTGTTCCTAATCACTCAGGTGAACTTAAAAACATAAAATATGAATGGGAATATACTTATAAGAATTTCTAGCGGTGCCAATAATTGTGGCACATGTTTTGGAGATTCTTTTTTTCATTTATTTCACATTCATTCTTTTCAATCATTTTACTTCAATTAAAGGTTCGATTTTTGTGAATATTTTGAATGAAAGACCAAGAGGATAAACAGCAAAGACATTTTTTTCACTGCCCGTTTTGCTAATATTTACCAAGAGTGCCAATATTAGTGGAGGGCACTGTATGACCTATGACTCACATGACAAGAATGATGGTTATCTGTACACATATTAGCATCTATCACCCAGACTTTCTCTTCCCTATCTCCCCCAACAGCCGATCCCTACAGCTGCATAGCATGCCAAACGGATGAGTGGGCCAGGAATGGCAGTACATCATGCACTAAGCGCACTATAGAGTATCTGCATTCCGATGCTCCGTTGGTCATTTTTCTGATGTTCCAGGCCAGCTCCATCATCGTCATCTCAATTGCCATCTTGGTTCTGTTCCTTTGTAAGAAGGACACCCCTGTGGTGAAGTCAGCCGGTGGGAGGCTCTGCTTCTTCATGTTGTGTTGCTTGTCCATGTCCTCCATCAGCGTCTTTCTCTACATCGGCAAACCCACGGAGGCCATCTGCACCTTACGCAATTCTGTGTTTATAGTCTTCTATGTCGCCTGCCTGTCCTGTCTCGCTGTTCGCTCCTTCCAGATTGTCTGTATCTTCAAAATGGCTGCCAAACTACCCAAAGCATATGATTTCTGGGTCAAGCATGGTGGACAGTGGATCACTATTATCACAACCACTGTCATAATGCTGTTTCTGTGCACTTTGTGGATAGCCATTGAAGGACCCAGGCCCAATCAGATAACATTGTATAGCGAGGTCATTTTGGATTGCACATATGGAGTCCTCCCCATCTTTTATTTGATAGTACTGTTTGCAGGTTTGCTGGGTATTGCATGCTTTAGCTTTGCCTACATGGGAACTGACCTGCCCAAAAACTACAACGAGGGTAAATCCATCACTTTCAGCTTGCTTATCTTCTTCATCTCTTGGGTCATCTCTCTGACGGTGCACCTGTCTACCAAAGGAAAGCACACACTCTCCGTCAATCCTTTCTCTGTGTTGTGCAGTCTGTATGGTATTCTCTTTGGTTACTTCTTCCCTAAATGCTATATCATTATCGTTACACCTGAGCGTAATACAGCAGCCTATTTTCAAACCGCAATCCAGAGTTACACACTTCAACCTAGATAATGTACAGATGTTGATAATGTCATATGACCTGTGTTGTGTGGCACTAGAACTGCCTCTACTGTGTTTTTGTTTCTTTTCAGTCTATCTATATTTTGTAATCCCATACTGTTTTCCTCCTTAAAAGCATTTAAAATTGTTTTCCCATTAATACAACACTTTCTAAATTATTTTTTTGTGTCCAATCAGAAAACAGTAGGTTAAAAGCAAGTAACAGCGTGTATCAAGTGCATTTATTATCCAAAATCCTTTCAAAGTTCACACTTTTAATCTACAAGAGTACTAAAATACTCTGAATTGTAGCAGGGATTCACCATATTAAAATAGGATGAACATAATGACTGAAATATGTATTTTGAAATATTATGGTGTGCTTAAAATAAGCTGTTGAAGTTTGACAAGGCTGTACAACAAGCTGGTGGTAAACTAACAGCAACATGCCTGTAATTGTTTTCTCATCTTGTTTGGACATTCTTTACATGAAGTTAGAGCTGCGTACAGAGGCTAAGTAACACAAAGTCCAACAATAACTGAGGATAAACTAAATGAAGGCTGATTTAGTCCCATAGAGCCTTCCTATAGTCAGTTAGTTTCCTTGATTGGAGGCAGAGTTCAGATGTCTTTACGAGTTTTTCTGAGGGACCTTGATTGTTACCTGAGGTAAAAGAATAAAATATGTTTTTGAAGCTTTGATATTAACACATTTTGTGAACATACATACAGTTGCTTGTGAGATGTTGCTGTTTATTACATATGTAACGTTGCAACAGCGTTCATACATTTACGTATGTGGCCTGAACATTTGATCCTACAGTAGTGTGTGTGGTGGTGATAGGGTCCTTACTGTTTTCACTTCAGTGTAGTTGTCCAGGCCATACTCTCCCAGCTCACGACCGTTACCAGAATATTTGTAGCCACCGAAGGGGGCTTGTGCTCCAAACACATCATAACAGTTAATCCTAAGCAGAAAGAAATGGACAACCCACACACACAATTAGCAGATTATAATAGGTCAACTTCAGCCAACTTCTGGACCATAATGCTACGGAAAGAAATTGACAATTTGATGGACGTAATGTAAAATAATGTAAGCTAGAAATCAGCGTACCAGACAGTGCCAGCGCGGAGTCCGTTAGAGATGTAGTGGGCCTTGTCGATGTCTTTGGTGAAGACAGCAGCTGCCAGGCCGTACTTTGTGTCATTGGCTCTCTCAACCACCTCCTCCAGAGTCTTAAACTTCAGGATCTGCATCACCGGCCCAAAGATCTGAACACAGACACAGGCAGGGAGAGACAATCAATATTATAGAGGAGAAAGGAATGTAAAGAATCTAACCTAAAGAGATATTTTCTCTAATGAGAACATGTTACACATGTATGATCTTGTCTGGTTACTTTCCTTAAAGCTAGAATACTTAATTGAAACAAAGTGTTCTCCTCGCCCCAGTTTCGCTAAAAAGCTAAGGGATGGGGCTGGAAAAATGTAACCACTCAAATTCATAGACAGAGCAATGGATGCAAGGACTAACCATCCATGATATCACATGTATAGTTTTAACCTTGTTTTGAGGCTATACAGTGTTTGTTTACATTTGTTGTTTCCAAACACTGGAGTAAAACAAGCTTATATTTTGGGTTCTGATGGGGTATAACAGTTGAACTAAGCTCATGAGGCATTTATACGATCTATTCTTTAAGAATCAATTGGTATATATCATTAATTTACAAGTTCAAAAATGAATGTAGCAAATAAGGATTCTAGCTTTAAAATAGCCACACAAATATACTTTAGACAACCAAAATATACAGGCTTTCCTTTTCATTTTCATGGGTATAGCCATTAGGGGGATTCTGTCAAGGCAGCCCCAAGAGCCAAAATGGTGGATCTTGACAGCCAGTTTCATGAAGAGTGAGTTGTTAATAATGACACTGCCATGCTGTACCTCCTCACGGGCGATGGTCATGTCATCCTGGACATCTCCAAAGATGGTTGGTTGGATGAAGTAGCCACGGTCTGCAGCCACCCCTCCCCCACACATCAGTTTGGCCCCCTCACGCTTCCCACTGCTGATGTAGCCCAGAATCTTCTTGAACTGTTCCTCGTCCACCTAGATAGGGAACCGTTTTATAGAGCTTGTAAGTGGGTGCCTTATTAATGTGTTAACCAAAACCAGACTACAAGTGCTTGTGTATATGTATGCATGCAAGTGCGTTCTTGTAGTTGTTTTCTGACAAAGCCTCTGCATTTGGAAATGCTGGTACCACAGTTACTTGAGTACGATAGAGTGTGCAGCTCTTCTATTTTCATCCAGTGTCTTATGTTTGGGTGTGCATCTTCAACTCCTCCTCTACTCGTCTGGGTGTGTTTGTGCACCATTTCTAACCTGGGGTCCCTGCTCAGTCTTCATGTTGAAGGGGTCTCCCACCACCCTGCTCTTGGCCCGCTCCACGCTGCGCTCCATAAACTCATCATAGATGGTGTCCTGCACGTATGTACGGGAGCCGGCACAGCAGCACTGGCCCTGGTTAAAGAACAGGGCAAAGTGGGACTGTTCCACCGCCTCCGCCACTGCAGAAAGAGAGAGAGAGAACACACAGTCATACATAACTGATATGTTTCGACTTGAGGTTCTGCAGCATTGGATTCCATGAAATTGACACTGGGCCTTGGGGTGGGTAGCTGCCGGAAGTGTTGTGGAATCCAATGGGCTGCTTTAGCATTAGCTAGCCTAGCATGCTGATGAAAAAGGCAGTTTAAAAAACTAGTTTTAAAAAATGGCTGAGCTAGGTTTCGACTTGAAGGGGAAGGTTTATTTACTGCTGAACCTCAAGTCGAAACATATCGGCTAAGTCAGACACAGCAATCACAATACAACAAATAAGACACACACAGGCAAACATGCACACACCTTAGTCAGAGGAGGCTGATGGGATAATGGGCTCATTATGGAAACCACATGTTTGACTCCGTTCCATTGATTCCATTCCAGCCATTACAATGAGGCTTTCCTCCTATAGCTCATCCCATCAGCCTCCTTTGGTAGATGTCCTTCGCTGTAAAAGTAGCAGCTGCCTGTTGCAATTGATACTTGATAAATAAAACGGACACCACGCTTTGTTGAAGATATTGCTAAATAATCTGTAGCAGACTATAAATTAAGTGTTCCCATTCTTTTCATATTTCTAACTGGATGCCCATCTAAAAAGTAAAGCAGCCAGGAGCCATACTCACTGTTTGCATCAGACATGATTATGTTGGGACTCTTTCCTCCCAGCTCCAGAGTGACCTTCTTCAGGTTGCTTGAGCCAGATGCCTGCTGGATCAGGTGACCTACCTGGACACATAGAGCATGGAGCTGCTTAGACAGCACAGGGCTCATTCTCATTCACACACTAATACGCCAAAACACATTGGCCATTTGAAAGAAATATCAGCACATACAGTATATCCAAATAGACATACAATTGGGCACTTGCAGGTGGTTGATTTTCATTTCTGAGATTATATGATTTATGCAGGTGTCATGGGATTGGTTAATCATCTAAGATTACTAAACAGCGACTCAGTTCTTTGAGCTGCCTGAGGTATGGGCTCTCTGTCTTACCTCAGTAGATCCTGTGAAAGCCACCTTATCCACATCCATGTGGGAGGCGATGGCAGAACCAGCAGATGGACCCATACCAGGCAGGATGTTCACCACACCTGGAGGGAAACCAACCTGAGAGAGAGAAAGACAAATGTACTAGAGTTGTGCATACTTCATTGAAACTGTGCTAAGTGTGGTAAGGAGGGTGTGTGTGTGGTATATGTGTGTGTACGTGTGTGTTTGTGTACCAACCTCCTTGATGAGACTGGCCACATACAGGGCAGTGAGGGGGGTCTGCTCAGCCACCTTCATCACCACTGTGTTGCCTGTAGCCAGAGCTGGGCCCAGCTTCCATGCCTGCATCAGCAGAGGGAAGTTCCACTGAGGGAAGACAGAGGGAGGAAGAGAGTGAATGGTAAATACAGACCATATCAAACGTGTGCATAAACGCATGCATAGACATAAATCCATGCATGCACTCGACACATTAAAGTCCAGGCTGCCACTATATTTATACAAAACAGCCTTGCAGCCCTGCCAGGTTTTGGAGGCAGGGTTTCACCTTAAATGATCCCTATCCCTCCCTCCTCCCATTGGCTGGTGGGACTGAAGCCAGCTCACTGAAACTGCTCTGCCAGCTCTTGTTTCCTCTCCAGTCTCTTTCACCATGACAGACTGAGCAAACACACCAGTTCTCACAGGCAAGAGGAAAGGGGCCACAAAATGGAAACGCTGGTAATACACTAGTGACATGTTAGCTGGTTAGAAATACCAAATTTGAACATGAACTACTGAGAATGTTGCTTAATATTCATCAAGGAGGTCCATTCCTAACCCCTGAACAGTTTAATATTAATCAAGGAGGTCCATCCCTAACCCCTGAACAGCTTAGGATTCATCAAGGAGGTCCATTCCTAACCCCTGAACAGCTTAGGATTCATCAAGGAGGTCCATTCCTAACCCCTGAACAGCTTAGGATTCATCAAGGAGGTCCATTCCTAACCCCTGAACAGCTTAGGATTCATCAAGGAGGTCCATCCCTAACCCCTGAACAGCTTAAGATTCATCAAGATCCATCGTTAACCCCTGAACAGCTCCTTCACTCACTCACCGGTATGATCTGGCCACACACACCGATGGGCTCATGACGGGTGTAGCAGAAGAAGTCTCCATCAATGGGAATGGTCTTCCCCTCCCACTTATCTGCCCAGCCTGCATAGTACCTGTGCACACACATAGACAGTAAACACTTGGACTCAAGAATCCTCAAAAATCTTATACCTTTCAGATACATCAAAAGGGATATGGGGGATGTCAATACTTCTCAACTGCACTAAATAAGTCATTACTACATTCCATATTCAGTAAATACCAGGAGGACACTAGACTCCTCAGTAGGGCTACCATGTATACATGTTTATTATGAAAGAGAACTGCAGCAACTATAGTTTCAGATATCAAGAGTAGAAGGAAATGAGGACAATGTATCTTTGACCGTTAATGGATTTGTTTTCAAAGGAAACTGTAAATGAGTCTATTTACAATCCTTTGAAAGGTAAACAAGCACACCTGCAGTAGATTGAGATAGTGATTGGATCCACAGTGAGTATACAGTAAGCAGTCTAGGTCATGGTGCTGGGTGCCAGCCAATCAAATAAGGGAGCTTTGGCAGTCTGCAGTCACATTCTTGTAAGAACTAATTCACAGTCACTCTCACCCTCTTTTGCCCCTCTCTTTCCCCATCATTCTGTCTCTGCCTCTCCCTACAACTTCACACACACTTACAAATGTAACAAACATTCAGCCATATAGCAGAATGCCACATCTGCCACTTAAGATTTATGACAACTCATACATTTTGGTTTGCAGAAAGTAATAATAATAATAATATTAATATTAATAATAATAATAATAATAATAATAATAATAATGTATTACATTTGTAAAGCGCTTTTCATTATACAGAATAATCTCAAAGTGCATAAAATAACAACCAAATAGAATTTTAGAAGGCAACTGACAAAGAACACAGCTGACGCTACAAGGGACAAGGTCACCAAGGAGCACAGCTATCAATAGAAAGCCTAGAAAGGTCTTTAGGCCGTTTTAAAGGAGCCCAGCGTCTGTGGTGCCTTCAGGTGGTCCGGGAGGGCATTCCAGAGGCTGGGGGCAGTCGAGCTGAAAGCCCCATCCCCCAAGGATAAAATGCATGCGTTCATTCCACTGCTCACACACACTGCATTTTATATTACTGTGACTGACCTGAGGCACTTGACCACCATGGGCACGTCCACACTGTAGGACACAGCATAGGGCTTCCCATTGTCCAGGGTCTCCAGTTCCTATGGCAAAATAAGGTAAAAGTGTCAACAGAGTTCCGCCATGGCCTAAATAATAAAGGTTGATTGAGGACAGATAGTAGCAAGGCTGCATTCTGTATTACGTAACATTGTCAAACAAAGGTGTCATTGTACGCTGATGATTCATGTTGTTTTCTTTTAAAGCCACAATTTGGATCCCTCCACAGCCTTATAGAGGATCTAAATACGTTTTCTAACCTCTCTGGATTACAACCAAATTATGATAAGTGTACTATATTTAAGCAATAACGCATGAGGGGGTGTGGTATACGGCCAATATACCACGGCTAAGGTCTGTTCTTATGCACGACGCAACACGGAGTGCCTGGACACAGCCCTTAGCCGTGGTATATTGGCCATTTACCACAAACCCCTGAGGTGGCTTATTGCTATTATAAACTGGTTAAAAACTTAATTAGAGCAGTAAAAATAAAATGTTTTGTCATACCCGTGGTATACGGTCTGATATACCACAGCTGTCAACCAATCAGCAACCAGGGCTCGAACCACCCAGTTTATAATATGTATTGGATCACTAAAAAATACAACTTTTACATTACTGTGTAGTTTACCAATAAAATAGTCTGATGGTGATGTGGACATACTCTGTATTCATATCCCGGAACGAAGAAATGATCTCACTACAATACATTTTAATAGAAGTTAGCAAATATAGATAAGATCTTGCTACCATGGAAAGAAAAATACCTGTCTATTTGTGGAAAAATCAACCTGATTAACTCTTTAGTCATATCTAGTTTACCTATTTGCTTATGGCTTTGCCTACACCTAGTGACTTGTTTTTTAAATTATACAAGCAAAAATAATTTCAATTTTATTTGGAGCGGCAAGCCAGAGAAAATTAAAAGGGCCTATTTATATAATTAAAATGAATTCGGAGAGCATAGATTATTAAATATTAAAGCATTAGACCTCTCACTAAAGGCTTCAGTCATAGAAAAGTTATACTTAAATCCGAACTGGTTCTCTAGCAGATTAGTAAGAATGTCTCACCCCATGTTCAAGAATGGCCTTTTTCCCTTTATTCAGATTACAACCTCTCACTTTCGGTTATTTAAAATGAAATAATCTCCAAAATATCACTATTTTTAAAACAAGCCATAGAAAGTTGGTTGCAATTTCAGTTTAATCCACCAGAAAAGATAATAAATAATGCAACAAATATTATGGTTAAACTCAAATATACTAATTCATTTAAAAAAAACATTATTTTTGGAATAAAATAAATAAATAAAAAATCTTTGTAAATGACATCATAAATACGACTGGTGGAGTTGTCACACATGCAGCTAACAAAAATATACGGAAATGTCTGCTCTACCCAATATTACAACCAACTAATTGCAGCATTACATCCCTCTCCTATTCTCGCTATACACCAAGTCACTTGGCTCTGTCATATCCTCACATGGCCTCTCCTATCATTGCTACGCAGACGACACACAACTAATCTTCTCCTTTCCCCCTTCTGATAACCAGGTGGCGAATCGCATCTCTGCATGTCTGGCAGACATATCAGTGTGGATGACGGATCACCACCTCAAGCTGAACCTCGGCAAGACGGAGCTGCTCTTCCTCCCGGGGAAGGACTGCCCGTTCCATGATCTCGCCATCACGGTTGACAACTCCGTTGTGTCCTCCTCCCAGAGTGTGAAGAGCCTTGGCATGACCCTGGACAACACCCTGTCCTTCTCCGCTAACATCAAGGCGGTGACCCGATCCTGTAGGTTCATGCTCTACAACATTCGGAGAGTACGACCCTGCCTTACACAGGAAGCGGCACAGGTCCTAATCCAGGCACTTGTCATCTCCCGTCTGGATTACTGCAACTCACTGTTGGCTGGCCTCCCTGCCTGTGCCATTAAACCCCTACAACTCATCCAGAATGCCCCAGCCCGTCTGGTGTTCAACCTTCCCAAGTTCTCTCACGTCACCCCGCTCCTCCGCACACTCCACTGGCTTCCAGTTGAAGCTCGCATCTGCTACAAGACCATGGTGCTTGCCTACGGAGCTGTGAGGGGAACGGCACCTCCGTACCTTCAGGCTCTGATCAGTCCCTACACCCAAACGAGGGCATTGCGTTCATCCACCTCTGGCCTGCTGGCCCCCCTACCTCTGCGGAAGCACAGTTCCCGCTCAGCCCAGTCAAAACTGTTCGCTGCTCTGGCACCCCAATGGTGGAACAAGCTCCCTCACAACGCCAGGACAGCGGAGTCACTCACCACCTTCCGGAGACACTTGAAACCCCACCTCTTTAAGGAATACCTGGGATAGGATAAAGTAATCCTTCTACCCCCCCCCCCCTTACCCTACCCCACCCAAAAAATAAAATAAAAATAAACATTTTAAAGTGGCTATAAGGTGAATGCACCAATTTGTAAGTCACTCTGGATAAGAGCGTCTGCTAAATGACGTAAATGTAGATGTAATTACTGCGAAAACAGAAGAGACAAGTGGAAGGGGGAAAAAGTAAGGAACTTGTCTGTCGGCCCTGCATTAAAGACGACCCTGGTTAAAGAAAATTGTGATAATTAAAAAAGTATACCGGTTTCATTTAAGGACCAAAAAATTGACAGCTGTGCCATATAGATTGCAAAATAGTTGGGAAGAGATTTTCGATGTACCGATTCCATGGCACATGGTTTATGAACTGATACACAAAACGAAGCGATAGATGGGATGGGTTGAGAGTAGCTGAAGGATGGGATTAAAAACAAACAAAAGTTAACTAAAGTAAAATATACTGTGTCCGTAAAATGTATATAGTATGTATAAGCTGGAAGTAGAAGCCTAAGTGTTGTTGTCCATTTATTTATTTTGAATATAATATTATAAAATTGTATTTATTTTAATTTAAAAAAAGATATGGGGGATTGGAAATGATTCAGACAATTACATTGCTGGAAGCCATCTGCAATATTAAAGCAGATCTACCCCCTAAAAAAATTGCTATACCTTCCTAGAAAGAGCTAATAGATATCCAGTGTTGTCCACAGCAGCATACAGTATGTATTTAGAGGAAGGCTCTGTAACATGCTGCTAATGGACTAAACAGATGTTATACTATAACATTATCATATCAAATTACAGGGACTATTTTCTGCTACAGGGTGTTAATCAGTTCAGAGTCCAGTTAAACACCAGTAACCCTCACTTTAGTTAGGTCACATTAGAATCAAATATTTTGAGACTGTTGCACAAGCAAGACACAACCCAGGGAATGAATTGGCTCATCATCAACAGAGTGAATCAACGATTAGTTCCATGCACCATTTATTTGGGAACAAAAGAGTAGATGTGGTCAACATAACACGCACTACAAAATGTATCTAGCTACAACATTTACAGTCACGTACAGTTAATGTTGAGGACATTGGACTGTACATACTTCAACAGATTGGGCGGTCTTATAACAATTACAAGTACTGACGAGTCACTGGTGTTGGCTTGGCTCTGAACAGACTCCCTCTCACATACACACCATATCCATATTTAACATGTAGCTGGGGCCGGTTCAGTGGACAGAATCAGTGTTATTTCCAGTCCTGATGGACCTTGTACCCCTGATAAGCCAATCTGACAGTAGTTAATCAAGTACAATCTAAATACTGTCCTAACAATCCTACTCTCTTGTAATACACACCCCCCCCCCCCCCCCACCCCACCCCCCACACACACACACAGAGACACAAACTAAGCAGTTTGTTTCTCTCTCCAAGAACCAATCCCTTGCGTAAGCTAAAGGAAATCTGATTTGAGCAGGGCCTCATTTACCAGGCAAAGTAGGGCAGCTTCCTGTGCTGAGGCCGTTCATTATTTTATCAAAACAAGGCCAGAGAAACCCTTTCACCACAATAACCTTTCCCCTATTACTTTCACCAAACAAGCCAAACCTGTAACATAACACCAACAAATATGCATTGTGTATGTCTTGGAAGAGCAGCACTAAGGAATTATTTTACACCACTTCCCCAGCGGTTTCTCAGTGTTGATCCTAGCCGTGACCCTTCGTCTCTATCTCTACCATGTGACTTCAGCGCGGGAGCTGCACAGGTCAGCAACCTGTGGAATACAGGACTAATACACTGACTCTGCAAAATATGGTGCTGCTGTTCACAAGCCAAATAAATCTATCTGAACATACTTTTTTTGAAGATAATATTTCTAGGTAAAAGGGAAAAGGTTTCCACCACTGGAAGCTAACATTTGTCATCAGACAAAGCACTGTGCCAGTGCCACACAAGTAAACTCTAATACAATCCCAACAACTTTGCTTTCTTTGGCATGAGTGCCAGACCAGGAATGTTGTGCATCTAATTAGCCGCTCATAACACCACTTCAAGTGAATCATTTCCATTGACCAGCAGTAATGGGACTGCGTCACTGACCGCTAGGTAGGCTGTGTCCCTCTCGATTGCATCTGCCAGCCGGCTCAGGAGCAGCCCGCGGTCCGACGCATCCATGCGTCGCCATGGTGACCCAAACCTGAAGGCCTCCCTGGCAGCCTTCACAGCCTTGTCCACATCTGCCTGGAGAGAGGGAGGAGGCCACAGAGGGAGACGAAAAGACAAGCAATATTAGATTATATAACTTAAAAAAGAACTTATCAAGTAATTCAATTACGACAATGTAATAACATAAATAAGATGGTCACACACCTGGCCCCTGCAAGACAGTGCTCTAATTACACCTGTTGTTAAGGTTAACCTTTTCCCTGGTTATTTTACCCTCTCGTCCTCCTACCACATCTAATTGTCATGTTTCTGCTTCAGGCAACTTGTCATTGTCTTAGTATGCTAAGGATGTAGTTTTGTTGGAATACAGAAACAGTGAGGGGCCTGTTCAAATGCTTTGAAAATGCCGTCTTCTGTCCTCCCTTTCTTGAAGTAGTCATTATGACTGCATAGGTCCAAGCTATGTAGGCTAGTGGAACCCCTGCTTTCACCTATCCAATTACAGTTGAAGTCAGAAGTTTACATACACTTACAGTGGAGAGAACAAGTATTTGATACACTGCCGATTTTGCAGGTTTTCCTATTTACAAAGCATGTAGAGGTCTGTACTTTTTATCATAGGTACACTTCAACTGTGAGAGATGGAATCTAAAACAAAAATCCAGAAAATCACATTGTATGATTTTTAAGTAATTAATTTGCATTTTATTGCATGACATAAGTATTTGATCACCTACCAACCAGTAAGAATTCCGGCTCTCACAGACCTGTTAATTTTTCTTTAAGAAGCCCTCCTGTTCTCCTCTCATTACCTGTATTAACTGCACCTGTTTGAACTCGTTACCTGTATAAAAGACACCTGTCCACACACTCAATCAAACAGACTCCAACCTCTCCACAATGGCCAAGACCAGAGAGCTGTGTAAGGACATTAGGGATAAAATTGTAGACCTGCACAAGGCTGGGATGGGCTACAGGACAATAGGCAAGCAGCTTGGTGAGAAGGCAACAACTGTTGGCGCAATTATTAGAAAATGGAAGAAGTTCAAGATGACGGTCAATCACCCTCGGTCTGGGGCTCCATGCAAGATCTCACCTCGTGGGGCATCAATGATCATGAGGAAGGTGAGGGATCAGCCCAGAACTACACGGCAGGACCTGGTCAATGACCTGAAGAGAGCTGGGACCACAGTCTCAAAGAAAACCATTAGTAACACACTACGCCGTCATGGATTAAAATCCTGCAGCGCACGCAAGGTCCCCCTGTTCAAGCCAGCGCATGTCCAGGCCCATCTGAAGTTTGCCAATGACCATCTGGATGATCCAGAGGAGGAATGGGAGAAGGTCATGTGGTCTGATGAGACAAAAATAGAGCTTTTTGGTCTAAACTCCACTCGCAGTGTTTGGAGGAAGAAGAAGGATGAGTACAACCCCAAGAAAACCATCCCAACCGTGAAGCATGGAGGTGGAAACATCATTCTTTGGGGATGCTTTTCTGCAAAGGGGACAGGACGACTGCACCGTATTGAGGGGAGGATGGATGGGGCCATGTATCACGAGATCTTGGCCAACAACCTCCTTCCCTCAGTAAGAGCATTGAAGATGGGTCGTGGCTGAGTCTTCCTGCATGACAACGACCCGAAACACACAGCCAAGGCAACTAAGGAGTGGCTCCGTAAGAAGCATCTCAAGGTCCTGGAGTGGTCTAGCCAGACTCCAGACCTGAACCCAATAGAAAATCTTTGGAGGGAGCTGAAAGTCCGTATTGCCCAGCGACAGCCCCGAAACCTGAAGGATCTGGAGAAGGTCTGTATGGAGGAGTGGGCCAAAATCCCTGCTGCAGTGTGTGCAAACCTGGTCAAGACCTACAGGAAACGTATGATCTCTGTAATTGCAAAAAAAGGTTTCTGTACCAAATATTAAGTTCTGCTTTATCAAATACTTATGTCATGCAATAAAATGCAAATTAATTACTTAAAAATCATACAATGTGATTTTCTGCAAAATCGGCAGTGTATCAAATACTTGTTCTCCCCACTGTAGGTTGGAGTCATTAAAACTCGTTTTTCAACCAAACACAGATTTCTTGTTAACAAACTATAATTTTGGCAAGTCGGTTAGGACATCTACTTTGTGCATGACACAAGTAATTTTTCCAACAATTGTTTACAGACAGATTATTTCTCTTATAATTAATTGTATCACAATTCCAGTGGGTCAGAAGTTTACACACTAAGTTGACTGTGCCTTTAAACAGCTTGGAAAATTCCAGAAAATGATGTCATGGCTTTAGAAGCTTCTGATAGGCTAATTGACATCATTTGAGTCAATTGGAGGTGTACCTGTGGATGTATTTCAAGGCCTACCTACAAACTCAGTGCCTCTTTGCTTGACATCATGGGAAAATCAAAAGAAATCAGACAAGACCTCAGAAAAAAATGGTAGACCTTCACAAGTCTGGAGCAATTTCAAAACGCCTGAAGGTACCACGTTCATCTGTACAAACAATAGTACACAAGTATAAACACCATGGGACCATGCAGCCGTCATACCGCTCAGGAAGGAGATGCGTTCTGTCTCCTAGAGATGAACGTACTTTGGTGCGAAAAGTGCAAATCAATCCCAGAACAACAGCAAAGGACCTTGTGAAGATGCTGGAGGAAACAGGTACAAAAGTATCTATATCCGCAGTAAAACGAGTCCTAAATCGACATAACCTGAAAGGCCGCTCAGCAAGGAAGGAGCCACTGCTCCAAAACTGCCATAAAAAAGTCAGACTATGGTTTGCAACTGCACATGGGGACAAAGATCGTACTTTTAGGAGAAATGTCCTCTGGTCTGATGAAACAAAAATATAATTGTTTGGCCATAATGACCATCGTTATGTTTGGAGGAAAAAGGGGGACGCTTGCAAGCCGAAGAACACCATCCCAACCGTGAAGCACGGGGGTAGCAGCATCATGCTGTGGGGGTGCTTTGCTGCAGGAGGGACTGGTAAACTTCACAAAATAGATGGCATCATGAGGAAGGAAAATTATGTGGATATATTGAAGCAACATCTCAAGACATCAGTCAGGAAGTTAAAGCTTGGTCGCAAATGGGTCTTCCAAATGGACAATGACCACAATCATACTTCCAAAGTTGTGGCAAAATGGTTTAAGGACAACACAGTCAAGGTATTGGAGTGGCCATCACAAAGCCCTGACCTCAATCTTATAGAAAATGTGTGGGCAAAACTGAAAAAACGTGTGCGAGCAAGGATGCCTACAAACCTGACTCAGTTACACCAGCTCTGTCAGGAGGAATGGGCCAAAATTCACCCAACTTATTGTGGGAAGCTAGTGGAAGGCTACCCGAAACGTTTGACCCAAGTTAAACAATTTAAAGGCAATGCTACCAAATACTAATTGAGTGCATGTAAACTTCTGACCCACTGGGAATGTGATGAAAGAAATAAAAGCAGAAGATAAATCATTCTCTCTACTATTATTCTGACATTTCACATTCTTAAAATGAAGTGGTGATCCTAACTGACCTAAGACAGGGAATTTTTACTAGGATTAAATGTCAGGAATTGTGAAAAACTGAGTTTTAATGTATTTGGCTAAGGTGTATGTAAACTTCTGAATTCAACTGTATATTGGATCAGTGATTACTCCAAGGAACCGAGGATGTAAGTCTTGTATTTAGACAGAACAGGGCCAGGTATCAAGGCAGTTCCAGCCACTGACCTTGTCTGCCTCAGCCACCTGACAGATGACCTCTCCTGTGGCTGGGTTGATGGTGGGGAAGGACCTCTTGCTGACAGCATCCTGCCACTCATTATTGATGAACAGCTGTAATGAGACAGAGGAGATTTGATTAGGCTCTATGTTTAGATTACAGATCTTATCACAACTGTTTGATTCAACAGACCGAAAATAAATTGGAGCCAGTATAAACATTGTATTGTCCAGTTGCATCCCATTACTTCCCTTCAGTTCTTATTTGTGCAATATTGTAAGATACTGTCTCTGACATAATATTACAATGGTATATAATTTCCCCCAAAACAATTTAACAGAAACGCATACATGCACATTATGTGTGTTGTGGCTCTCTATGTACAAGCTGGCCTTTCAACTCTAGCAAAAGTGTTATTAATGCACCCCTGGAAAGTTTCTGGCTGTCTGCCACATTACAGTTTTGCATAACACCATCATACCCAACAATTATCTAGTGTATATGTAATTCAGTTGACCTAATGTATCGAATAAGTAAGATGTGAACGCAATTGTCAAAATCTAATCAGCTACGTTCTCACAAAGGTTCAATCAGGTCAAGTGTTTTAATGTCAACAAGTAGGCCAAAAGATATTGCAATTCTCACGTATGCCTAGTTGCCTTGCAATGAATTACACATGACAGAAATACACTAAACTGATCATTTCAGTCGTGTGCAGCAATGATATAATAGCTACTCAACATGTCATTCACAGGTTGTGAATGCTTATCGCTTACCTTGTTATAATGCACTTCGGGCTGTGCGCTTGGAACGGGGATGGCAGCCGCCGAATACTGACAATTCGCAATGCCAGAGATTCGAGGCAAAGTTCGGGATAACACAATTCGGAGCATCGTGCTTCTTCAACACAAACGTGTGTGTCAACCAGGGAGAGAGGGCGGCGGGCTTTCACAAAGTACGGTACAGCGAAGTCGATCGTCATCTGTCACCCGCCCCCAAGAGCATGCGCAGTAGAGCCTTCCTTAGATTAGTTTACAAAGTGAAATGTAGGCTATAGCGCCTACATCAATACCTCTCAAATTCATAAAGGGGAAAACGTTGGTGGAAAACATAACATAAATGAAATAAAATAAAACAGCAAATCACATTTTCTTACAAGACTTCACTTCATCTTTGCAACAGCCTCCCCAACATCCAAAATCATTTAGAAGAAACTATTCAACCAAGGTAAGGGAAACATTTACTAAGCAATTTTATAAATGAGGGCACATTCTCAACACAAGAAATCATGAGCAAAAACAAGCAGACAGGTTATGCACACCCTCATTCCCAGTGGTGTAAAGTACTTAAGTAAAAATACTTTAAAGTACTACTTAAGTCGTTTTTTGGGGTGGATCTGTACTTTACTTTACTGTTTATATTTTTGACAATTTTTACTTTACTTAAATACATTCCTAAAGAAAATAATGTACTTTTTACTCCATACATTTTCGCTGACACCCAAAAGTACTCGTTACATTTTGAATGCTTAGCAGGACAGGAAAATGGTCCAATTCACACACTTATCAAGAGAACATCATCTCTACTGCCTCTGATCTGGTGGACTCACTAAACACAAATGCATCATTTGTAAATTATGCCCGAGTGTAGGAGTGTGCCCTTGGCTATCCATAAATTTAAAAAACACGAACATTGAGCCATCTGGTTTGCTTAATATAAGGAATTTGAAATTATTTATACTTTTTCTTTTACTTTTTATACTTAAGTATATTTTAGCAATTACATTTACTTTTGTATATTTAAGTACTGTATATTTAAAACCAAATACTTTCATACTTTTGATCAAGTAGAATTTTACTGGGTGACTTTCACTTTGACATGTTCTATTCATGTATCTTTACTTTTACTAAAGTATTACAATTGGGTACTTTTCCTACCACTGCTCATTCCACAGAAAAAGAAGCCTATCGCCTACATCGACCATAGCCCAAAGGCCGGCAGATGGTGATATTGAGTTGTTTCATTTGACCGTCCACCACCATGCTAGAGTGGCTATAATGCCAAGGAATGCTAGTCCCAGATGTTGGATATCGCGTTTAGCCAATCAGGTTGCAGCAGTCTGTTGTTAATCCCAGGCTGAAGGGTGGCGCAACATCATGAATAGGCATTAGCCACTCTAGCATGGTGGTGGAAAATGGTGTTTCATAAAGAAAGTATGCTTACCCCCCCCCCCCCACCCCACCCCCCCACCCCCCCCCACACACACCTTCTCGCCATTAAATCGAGTTAAGGAGGAAATCGACACCTTTGCAGCCTGAATGATGACTGTTTAATGTATGAAGCGGTCCACAGGGGATACAAGTGTCTGCATGCATTCCCTCTGGATGGTAATATGAAACGACTCGATATCGCCACCTGCCGGCCTTTGGGCTACGGATGGGTTAGCTGACAATGTGACAAAAACAATTGGCAGGTTAGGGATTACCTGGAGGAAAATTGGCGAGGTCATGCTTTTTCAATTTCAGTCAAGGGGAGGATTTAGTATTTTTTTTAAAATCTAGTCCAGGGGAGGGTCATGTCATTTGTAATCGATGAAATGTCAATATTTCTCAGTGTTTTAGAATTAGTTGCTTATTAGGTTATATATAGCCTATCAATGTGTGCCAAATGCAGCCCCTCATCTCTGATTCTTAGCTGGTCATGCAATATCAAGGACGGGTGCGCAACTATGGGGCAAAACAGGGTTAGCTTAGATTGGTGACAACATGTAAACTATATATAGTCTCCAATGTTTATTGAAAATAAATACATTTGCACAATGAGCACTTGTTGTCTCTCAAATACAACATTACAGTTGTTGGTTAGCTAGCTAGTGAATTATAGCCATATTAGCATTGACAGGAAATCAGTCAAAACACCTCAAAACAAGATATGGTATCAAGAACAAGATAAAACTAGCTGAAACGAGACACTTACGATTCCCCACATGGCAGTTTTTTGTCATTGTTGCTAGCTATCTGGCCATCCAGAACCACAGCAACTCATAGACTTCTGCCCCATTAAGGGAGTGAACATGCACATCGTTTTTGTGAAGTTGTCAGCTAACCAATCTATAGGCTATTTAGTGTGGTCTCAATCAAATGATCCATAGCCTATAGCCTATAGGCTACGAAGTGCAGTTATATTTCTAAGATAGCTGCTGGGATGGTGTAAATACAACTAGGCTGTATTACACACTGCAATGGATATTCCAACCCTGAGCCCCGGCCTGCTCTGCTCTTGCTGATCAAAAACCTTTTTTGTCCTGCCTAACCAATGGCTGTGCTGTGTAGGCCTAAGGTGGCAGTTGAGGATGAGAGTCCAAGGCTTTTTTTATTAGGCCTAGTCTAAAAATGCACTATCTTGAGTGCAGACTAGCCTATAGCCTATGAGAAGGAGGACCGGAGGTCAACATTGATAGCTTGTTACTACTATCATTTATTTTATTTAAAGCAATATGTTTCTTGCCCATTATGTATTTATCAGAGTTATTGACATCACAATAAACCAGATTTTAGTAACTTATATTGTGGTGCTGAAACTTGAAGTAGGAGCCGCAGCACAATCGGAAATGGACAGCTCATGGTGCTGAAAGTAGGCAAATTCGAGTAGGCATAATTCATTTCAAACATCTTCATTTTAGTTAGACTTTACTAACAACAAGAGGGCTTTGTGTTGGAGCATATTTCTTCCTATTTAAGAAATAAGAGATAGGCCTACCTGGTTGACAGACGAAATTAGGCTATAGGCTGCTATATCCATAGATTTGTCAGTCAATTCCTCCACCCACCATGCACTCTACCTCCGTGTCAGTGAAGGGCTGTTAAGTTAAAACCAAGACTTGAATTGAGGGGGTATGGGAGGGTATGCCATAGGCCTACCTTTTATTAAAGAAAATGGTAAAAAGCACAGGCCTACCCCTTGTTAGCTTAAGATTTTGAAGAAAATAAAACAAGGGTTTAGGTAAATATATTTTGCTGAAGGGAGGGCCATCCTTTTCAGAGAGGTCAGATTTTCTCCATGTAACCCTTATTATAAAAAAAAGTTCACTCCCTTAATGGGGCAGAAGTCCATGAGTAGTTGTGATTCTGGATGGCCAGATGGCTAGCAACAAGGACAAGAAACTGTTGTTTACATGCTGTCAACATTCTAAGCCAACCCCATCTTTTTTGCCCCATAGTTGCACACGCGTCGGTGTTGTTGCTAAACAACCAACCCATCGATTAGTGAATATGAACCATGTGAACCTTGACTAGAGAACTGTGCACCCATATTTCAGAGGCAGTGCCTTTATAATAGTGGTGGATAATGTCAGACTGTTCAAACGAGACAAATGTTTACCCATGAAACAGGATCTGGCCTGTTTCAAATGAAACAACTCAATATCACCATCTGCCGGCCTTTGGGCTATGGTCGATGTAGGCGATAGGCTTCTTTTTCTGTGGAATGAGCAGTGGTAGGATTAAGTGAGTTAGATAAGGATATATAAGACAGGTGCTTTATCAACTTCCTGAAAACCTGCAAAGCTCTGTTGAGACACATTGTGTGGCTGTGAGATCAGCAAGGCCTTAGTAGACAGTGATGTGTATAAACCCTGGATTGCTGATGCTATGTAATGGCCAATGAGAGGCTTTGAAGCTACTGGCCGCCATATTGGTACTCCCCAGAAGGAGCAGTCCTCCATAGGAATTAATGGAATTCTACATTATTTCAATCAAATGTTTAAAGGACAAAATTACATGTATTTAAGTATTTCTTTTTTGTAGTGGGGACAGTAGCATTTGGAAGAAGAAAAAAAAAGCTTTCAGGAATATTTTTCATGTTCAGTTCACTTAATATAATTTTAAAGTATTCATTAAGGTGTCTGCAATAGAATATACTTGTCAAAAACAATTGTAGACATTAATAGATTCATTTTTATAGCTTACAAAATATATTTTTTACAATGGAGGAGGAACACCAAAATGGCTGTGTGGTCGCTTCAAAACAGCGCCCCCTGTCCATTTTTAATAGACCTTAGTACTACATTCGGGTATATATGGTAATCCTTGAGGCATGGTAATCCTCTATCTGCTGTATCTACGGCCAGGAGCTAGCCATTTCACCCCACCCCAGACAAGGGTGCTGGTTCCAGGCTGAAGCAGTAGCCTGGGGTGCCCAAGGTTCCTATGTGGGAAGGTGGGACAGAGGTGTGGAACTGGAACTGAACTTGAGCTAGGAGGACCGTGGACGGGACCTCTAAAGATCATTCAGCTTCTGCTACTGTGATGCCTAGTCACTTTACCCCTGCCTTTATGTACATATCTGCAAATACCTCGTACCCATGCACAGTGATATGGTTCTGGTACTCCCTGTATATAGCTTCATTCTTTTGTATTTTATTACTCTTGTGACAAATACAATGGCATTTTATAGATTTTATTGGATTTTGACAGCAGTGCTCTACAGAGTGGGGCAACTACACTGAGTGTACAAACATTAGGAACACCTTCCTAATATTGAGTTGCACCCCATTTTGCCCTCAGAACAGCCTCAATTCGTCGGGGCATGAACTCTACAAGGTGTCTAAAAGCGTTTCACGGGGATGCTGGCCCATGTTGACTCCAATGCTTCCCATTGTGTCAAGTTGGCTGGATGTCCTATGGGTGGTGGACCATTCTTGATACACACGGGAAACTGTTGAGCGTGAAAAACCCAGCAGCGTTGCAGTTCTTGACACACTCAAACCGGCACGCCTGGCACCTACTACCCCCCCCCCCCCCCCCCCGATTAACTATCTAATGTTAGCTAAAGGTAGTAATGAATAAATTGGCTACATTTCTTTAAATTGACAATTCTGTGAACTGTCTTGTGCATGTTTTAAATTGACACAATACCTGTTAGCAAAAGTGTCAGCTAGATATGACCTGCAGGAGCTTGCAGGGATTTGCAGTCTTGCATGATGTCTACTTTGATGATAATTAGCATTTTCGAAACTGAGAGTAAATGGAACCGAATATATTGATAAAAGTCACCTTGTCCTAGAGAGATTTAAATGGTTATCAAAACGTTACGCCAGGGTAAGTCTACACGGCCCTTATTTCCCAATGGGAAAAATTAATGGTGGAAAAACGATTGGAACCATTTCCCTGTTTGACTGCTAGGTTTTATGGGTATTATGACACCTCCACTGTGGGGCTCTATTACACAGAACATTTAGAATCTTGTTATTGATATCCACTATCAGCAAGTCTGTCTGTGAATGAAATAAAATAAATACACCTGTGAAAATACATATTGAATGGGTGGGAGATGAGATCCCATCAATTTATTATTTGATTTTGACTTTGTCATTTATTACATTACAGATCACATTACAGTACACCAGTCAACATTTTACATATAGTATATGAAGTGGATATACATTTCCACCCTGATGCTTTACCACTAGATGGCAACATTAGCTTCTGTTTCCTTGTATCGCAGCACCAGCTAATGTCCATGAAAATACCTTAGAGGTCCTACATGAGGTTTGCCAAGAAAAAACTTTCCTAGGTTGAATATACTGACCATAAAGTCTATGATACTGACCCAGAAAATGGTGTCATGCACTGTTCTATTCAAATTCACTTTATCCTTTCCACATGTTAACAGCTCCCTCAACATATTTTTCACAGCCAGAATTATGTTAAAATTAAAAGTCTCTTTTATAAAGAAATTAATAATTCCCTTCACCTTTCCCTTCGCTCATTTACACATTGCTGATATCATTTCCCCTGATTTGACCTCCAACGTCCTACATTCATTCTTCCCTTTCAACCCCTGAAGGAGTGTGAAAACTCACGTGTTGGGGATATAAGACTAGATGCCCTGAAGTTAACACGGATAGGTTGGGAGACTTTAGGCAAGTCCTTTGTGATTTCGAAAATCTCCTGTTTATCTGAACATACTCCTTTGGCGATCGTCTCAAACTCCATGATAGACTTGTACTCTGATGGAGAGGGAGTTCTGTACAGGTCTTTGGGCGAGGCGGCTTTGCTGGGAGTGAAGATGGGCACACGGAGGGCGTTCTTGTATGGCAGCTGGTACTCCTTCAGCATTCCACCCCTTGTGCCCATCTTGATCTGCTGACTGGGGTTTCTCTGGACCAAGAAATGAGCCACCTGTTTCTGATTGTAGGTCTCCTTTCTCGAGTAGTCATTTTCAAACAATGTGGTCCTGGAATCAAGCAATAACATTTTTTAAAGAGCAGTCTGAAAGTGTATTGCTGTTCTTACTGTTCTTAGACACGTGATTAGTAAGACCAATATAATCTTTTTGAAAATGTGTTCATTTAGTGAATGATAATAATGAATTTGTGGCACACATTGAACATGAACAACAGCACTCAGCTGGATCAGTGATTTAAAGCAACATTTTATAAAACGATCTATCATGTCACTATACATACTGTTGTTCTGGTCTTGTTTCCATCACCAAGTCTAGCCAAGTGGCCTGGTAGGACTCCTTCTTCTCCTGGTCCTTCTCCTTTACATCGCAGTGGGCATTCACCAGATACACATCCCCACTGTTTAGACTGTTAATCTTGTGTGTGTAGAGCATAGTGGAGAGAGAGATGAGAAAGTTGACTGACTCCCTGTTAGATGTGATAATATATAGGCTTCTCTAGAACTTGCTTTTGGCTGGAGATGAATGACAGTTGGTCTGTCTGTGTGTGAGGTTGTGTGTTGTACTGTGGTTCTCCAGAGCCTCTTATAATGTTACGGTTCTATTTTTACCCTACTACATCATATCATTGCCAATGCTGTCACCGTGGTTGGCTCAGGTTGGTTGGCGTTTCAGGTTGGTTCATAGCTGTCCTGTGAGGAAGGCGACCAGTGGAAAGAGTGACTAACACCACTTTAATTTCATTGAGTTGTATTAGCCAGTCCAAACCACACCAAGAGGTTAAAGGTGAGTCATGCTCCTCAGACTTCTCAGATACCTCATAGGCTAAATGCTTCAGGATATTGCTCAAGGTAATACGACCTCTGGGGCCAGAGTTGAGCGCATAGTATAAAAGTAAAAGTAAAAGTAAAATGTATTTAATCTTTCACCCAAATGTCAGAGCCAAAGTACAGGGAACATTTTGACCTTCATCTGAATGCATTTAACATTCATTCACCATCTCCTTTTCCCCCAAAGAATTGTACAGTTGTATAAATAAACCTAGGTGGAGACTTAGAGTAATGTTCGGAGTCCATTGTTCTTGTATCATACATCAAAGTTGTCATCATCAGTGCATGTATTAGTGGACAGATTACCCAGGTATTCCTCAGTAAGGGTTGCCCTTTACTTATAGCTTCACAATAATTCCATGTGATGATGTAGAAGTATGGATCCTGGAAATGCTTGCACGAACTCTCTTTACATTGGCCTTTAACAATACAGATTTTGTCACAGAACGTATTTGACCACAGAGTAGTAAAGCATATATTTAATATATTTTCAACATCAAGGCCTTTTTAGTGATGCCATACATGTTATCTAGACCATTTTCTAAAGAAAATAGAGAATTGTACAAGTTTATGTGTGTCTTTATTGATCACCAATCAAACAAAACAATATTTTATGCCACATTTGTCATAGACCAACTATGGGTCTCACAAGCAAGTTGTTGTGTATACATTTGCTTTCTGTTAAAAAAAATGTGATCTTTGCTTAACACCATTTTAATAACAACATGGTAGATTAATCATCGAAACTAAGAACTGACTATTTAGATGTGATCATTTCCTTCTAATCATAGTTTTAGGGAGGAATCCAAACACCAATCAAACTACACTGAACAAAAATATAAACTCAACATGCAACAATTTCAAAGATTTTACTGAGTTACAGTTCATATAAGGAAATCAGTCAATTAAAATAGGGCATAGGCCCACCCACTGGGGAGCCAGGCCCAGCCAATCAGAATGAGTTTTTCCCCACAAAAGGGCTTTATTTCAGACAGAAACAGAAATACTCCCCCCCTCAGAAGAAACCGGATGTGGAAGTCCTGGGTTGGCATGGTTACACGTGGTCTGCGGTTGTGAGGCTGGTTGGAAGTACTGCCAAATTTTCTAAACCAACGTTGAAGGCGGCTTATGGTAGAGAAATGACAGGGATGTAAACAAATTTGTGCACAGAATTTGAGAGAAATAAGCTTTTTGTGCATATTTTTGATTTCAGCTCATGAAACATGGGACCAACACTTTACATGTTGCGTTTATATTTTTGCTCAGTATACATCGATAAATCATGGCTGATGGGTGTATGAGACAGTATGACGGCCTCTTTAATTGAAGAACGTCAAGTGCCAGCTGGGGAAAATATTTTGGATCATTCTGTAAGGTGCATGGTCAGGTTTCAGAGTCATTGCCAGATCAACAGCCTCAGAAACAGGCTGTCAACCTCGACAGCTATGCCCCAGCCCCAGCCACTTTCTGAAGCTATGTCCCAGCCAGCCCCTGCGCCAACCACTTTTTGTCCCACTGAAAAGGACACTATGACATGAAACAGCTTCATGCGATGAGTTCAGCGGGTAGGCATGTGAGCAATGATTGATGCAATGATGGAAGATTGAAGATGCCTCCCTGAACTGACATTCTCTGCATACCTCATACCAACTTTCCCTCTTTCCAGCTTTGAAAATGTACTGTAGATGATTCAGGAACAGAACAGTCAAAGATGATGATGTCATAATTCAGTGCCACATGACATTGTCAGCAACAGGTGCTGCAGCTGTTATCATGCATTGCTCCATGAAGCTACATTGGTGTCACAAAGCTTAGTACCTCAAATACAGTGGGGAAAAAAAGTATTTAGTCAGCCACCAATTGTGCAAGTTCTCCCACTTAAAAAGATGAGAGAGGCCTGTAATTTTCATCATATGTACACGTCAACTATGACAGACAAAATGAGAAGAAAAAAAATCCAGAAAATCACATTGTAGGATTTTTAATGAATTTATTTGCAAATTATGGTGGAAAATAAGTATTTGGTCAATAACAAAAGTTTCTCAATACTTTGTTATATACCCTTTGTTGGCAATGACACAGGTCAAACGGTTTCTGTAAGTCTTCACAAGGTTTTCACACACTGTTGCTGGTATTTTGGCCCATTCCTCCATGCAGATCTCCTCTAGAGCAGTGATGTTTTGGGGCTGTCGCTGGGCAACACGGACTTTCAACTCCCTCCAAAGATTTTCTATGGGGTTGAGATCTGGAGACTGGCTAGGCCACTCCAGGACCTTGAAATGCTTCTTACGAAGCCACTCCTTCGTTGCCCGGGCGGTGTGTTTGTGATCATTGTCATGCTGAAAGACCCAGCCACGTTTCATCTTCAATGCCCTTGCTGATGGAAGGAGGTTTTCACTCAAAATCTCACGATACATGGCCCCATTCATTCTTTCCTTTACACAGATCAGTCGTCCTGGTCCCTTTGCAGAAAAACAGCCCCAAAGCATGATGTTTCCACCCCCATGCTTCACAGTAGGTATGGTGTTCTTTGGATGCAACTCAGCATTCTTTGTCCTCCAAACACGACGAGTTGAGTTTTTACCAAAAAGTTCTATTTTGGTTTCATCTGACCATATGACATTCTCCCAATCCTCTTCTGGATCATCCAAATGCACTCTAGCAAACTTCAGACGGGCCTGGACATGTACTGGCTTAAGCAGGGGGACACGTCTGGCACTGCAGGATTTGAGTCCCTGGCGGCGTAGTGTGTTACTGATGGTAGGCTTTGTTACTTTGGTCCCAGCTCTCTGCAGGTCATTCACTAGGTCCCCCCGTGTGGTTCTGGGATTTTTGCTCACCGTTCTTGTGATCATTTTGACCCCACGGGGTGAGATCTTTTGTGGAGCCCCAGATCGACGGAGATTATCAGTGGTCTTGTATGTCTTCCATTTCCTAGTAATTGCTCCCACAGTTGATTTCTTCAAACCAAGCTGCTTACCTATTGCAGATTCAGTCTTCCCAGCCTGGTGCAGGTCTACATTTGTGTTTCTGGTGTCCTTTGACAGTTCTTTGGTCTTGGCCATAGTGGAGTTTGGAGTGTGACTGTTTGAGGTTGTGGACAGGTGTCTTTTATACTGATAACAAGTTCAAACAGGTGCCATTAATACAGGTAACGAGTGGAGGACAGAGGAGCCTCTTAAAGAAGAAGTTACAGGTCTGTGAGAGCCAGAAATCTTGCTTGTTTGTAGGTGACCAAATACTTATTTTCCACCATAATTTGCAAATAAATTCATAAAAAATCCTACAATGTGACTTTCTGGATTTTTTTTCTCTCATTTTGTCTGTCATAGTTGACGTGTACCTATGATTAAAATTACAGGCCTCTCTCATCTTTTTAAGTGGGAGAACTTGCACAATTGGTGGCTGACTAAAGACTTTTTTTCCCCACTGTACATCAGCAATTCTTCAGCCTAACTTCACATGGAAAATGTAATGAACAAGCTGTCACAGGCTATGGCGTGGGTTATTTGGCATTACCCTCTAGCCATGAGGCTGAAACTCAGTAAGCTGGTATTGGGAAATGACAGGCATCTTGGGTTCATCCCAATGAGAACAGCCTGTTCTGTTGAATCCATCAGTTTCTGAGGAAAATATTTATGAAGCAGAGTTATAATGGCACTTAAAGTAAACGAGCAAAGGTTGATTTCAAACAACAACAACAACAACAACAACAACAACAACAACAACAGAGCATAATGTTACTTCTGATTGAACCTAAAATACTTTTTGTCTGTTTCCTTTCCTCGGATAATGCTTTATAACATATAAAATATGATGCATCACCCTCCAGGTATGGTATCAAGACTAATTAAAGGTTGAGTAGGCTAACTAAGAATTTTGTCCACAAATGTACTGACATTTTTATATTATATGTAAATAGTTTATGATTAGTGAAAGCCATAATATAGTTATTTTGTTAGATACTTCATCCTATTAGCAGAAATCGTATTTTTCCACAGCCATTTTAGCTGTCGGCTGTGGGACTAGCTGTTCGGTCTGAACTGATTCAAACTGATTCACAAATCATGGGAATTTATTGTGCTATGCAGACGTTGACTCCCCCCGAGGCATGTGTTGCTGGACATACCCCCTGCACTTGCCGGGCAGGCGGGTTGCTCCCTTCGTGGCTAAAGCCAATGTGAGAAACATGCTAATAAACATTTGTGCTATGAAACAAAATAAAAATACTACACTCTGACCCACAAAAATGATTTGCTAGATTCATGATAGTGTTGTTAGACAAAGCAAGGAAAGTAAACTTCGAAACGTGATGTTGTTTTATTGGAATTTGCAGCTGTTGTTGGTAAGTAATGAATCTGTTTGCTTCTGACATGACTTACTATATCTTTAAGTGTCTGATATCGCTGATTAAGACATTTCATTTAGGTCTGAATGGTGAGAAAACATGATAGGGTTGGTGTACATAGACAGAGAAAACAGGACATAGTCCAAGACAAGATCCAGTGGGATAATCAGAAGAGTGAAATACATGTGTGATAAAGTTAAAGATGCAGTCCGGGATCTTAAGCACAACAAATTTGTAACATATTGGATTCATAACATATCATACGAATTGCAAAAATGTAACATATCATAAGAAATGGATGACGAAGTACACCATTGGATTACATAGTACACAAAAAACATGGACCCGTTTTGGCTTGTGCCCACCACATTCAAAACTACCGGCTGAAATTATCCAAAAGTTCTGGAGCATCACTTTAATGTTTGCTCTATCGTTCCTACAAACTAACGTCAATGGGCGTGGCGTAGCGTTTCGCCGGAGCAAGGAGTTTGGGTAGCCAGGCAACTTTAATGTTGTATTATCAGGTTGCAGTGTTCGCGCACATAGGGGTACATGATGCAGACTACTTGTGTGAAAGAAACAGCAGCTGATGGGACAGCGTGAATATAAGTGTTTTTCAAGTAAAAGGTTTTCTAGTAAATCTTTCTTTGTCGAAGGCAAGTCAAGTGCTATGCTGCCAGACCCAATCCCCCCAGTTGAGAAAAAAGTGAATGGGCAGCACTTTTGACCAAAATTAAAAGGTACAGAATGAGCCGAGATTGTAGGCTATTATTGTGTTAATAACATGTTGATAACATGTGACCCCCCCTAAACACGACTTCAGTTACTGTAGTGCACTGCCTCTCATTTTTTTGTATAACCTGATAGGCCTACTATCTAGTGGCTAAACTCAGTGTCTCAACTCAAGACTTCTCAACTTTATGTGTCAAGATGTCTCCAGACATCAAGATTATGATGATGGCTGAGGAGTCCTATGCATGACATTTAGAATTTTGTAACCAATTTTTGGCCCCAAAGTTGGCTACAATATGATACACTGTAGGGCTGTGCTTCGTAGAATCATTCCTGCCATCTACTGGTGAATCCAGTCAATCACATAATAAAACCATGATCAGCATTTCTTTGTGACATTTCTAAAAGCCAGTGCACAGCCGCAACAGCTCATCTGCAACCCTTTAACGTTAATTTTGTATCTTTAATGTACAACTTTAATTCTCCCCTTACATCATTTAATTGCACAAAGTTGTTACAGCGTTATGATGCGTGTATTATCTGAGATCGAGGACTATCCATCTATTTTGAATAGTACCATTATAAAATACATAATGTTTGTGGCTACACCGTCTGCGCTTGATAATAGCACCTGCAAATGACAACCGCCAGTGTTTCCCCGGATTGTAACTGTATGGGGGTGTTGTATTGAACACGCAGACAGACAGGATGTGGAGCTGAAAGAAGAGGGCGGAGAATAGTTGAAAGTCGCTGGAATTTTTTTCGCAAAATCCGAAAGGATTGCTATGGAATGATGCCCTTTATTTAGGAAAAACTAACAACCAAAGGGTAAGTGTAATTGATGTGACTTTTCTGTCCTTGTCTAAATAAATGTTACATTTGAAAGTTATCGAGGCCCTTTCCAAGGCACGGAGACAGGGATATTTACTAGTCCCACTTCACGAAGTTGGCTGCCAGACATGAGGAACAAATGGAGTTTCCGAATGCCCATTTGGGGAAAACACGAAGGAAGGAAATGTATATTCCTATTCTTTCTAAGTATTCCATGTAACTGCAGTGTAATTTTCTTCAACTTTTGACAATAGGGTTTATTCTGAAGTAGTTATTTTTTACTTTAAAAATGAAAGATCTATGTTTTTTAAAATAATTTGACTGGAGTGTGTGTGATTTGTGACCAAGTCAAAACATTTGACTATTCAGTGGCCTTTTCTCAGTGATATTTGGAAATCGAATATGGTTTTTGTTGGCTAAACTATTCCAAGCTACTGTACATGATAGAAACAGTCATGAAGTGGTTCGCATGGTTCGCTAAATGCCAATCGATACAGTAGCAAAACATTAGATTGTTTGGTGAAATCATAATAATAATCATTTAATCAGCTTTGATTGATTTGTTTATTGTTAAAGCCATTCTCTCCACAGCTCAAACACACACACATACATGTAAACATAAACACAACAACAAATAACCAACCATACAATAGTGCATGGGACTATTGCAGCAAATGAAAAAGTGATTTATGTTCTGCAGTACAGCAAATCATAGACTTATTGAATGCAAACGGCATGCATTCCAGACAGTGCTTTCTGTGAATGATTACCTGTGTGAGATTAGATGGCGTGGCATGCTCCAATCAGACATTGTTACATACCAGACTTCACAAGACACTTAAAGCTTCAAGCCTGTATCAACAAGCTGATGCTTATGTTGAATTAGTCTGCAATTCAGTGTGCAATTCCACCACATAATCTATTCACCACTGCAGAAGAGACTGGACAGATGTATTTCTCACTAGCAATAATCCACTCAGATCAATATGAATGATCTAAAGCAAGTTTATCAGTAAGATGTTACAAATATTGATGCTAAAGGCCCAGTGCAGTGTTTTATACATATTTCCACACTTTGAGATTGGAATAATACTGTGAAATTGTGAAAATGATGATAATGTCCTTTTAGTGTAAGAGCTGTTTGAAAACACCACCTGAAATTTCAGCCTGTTTTGGCCTTCCTGGTGATGCAGTAAATTAGTTAATAGACCAATAAGAAAGAGAGTTCCAAACCTCTCTGCCAATAACAGCTAGTTTCAGTTTTCCCCTCCCCACTGAGACCACTCCCAGACAGTCCTAGCAAATATCTTTGCTAAGAAGCTATTTTTGTTTCTTTTTGACCACTTTAATTGAAAACAATCACAGTAATGTACTTAACTGTTACCCAGAAATTATTTGATATTGAGATAAAAACTGCTGCGTTGGACCTTTATTGCTTTGGAACCAAACCCCATACTTGCCCTTCAAAACACACCAGATAAATTATACTCTGTTCTTTTTTAAAGCTTGGGACTTCCGAACGTGCCACCGTGCTGATGCCGTGGTGGCTGATGGGAATGTTTTACCTGTCATTACTCCTTTTGTCTCCATGGATAGGACCCCAGCAGGCCTAGAGGAATGTGGATGAAGAGTTATCCGGCCTCCAACATAAAGATATCCTTCCACTGAACCAAATAGAGCTGTTTATACACAAAGAGTTTAGCCTGGCACCTGGCTGCCACCATGATGATACCCGGGCTGGTCTGGGTGTGCCTGGCACTGATAGGGGTGAGGAGCTGCCACGCCCACAGTCTGTTCACCTGTGAACCCATCAAGGTGCATCGCTGCCTGGGGATGCCCTACAACATGACCTTCTTCCCCAACATGATGGAGCACTATGACCAGGACATAGCAGCCAGCAGGATGGAGGTGAGTGTTTCTCACTGTGATAAAACCCTAAGATTTCCCATCAGACTTGGAGCATAGAGGAAAAAACACCTTGTAGTTTGTTACAGATGTAGGATCTTAATTTGAGCCAGTTTGCTACAGCAGGAAAATAATCCTGCAGCAACATGAAATTAGAATTATTATGTGGCTTATAATTAATGGACATTTTTGTAGGGGTTGATACATTTTTTGTAAGGGAAAATCATGTCTAAAATTTCAAACTGGAAATTACAAACTGCAGAAGCCTTTTTAAACTTCAAATACACAACACATTTTATATTAGCTGCATTACAGGGAAGTTCTACTGCAACAGGGTGATCAAATTAAGATCCTACATATGTAATAGCATTTTTTACCATATGTTTGCCATGAATCCAATAGGTGCAAAAGGTTAATTGTGTATTAAAATAACTATTTTTCAAACCATTCTCTATGAACTTGCTAAGATGTAGAGGAAATGCAATCTTTTTAATGGATAGCTGAGTATTGTATCTTGTGTGTCTTAGTATTCTCGAAGGTCTTCCATCCCCTCTCGCTGTAGCTACAGTGTTTAGTTACACGTAATGTAGTTTACAAAAGTTCAATCAGAAGGCTGAATGCTCGTTTAACTTCAACCAGTAAGCATAACATAATTCGTTTTTGTTTCCTATTCTACGGGAATACTGGGAGTGAATACAAACGTATCATCGTCAGCATAGCGTCTTGTTTCTTCTCCTCTTTCCTGTTAGCCATGTGTGGAATGTCATTCACCTATTTATATCAGAGGGCTGATGTAAATACTATGCATGCCAGTCTCTCTTGGCTAAGAGTTGAGGAGAGACTGACTGCATCACATCTTCTTTTTATAAGAAATATTAATGTGTTGAAAATCCCAAATTGTTTGCATAGTCAACTTACACACAGCTCTGACACACACACTTACCCCACCAGACATGCCACCAGGGGTCTTTTCACAGTCCCCAAATCCAGAACAAATTCAAGAAAACATACAGTATTATATAGAGCCATTATTGCATGGAACTCTGTTCCATCTGAAATTGCTCAAATAAACAGCAAACCTGGTTTCAAAAAACAGATAAAGCAACACCTCACGGCACAATGCCTCTCCCCTATTTGACCTAGATAGTTTGTGTGTATGTATTGATATGTAGGCTACGTGTGCCTTTAAAACAAATGTATGTAGTTCTGTCCTTGAGCTGTTCTTGTCTATTAATGTTCTGTGTTATGTCATGTTTCATGTTTTGTGTGGACCCCAGGAAGAGTAGCTGCTGCTTTTCCAACAGCTAATGGGGATCCTAATAAAATACCAAATACCAAATACCTTATAGCCTATATAAGCATGGCACAATAATGCACATTCCTCACGCTTGCTGTTTAACCTATGGGTTCACTTTTGCAATTTTCACCTTCCTCTCTCTCAACCAATGGGTGTAAATCTTGGAATGTACAGTTGAAGTCGGAAGTTTACATACACCTTAGCCAAATACATTTAAACTCAGTTTTTCACAATCCCTGACATTTAGTCCTAGTAAAAATTCCCTGTCTTAGGTCAGTTAGGATCACCACTTCATTTTAAGAATGTGAAATGTCAGAATAATAGTAGAGAGAATGATTTATTTCAGCTTTTATTTCTTTCATCACATTCCCAGTGGGTCAGAAGTTTACATACACTCAATTAGTATTTGGTAGCATTGCCTTTAAATTGTTTAACTTGGGTCAAACGTTTCGGGTAGCCTTCCACAAGCTTCCCACAATAAGTTGGGTGAATTTTGGCCCACTCCTCCTGACAGAGCTGGTGTAACTGAGTCAGGTTTGTAGGCCTCCTTGCTCGCACACACTTTTTCAGTTCTGCCCACACATTTTCTATAGGATTGAGGTCAGGGCTTTGTGATGGCCACTCCAATACCTTGACTTTGTTGTCCTTAAGCCATTTTGCCACAACTTTGGAAGTATGCTTGGGGTCATTGTCCATTTGGAAGACCCATTTGCGACCAAGCTTTGACTTCCTGACTGATGTCTTGAGATGTTGCTTCAATATATCCACATAATTTTCCTTCCTCATGATGCCATCTATTTTGTGAAGTGCACCAGTCCCTCCTGCAGCAAAGCACCCCCACAGCATGATGCTGCCACCCCCGTGCTTCACGGTTGGGATGGTGTTCTTCGGCTTGCAAGCTTCCCCCTTTTTCCTCCAAACATAACGATGGTCATTATGGCGAAACAGTTCTATTTTTGTTTCATCAGAACAGAGGACATTTCTCCAAAAAGTACGATCTTTGTCCCCATGTGCAGTTGCAAACCGTAGTCTGGCTTTATTATGGCGGTTTTGGAGCAGTGGCTTCTTCCTTGCTGAGCGGCCTTTCAGGTTATGTCGATATAGGACTCGTGTCATGAACAAGTAATTTTTCCAACAATTGTTTACAGACAGATTATTTCACTTATAATTCACTGTATCACAATTCCAGTGGGTCAGTAGTTTACATACACTAAGTTGACTGTGCCTTTAAACAGCTTGGAAATTTCCAGAAAATGATGTCATGGCTTTAGAAGCTTCTGATAGGCTAATTGACATCATTTGAGTCAATTGGAGGTGTACCTGTGGATGTATTTCAAGGCCTACCTTCAAACTCAGTGCCTCTTTGCTTGACATCACAGGAAAATTCCAGCAGTCCCACATAGGGCTACCTGCCATCATTGCCAAAAGATACCGTTATGCTTGTTTACACTGAGCTGCGCTGAGGTCGGAACGCAGTCATGGTTACATTAAGACACAGTGGAGCCGGCGCAAGATATGGGTTGGAAAAGGTAACTCAATGCAGGGATGGGATATACCTGAACTTCAGAAGAGGATGCACTACCGTGTGAATGTTCTCTTTCGCCTTGAGATTGTACTCCAAATGTTACCTGTATCCACACTGATACATCGAGAAGATTGAAATACTGCTAGTTTTCCCAGAAAACTGCCCTTTTCGTCCTCATGCTAGCTAGCAGTAGCCACCACAGCCATTTTGGAATGGCAGTGTCAGCCAATCAGCCCCTTTGTTGTTCATTCCATAATGACTGCTGTGGCTGCTGCTAGCTAGCATGATAACGAAAAAGGCAGTTTTTTGGGAAAACTAGCAGTATTTCAATCTTCTCGATGTATCAGTATGGTGGAAAAACTAGCAGTATTTCAATCTTCTTGATGGAGCAGTCTGGATAAAGGTAAAATTCAGACTACAGTGGCATATCCCATCCCTGCATTGAGGTACATTTTCCAACCCGTATCTCACGCCGGCTCCACAGTGTCTTAAAGTAACCATGATTGCGTTCCGACCTCAGTGTAAACAAGCGTAACGGTAGGGTCGGTATCCTCTGGCAACCTGCCATCACATCATCTGGCTTTTATGATATTCTCTCGGAGACAAGGCCATTCCCCAAACTATTTAATAAAATGTCATATTTCATTCAGTCTTTATGGTTCATTCAGTAAAGCCTGTACTCGATTGAAATGAGTGTGGAGCAGACAGAGAGAATGCTGGAGGACTCTTTGTGTGGTGTCTATCTATCAAGCTGAGGTGCTCCTCTTATTTCAGGACAACCTCAGGGAGCCACAGGGAACTCTGGGTACTTTGTTGTGTGGGGCGGCCTTTGATTTAGGAGAGGAAGGGGAGGTAGACACACCCAGCCTCACACAAAGACTAGCCAGCATTCCTTCCACACTGTACTCTCTCTCTCTCTCTCTCTCTCTCTCTCTCTCTCTCTCTCTCTCTCTCTCTCTCTCTCTCTCTCTCTCTCTCTCTCTATTTCTACCTCTCCCCCCTCTCTTCCTTTCTTTGTCTCTCACTCCTTCACTTCACTTCAAAGTGTCAGTGTTAGGTATCTATAGTAATAGATGCATACAATGCCTACTGCTGACAGTCAATCTGACCAAATGGCATGTTGGAAAGTGTGCCATAATGGGGATCTAGGTATTGTTATGAAGTTGACTTTCCTGTTGCTCATCTGTTCAGTGTTATTCGATATGATTTTCCAGATGGAGGACTAGCCCTTTCCTTTAGGGACATTGTTCCTGTTACCATGTCAATGTGCCAATATTCTACTAGTGTTTGGCAGCTTAAAAGTAACACTTCAGGCACCTGTAAGGAAACTGACCAAAATAGCAGCGAGTGAAGAACTAGCATATGTTTTTAGTATACATTTCAAACTCAACCAATGCATTTTGAAATTAGGATGCTATATTGTGTAGCCCTTTCTTTCAAATGACCAAATCGCTGTCTAGTGGCCTCATGGGTGAAATGTTATTAATATTTTCATAATTTAATAATTAATAAACATAGTTTAAAAAACAACTGCAGAAAATCTGGTGTTTCTGTGTCAAATGGTTTAGTTATATTTCAGTCTTCTGTGATGAATTCATTTCAACTCTATATCTGACATGGTACAGGTTTCTTCTTTTTTAAAGTCCATTACCATGTGTGTGAGGTGTATAATTTGGTTTCAAAGTGTGACCCTGATTTAGCCCACTGCAGTAAAAGGTTAATTGAGTCATTATTATCCATAGTCGAGTGACCTTTGGTAGAAATCTACAGTAGAGGGATCATGCTTTTAAATGAGAACATACAGAGGCCCCAATTCCAATACACTCCACATGTATTCCAATTTACAGTGGCTCCACAGACAAATACACGAAACGGCAGATTGTAGACTAAGAAGAGCTCTTTGAGATGGAGTTTGGGACCTCCAAAGAAGTGAAACAAGGAGCCATACAGTCGGAGAGCGAGTTCCCCAGGCCCCATCTAGATCTGGGCTGCTGCCAGCCTGGAGCTGGGGAAACAGTCAGGGAGAGAACATTGAATAGTGGGGTTGTTAGGTTGGCCCTGTGTTGATGGTGGGATTGAGGGGGAAATGTGGCTTATACACTGTAAACATCGGCTGGATTTACTGCCGCCAGCAGTCATAGTTCTTTCTGCATAACTGCATTTGTAAGCTGAACAGGAATGTTTGATAACATGGTGTATCTGATCCAAAGCAAGTGGCCCTTAGATTAAGATGGCCACATGATACAGTCTGTAATCTTTGAAGGATACAGTTATAATTGTTTTGGGAATGATTTGTGGCAGTCGTTACTGATGGTATCTTAAGCTTTTGTGATATGGTCATTACTTCGACAAGATCTGTTTATTTGGATAAACTCTGTTTAGCGTGACAAAACAATGCCAAAAATAACCATTAATGCTTTGGAAAGATATGTTTTCATACTTTGGTAGAAATCACTGTGAACTCTTTAACGATTGTTAGAGCAGAGCAGCAGCTTTAGTGTGATGGAATGGATACTGAGCAGAAGCCCAACAGTTCTGTCCATTCCAGTCAACATCCCTCTTGACTCCTGGTTTCCAACCAGTCCCAGAGTCATTTCCTGATGCCCACCCCCATATACTAAAATCTGTTGAAACGGAAGAATATGAGACAGCCTCTGAAAGGAATCCTTTGTGTGGCACCATAATACAGTGCATTACAGCCTCTTATGTAGAGTAGCCTTTTTAGCTTTTCCAACCAAGTCACGTGTACAGGAAAATAAAACGATTCTATTTATGGATTTGCCCATGGCAAGGGACCTTCATGTACTGTATTGTGGCCTTGATTGAAAGAATTAACCTCACGTTGACTGACTTTTTAATTACAAACTGTTGTGATGTCTAAATGAATCTAGTTGAACTCAATATTGGTTGTTGGATTAAAAACATGTCTGACCATTTGTTCAGCTCCACCCTTACAGGTACAGGAGCACAGTACTGGTATTTAGTAGGGTAGCAAAATTCCGGTAACTTTCCCAGGTTTTCCCAAAATCCTGGTTGAAAGATTCCTGGAATTAGGTTTGAATAAACCAGAAATCCAGAAACTCCAACCAGGACTTCTGGAAAACCTTTGAATTTAGGGAAAGATACCGGAATTTTGCAACCCTAGTATTTACAGTATGTTCTTGAACCATAAAAATCTGAATGTATCTCTCTCTCTCTCGGTCATTCTCTCTCTCCCTTTTTCTCTCTCTCGCTCTCTCTTCCCTTTCTCTCTCTCTCCCTTTCTCTCTCTCTCCCTTTCTCCCTCTTTCTCTCTCTTCTCTCTCCCTTTCTCCCTCTTTCTCTCCCTTTCTCTCTCTCCCTTTCTCTCTCGCTCTCTCGCTCTCTCCCCTTCCCTACCTCCGTAGCCCTTCATGCCGCTGGTCAACCTGCGCTGCTCTCCAGACGTACATCACTTCCTGTGTCAGGCCTTTATCCCAGCATGCACTGAGGACACCAAGGTGATCCGGCCATGTCGTGACCTGTGTGAAACAGTGAGGTCAGACTGCAGGAAGGACATCAGCACCTTCGGCATTACCTGGCCTCCGGAGCTGCACTGTGACAGGTAGATGTGACTGACTGGGTTGAACGCAATTCTCCAGGTCTCAGGCAAGGTTACTCATCACGTGTGCGCGGTTCACTGAACCACAACATCTGTTACATACATAGGCGTGTTGTACTGTGCCAAGTTTTATAGATGAAAAGGCACATGCGTGACATTTTTCAGATGACCAAATAGTAAGCGTTTATAAACTGCTTGCTAACAGCTAGTTGACCAGTTATTACATTTATCAGCACTAAGTTTTGAAATGGTATATTTAGTTATGGTCTTGACTCTTTACCCAACTTTTCTCCTCTAGATTGGAGGATTGCCTCTACTCTCCAGATGGCTCAGCTCTGCCACCAACCAGACTGACCACACCCAAGACCTCTCTGTCTGCCAAGAGGGACATGGGCTTCTGGTGCCCCCTTCAGCTGAAGACCCGACCCGGCCAGGGATCCACGTTCCTGGGTGCCGGGGACTGTGCTCCCCCTTGCTCCAACATGTACTTCAAGCCCCATGAGATCGAGTTCGCCAAGACCTTCATCGGGGTGTGCTCCATCGTCTGCCTCTGCGCCACGCTCTTCACTTTTCTCACCTTCCTCATCGACGTCAAACGCTTCCGCTACCCCGAACGGCCAATCATCTTCTATGCCGTGTGCTACAGCTTCGTGTCGCTCATCTACTTCATTGGCTTCCTGCTTGGGAACAATGCATCCTGCAACAAGGTCTGTTTATATCTGTGTCTGAAATGGCACCCAATCTATATTGTACACTACTTTTGACCAGAGCCCCCAGATCCCTATGGGCCCTGGTCTAAATTATTGTACTATGTAGGGAATAGGGTGCTATTTGGGATACATCCCATTACATCCCATGTCTTGTGATGTACAGTACCAGTCAAAAGTTTGGACACACCTACTCATTCCAGGGTTTTTCTTTATTTTTACTATTTTCTACATTGTAGAATAATAGTGAAGACATAAAAACTATGAAAAACATATGGAATCATGTAGTAACCAAAAAAGTGTTAAACAAATCAAAATATATTTTATATGTGAGATTCTTCAAATGGCCACCCTTTGCCTTGATGACAGCTTTGCATACGATTGGCATTCTCTCAACCAGCTTCATGAGGTAGTCACCTGGAATGCATTTCAATTAACAGGTGTGCCTTCTTAAAAGTTAATTTGTGGAATTTATTTCCTTCTTAATGCGTTTGAGCCAATCAGTTGTGTTGTGACAAGGTAGGGGGGTATACAGAAGATAGCCCTATTTGGTAAAATACCAAGTCCATATTATGGCAAGAACAGCTCAAATAAGCAAAGAGAAACGACAGTCCATCAATACTTTAAGACATGAAGGTCAGTCAATATGGAACATTTCAAGAACTTTGAACGTTTCTTCAAGTGCAGTCGCAAAAACCATCAAGCGCTATGATGAAACTGGCTCTCATGAGGACCGCCACAGGAATGGAAGACACAGAGTTACCTCTGCTGCAGAGGATAAGTTCATTAGAGTTACCAGCTTCAGAAATTGCAGCCCAAATAAATGCTTCACAGAGTTCAAGTAACAGACACATCTCAACATCAACTGTTCAAAGGGGACTGTGTGATACAGCCCTTCATGGTTGAATTGCTGCAAAGAAACCACTACTAAAGGACACCAATAAGAAGAAGAGACTTACTTGGGCCAAGAAACACGAGCAATGGACATTAGACCGGTGGAAATGTGTCCTTTGGTCTGGAGTCCAAATTAGAGATTTTGGGTTCCAACCGCTGTGTCTTTGTGAGACGTGGTGTGGGTGAACGGATGATCTCCGCATGTGTATTTCCCACCGTAAAGCATGGAGGAGGAGGTGTTATGGTGTGGGGGTGCTTTGGTGACACTCTTTGTGATTTATTTAGAATTCAAGGCACACTTAACCAGCATGGCTACCACAGCATTCTACAGCGATACACAATCCCATCTGGTTTGGGCTTAGTGGGACTATCATTTGTTTTTCAACAGGACAATGACCCAACACACCTCCAGGCTGTGTAAGGGCTATTTTACCAAGAAGGAGAGTGATGGAATGTTGCATCAGATGACCTGGCCTCCACAATCCCCCGACCTCAACCCAATTGAGATGGTTTGGGATGAGTCGGACCGCAGAGTGAAGGAAAAGCAGCCAACAAGTGCTCAGCATATGTGGGAACTCCTTCAAGACTGTTGGAAAAGCATTCCAGGTGAAGCTGGTTGAGAGAATACCAAGAGTGTGCAAAGCTGTCATCAAGGCAAAAGGTGGCTATTTGAAGAATCTCAAATATAAAATATATTTTGTAATATGCCATTTAGCAGACGCTTTTATCGAAAGCGACTTACAGTCATGTGTGCATACATTTTTACGTATGGGTGGTCCCGGGGATCGAACCCACTACCCTGGCGTTACAAGCGCCATGCTCTACCAATTGAGCTACAGAGGACCACCCATACGTTGATTTGTTTAACACTTTTTTGGTTACTACATGATTCCATATGTGTTATTTCATAGTTTTGATGTCTTCACTATTATTCTACAATGTAAAAAATTAAAGAAAACCCCTTGAATGAGGAGGTGTGTCCAAACTTTTGACTGGTAGTGTATGTCCTGTGATGAAGTTATGTAGCTATGTATTGTGATGTTTTATATGTATGCCAGGTATACCTCTTATTTTCCTAGCAAACTTCTCTATGGGACATAAAAGTAGTCATTCATTCGTTAATCAATTTATTCATTCATTCATCCCAGGCGGTGCACCCGGCTGCCATGGACACGGTGGTGCTCGGCTCCCAGAGTAAAGGCTGTACGTTACTCTTCATGCTGCTCTACTTCTTCTCCATGGCCGGCATCGTCTGGTGGGTCATCCTCACCATCACCTGGTTCCTGGCCGCCGGGCCCAAGTGGAGCTGTGAGGCCATCGAGAAGAAGGCGGTGTGGTTCCACTCTGTCGCCTGGGGGATCCCCGGAGCACTAACCGTCATGCTACTGGCTCTCAACAAGGTGGAGGGAGATAACATCAGCGGCGTGTGCTTCGTGGGGCTCTATGATCTGGACGCGCTGCGGTACTTTGTGCTGGCGCCGATGTGTATCGGGGTGGTGGTGGGGCTGTCTCTGCTGCTGGCTGGGATCGTGTCGCTCAATAACGTGCGTCAGGTGATCCAGCACGATGAGAGGAACCAGGAGAAGCTGAAGAAGTTTATGATCCGTATCGGGGTGTTCAGTGGTCTGTACCTGGTGCCCCTGGTCACTCTGCAGGGGTGTTACATCTATGAACAAAGCCAGCGCTCCACTTGGGAAAAAACCTGGATCAATGACCGCTGCCAGGAGTACAGCATTCCCCTGCTCACACAAGGTAACACACACGCTTAGCACTAGAACATTTTCATAATAATTTGATATCTCTATGAAGATATGCCGCTGCAAAATTCATCAAACATTAATAGATGTTAAAAATCAGTGCTGTTCTTATGCCTTCTTTCAGCCACAGTAGAATGTACGATGATATTTGGCCAGATGTTTAAATGGAAATGGTCTAATTAAGCAATAAGGCACGAGGGGGTGTGGTACTATACAACATCTGTAGAGGACAACCCTACCTCACACACGAAGCGGTGCATGTCCTAATCCAGGTACTTGTCCTCTCCCGTCTGGACTACTGCAACTCGCTGTTGGCTGGGCTCCCCACTTGTGCCATCAAACCCCTGCAATTTATTCAGAACGCTGCAGCCCACCTGGTTTTCAACCTTCCCAAGTTCTCCCATGTCAACCCGCTCCTCAGCACACTCCACTGGCTTCCAGACGAAGCTTGCATCCACTACAAGACCATGGTGCTTGCCTACGGCGCACTGCCTCTCCCTACCTATGCTCAAGGCCCTACACCCCAACCCGAGCACTCTGTTCTGCCACCTCTGGTCTCTTGGCTCTCCCACCCCTACGGAAGGGCAGTTTCTGCTCAGCCCAGTCCAAGCTCTTCTTTCTCCTGGAACCCCAATGTTTGAACCAGCTTTCCCCTGAAGCTAGGACAGCAAAGTCCCTTCCCATCTACCGAAAACACCTGAAAACCCTACCTCTTCAAAGAGTATCTTAAATAACCCCCCCCCCCCCCCCCCCCCCCAAAAAAAAGGATAATAATAAAATATTCCCGAAACAACACCATTTCCCTTGACACCTCCCCCCACCACCCTCTTTCTAGCTTTGCTGATAGCTACTTTATTGAGGGAATGTGTACTTACTATGCCTGTGATATGTGGTTGTCCCACCTAGCTATCTTAAGATGAATGTAAGTCACTCTGGATAAGAGCATCTGCTAAATGACTCAAATGTAAATGTATATGGCTAATATTCCACGGCTAAGGGTTTGGCCATTTACCACAAAACCCTGAGGTGCCTTATTACTATTATAAACTGGTTACCAACGTAATTAGAACTGTAAAAAAAAAACACAGCTTTCAGCCAATCAGCATTCAGGGCTCAAACAACCCGGTTTATAATACAATGTTGTGTTTCAGACTACAGAGTCTGATCGTCCGGACCTGTCCCTATTCCTGATTAAATACCTGATGACCCTGGTGGTTGGGATCTCAGCTGTGTTCTGGGTCAGCAGCAAGAAGACCTGCTCAGAATGGGCCTTCTTCTTCAACAGGACCAGGAAGAAAGAGTATGAACACTTCACTAATGCCTGTCTCTCAACTGCTGAAACAAATCATATTTTCTACATGGATTGTATCCCAAATGGCACCCTAGTGCAAAAGTAGTGCATTATATAAGGAATAGGGTGCCATTTGGGAAGCAACTTGGGTTTTTACAGTATGCAACATTTACAGATTGCAAATAGATATAATTATACTGTGTTCTAATTATATTTCTCTATCCAGCCCCATTAGTGAGAGCCGCAGAGTTCTTCAGGAGTCCTGTGAGTTCTTCCTCAAACACAACAGCCGTGTCCAGCACAAGAAGAACCACTATAACCCCGGCTCCCACAAACTTAAGGTAATTTCCAAGTCCATGGGCACCAGCACCGGCGCCTCAGCCACCGGCAACCACGGCACCTCAGCAGTGGGCAACCATGAGGCCGTCCGGGGCCAGGCTTCTCTCTCTGAGGCCAGGGGCTCGTCTGAGGCCTCCGCCAGAGAGCAGCTGGAGAGGGGCAGCTCCACCCGTGGCTCCAGGCTGGGGGAGAGGGACAGGGAGAGGGAGAAGCAGCCCAGCGGACAGGCCCTGTCTGGGGGGAGAGAGGGGAGAGAGGGGGCAGAGAGACGCAGTAAGAAGGGCAGCTCCAGCAAGGTTAGCAGCCGCTCAGAGAGCTTCCACAGAGTCGCAGAGGGAAGGTAAAGACAGATACTTTCACCCTTTTGCCCAAGTACTTTCTGACCTATACATACGTACTTAAAAAGGTTTTGTTCGCTCCACCGTTAACAGGTTGTTTTTTGCAAACTTGTCTTGTAGGATGACTCCCAGGAGTGAACTATCAGAGACGAGACAGGTGCCCAGTGGACAGGACCTGGCTTTAAGCCACTCTCACAGCGGCAGTGCGAAAGGCTCCGTCCCTCACCTGGTTCGCCAGGTACCAGAGGAGAAGAAGGACAAGGACAGCAGCTGCTGAGCCCAACCAGCAGGCTCCTATGATACTTCACACTAGCAGAGATGGGCAACTCTGGTCCTCAGGGGCTGGACTGAATTTCTGCTGGTTTTTGTTCTTCCATTCAAATGAGCAACTGATTTAGCCTGTCATACCATACCAGATGTGTACACTCTCAGATCAATCAGTGATATTAGTGGATCGATTAAGTACCAGAGAGAGAAGAGAAAACCAGCAGAAAACAGGAGTTTTCCTTCAAACCACAGAGACAGGAAGGAAGAGACTAGGTGGGTCACCAGGGTCTTAGAGAGCTCCATTCACTGACCGACCCAACAGGTGTAGCTACTGGACATCAGTCAGCTTTACTGGATCACTGGCCACATCAAGGTGAATGAGGTTAGAGAATCATGCAGCTCTTCAGACCAACGGATGCATTTCCCTGCTGTAAAACAGTCACTTAGGTTGACGTATTGTTTATTTACTTATGAAAGCTATACTTTTCTGTTAGTAGATTGATATGTAAAGTGTGTAGAATATACACTGGCAATATTTATGTAAAATATTTTTTTTCTATCACTGGACTAGTCTTTACACTGAGTTTAAGCGCTTGAAAATCTGAAAATCACAAATGTTTCACCAAACAATCAGAACTTCAAGGATATCTAGTGTGGTGGTTAACTATTTTTATTTTATTGTTGTATTCAAATGGTTAATGTCATTTGCATGTAGACAATTCCATCATGAAAGAATGAGTAGCAAGCATAGCAGCTCTGTAGTTAAAGTAATTGCATTAGACAGGAGGGTCTCACTACCAATACACTCAGTATGCTACTCTACTTTTCATTCCATTTCCATTACAATGTTTATTTCAGTATATCTATAAATAGTTACATAAGCAATTTTCAATTTTGCTGACTCTCCTCATAAACTTATTTTCCTGTAAATCTGTGTGGAGCATGTGTTTTTATACTACAGTTTCTAGAAGAATGTGCCTCATGAACTAAATCATGGTCTTCAGATGCTTTACATGTGTGACATAGTCATTCCATGTGTGTATTCATCTCCAGTGAAATATGTGGACAAAGTAACCATTTCTGGCTTATTTCTGGCTCTTGACCTTATGTAAATTGTTGTGGTTGGACATCTCACTACACTAGAGGAGTTACCACTTAGAGATTAACCCAGTGCAAAGACTGAGTGATAATGTTCAATTTGTACAGAGATATAAAGTTTGTTTTGTTTTGTTTAAACCAAATATAGTAGTATGTATGCCTACCATAATAACTGATGATCCAATATGAAAACTCTAGTTGAAAAATCAGAGATTAAATCCAATCCAAAGCATGTACCTAGTTGAGTGGATTTTTTTGGACAAATGTGTGGGTTTTGTTCAGTATTTGCAAACTTGGGCGGCAGGTAGCTTAGTGGTTAAGAGCGTTGTGCCAGTAACCGAAAGGTCGCTGGTTCTAATCCCAGAGCCGACTAGGTGAAAAATCTGTTGATGTGCCCTTGAGCAAGGCACTTAACCCTAATCGCTCTGGATAAGAGCGTCTGCTAAATGACAAAAAAAAAAGGCATGATTCTTACCGGTAATCCTTGAATTGTGTTTGACTCTACACATTTTTCTTGCAAGCATTTTCCCGAAAGGCCTGTTGGGAATAAGTCTTGCAAACTGTATTAGTGAAAACCATTTATCCATCCATACATATTCACAATGCTTTGATTAGTATTTTAATCCCTCCATTCTGTACTGTTTTATTGTCTTTATTTTGACCCTGTCCTTTGATCTTCACCCAAATCTATAGTATTATGTGGCTATCCGAAGACAAAGGTTACAGCTAAAGGGAATTTGTTCTCTTGCTTCCACTCCTTCACACATTAACAGTATAACCACTACTCATCCTTGATGGCATATGGACTTGTTTAGGCTATAGAACATTTTTATTTTATTTTAAATTCCCTATACATTTTTGTGAGCTTTTGTAGTGTTATGTTGTATGTACTATTTGATATATATTTTGTATCAATTCTATTTCCTTTTAATAAAAGATTATTGAATAAAATAAACTGAAATGTAATTTGTCTCATGAATGAATGCCTGGTTTTGTATCGCCCATACAGACAGTGAACCAGGCATGGTTGTGTTATATGCCGTGTTCAAAACAACTGGGAACTCGGAAATCTCCGACTTCAGTGCGTTCATGACGGGAAAAAACTAGCTCCGACTGGGAAAAATATTTTTGAACGTTCATCCAACTCGGAATTCCAAGTCGGAAACTCGGGTGTCTTTCTAAAGCTCTGACTTTCCTACCTGAAAATCACTGACGTCATGATTTGACCTCGTTCTTTTCTGAGTTCCCAGTTATCTTGAAAGCACCAATAGACATAACCTATAATTGTTTGTCATCATCAACATAATCATCATCAGCTAGCCTACAGGAAAAATATATAGGGAAGATCTCAATTAAATAAGCCTCCTTCTCAAAACGCATTGGAGGAGAAGATCAGAGGGGACGGGAAGGGACGGGACATTTCCTCTTTTGTTCTTTATTGCTCCTCTATTGTTCCTCAAGCAAGGTAGGAGGCCGATGACATCACCAATTCCCATCAGACCATCTCCTTGAATGCCCAACTCCTTGAAGATTGCGCTTGTGTCTAAAAAACACAATTTTGCTCAAAAGTGTTACTCTTTAGTGTGTGTACTTTACTGTATTTATACTTGAGATATCGATTTTCAACAGTAAAAGTTCAATCATTCTGTAAAGCTGAACTTCCGCGATGCAGATTGAATAGAGCCCTTTGTTATAGTGAAGCAATTGAGGAGGAACAAATAGCCTAAAACGGGTCTTGAACAAGTGACCATGTGGTTAACAAATGTGCCAGTTCCAGACCTATTGACACGCAGTAGGCTCACATTAAGATAATTTATATTTTCAAATAAAATGTTATTTCCTGCCCATGATAGCTTCTGAGTAGGTCCAGACATTTGAACAAACTTTAGTGGCAAAAACCCATAAATCATAGGCTATGTGAGAACAAATTTATAGACAGAGCATAGGCGCGCTGTAAACTTCCCTCATTCCCACTCACTTGAAATACGGCGCAGCAGAGCAGCAGGGCAGTGCTGTGGTCTCGCTCGATCTTTTGGGAAAATAAAAGATGGTATCACCTCTAACTCGTCTGCTGCTCCTCACATGCGTGATTCTACCTTTCCATGGAGCAGAGAAATTGAGAAAAGGACTTGACAGGAAGGATGTTGAATACGAAAAGGTAAAAAAACTATCTCAAATATACTATTTTGGGTTAAAGCTGCACAGTCCTCAAACCGCCGAAAACTAGCGAATCTCATCCTGATTCATTTAACATTTAACCAATGTTTAAGCCTTTAATTGTTGCAATTTTTTTCATTATTTCCCCCTTTAAAATATCAAAACGTTTTTTTAAAAGATATTTGCTTTTGAGTGATTTTCAGTTCTATACCTACTACCATCATTTTGAATGGGCTATGGATGATCGGTGCCACGTTGACCAGTGGCCACTCGCAAATGTTCTTTCAATATTATATAGCATATTGGACATAACTGATGCAAACAAGAAGTTGGCAAAGGTCCAGCATGCAGCAGAATAACAAAGACCCAGACAGAAGTCATGAGGGGTCTGGCTGGTTCATTGTTTGTTCACTGGGCACAGACGTCTGTTCAACGTCTAGTTTTGATTGACATTTGGTTGAGTTGTCAACTAACGTGAATTCAACAAAAAATGGCACCATGTCATTTGATTTAGGTTAAAAAATTGGTGAAAAAAAGACGAAATGCCCTTAAGTTGATAACTTTTTGCAAATCCAATTAGTTTTCCACGTTGATTCAACTCATCACATAGATTTTGGGGGGTTGAAATGACGTGGAAACGACGTTGTTTCAACTAGTTTTTGTTGCTTTTGTGTAGGCCTAGTGTATAAATCTGACCAGCAGTATAGGACTGCATGGTAATAACTGAGTAATGTGATATGATGAACAGCATCTTGTTATTATCTGTCTAGTGTACTGGAAACGATGCAGACAAACCAAACTGCACCAGAATCTCTGCTGAATCCGATTCAAGATCCTCTTATTTGAACAACATGGTAATAATCTCATCCTTTCCAGAGCATATAGCTTTTTGGTTGCCACTGTACTGTGTATTCTGTATGTCTTTAGCAGCATGCTCTCACCCTGGCTTGAAGTCTGCTCACTGTTTGCTGAGAGGACATCACTTTTTTTCTCTATATTGGGTCTTCTTCTTGTCCAGCTCCTGTGAAAAGTTTTGATCTGTGTCCAAGCTTAATGTATGGTGTGTTGGGGATTTCTCAATGTTGGTCCATAGTTGCAATAACAGTCACTTTCTCTGTTATCACAGCAGTAGTATGTTTGTCTGTGTAAAGTATAAACACTGTATATTATACAGTTGGCTACTGCAGTTTGTTCAGCACGTTTCGGATTAGTTAATAGGAAAGTCAGCTGTGTAGCTGAGCAGAACAGAGGTTCCTTTCATGGCTTTTGAATTCTCTCCAGAAACAAATCAAACCCTAATAAATGTCATTCAATCAACTGTGGTCTTATAATGATGTTGGATCCAGTACTGTATGGCTCAGTTGATAGAGCATTGCGCTTGTAATGCCAGGATTGTGGGTTGGAGTCCCGGGACCACCCATATGTAAAAATGTATGGATAAAAGTGTCTGCTAAATGGCATATATTAGTAAAGGATAATAACCACATTCAAATCTATGTATAGTCTCAGAGGCATTTACATATTGTTACTTATAGGCTACTGTATTATGTATCCCAAATCCCAAGCATGTGCTTAAGTGCTTTTATAGGAGAATACAATCTGTCATTTCAACAGCATGACCCTGGCACTTTGTTTGGTAAGATGAGGGACCCTGATACATCACTACCCCAGTCAGAGCAGACCCCTAGGTGGTTCCACCATAGTCACTTAATGGCAAAAACAGACCTGGGCCCGGTTTTCTGACAGCGATAGAACGTAGGCCTGCGAATGTTTTAACGATGCATCTTTCCTACAAAGGCCGAAATGTAATATGCGTTTCCCAAAACACCATGCAGAGAGAACGGTTGCTAAGCGCATCGTCGAAGCATGTGTTGATACTGATAGGATCGAAAGAAAGCAAGTGCTGCTCTCGGATCAGCTTTCTCCATACAAATCTTTCCTTAACATTATAATTATTTCACAATACTGACGACGGATCAGCTCCTAGAGTGATATTCCCACCTATGGCTGCAAATATTAAGGTGGCTTATTGTAATTATAAAATTGCACTAAATCACAGATTTGGCACATCATTGTGCACATGTTAGGCTACACATCATATCATAAAAGATGTTGAGACAAATTAAAGACAGTTGCCTACAAGTAGCAAAATAGAATTCAATTGATTGAACATGAAATGTATTTCAATATGATTGAAATAGGCCTATAGCTTACTGTTTATATTTGAATGCAGTCATCTCTCATTTTAAACATATTTTTATACTAGCTTGTTTGTATCAATTGCAAAGACATTGGCAACTTTGTATTTCTAGTCAACTTTGTTCTGAAGTTATCATGCTCACAGAAACAGATGTGATTCTATGTTTAGCGGAGATCTTCTGTGTATAAAGTGACGTGGGAGGGCAAAAAAGCATCTAACGACGCACTTAGCTGTTCTACGAGTGGTCTGAGCCAGGCGTAAGATTTCGAGCGTTTTCAAGTGCAACGTTAATAACGATGGTTTTGGGAAACAGCTCGGACATTTAACGATGCTCCTACGAAGGTTCTAACGATGAACTTAGCCTTAAGATGATTTTGGGAAACTGGGCCCAGGGCTCCTCAGGCCTGGTATATTGCTCAGTATACCATTTGTGTCTCGACAGCTGGAATTTAAATACTGCATGTAATTCCATAGCCTACCCCATTTTATATTTGATTTTGGCATTCCTGAAATGCTCATTGTCTAAAAGATGTAAAATGAACAATATCAGCTCAAGTTAGAACAAGTTCTTGAAATAACCAGTTCATTGTAATATAAGCTGAAGTTGTCTTTGGTTTCTTTTTTGTTATAGAAGACTCAGGCTTTGCACAGCACAGCTGCATGACTAATAAAAAGCGGACATTTTCCTAGCCGATTCTCAACGGTCACTAATGACTCCATTGAGCACTGGCTAACTTTTTCCTATGTCCTTTTGTATCCTTTGAGTGAATGTTCTTGATCTGAGAACAAGGCTACATGATTTATTCTGATACAATGTGCTTAACTAAGAGTATCACAAGTTTGTATGTTAAATATTGGTCTCTAGGCCTAGTACATCAGACTGATTTCCCTCCATTTACATCTACTCAGTTGCAGATTCACCAAGTATATCTAAGTATGAGAGTCTTGTGATAAGCAGTCATGTTGGAGAAGCACGGTTTCTCTCTCAGTGTGTGGTATGGTTACTTTGGCCAGCCAGCCTGTCTGTATGTGTTTGAGTCATTGTGAGTAAGAGGGAGTATCCGTTTAAACAAAACAGAACTGGACATTAAATCAAGCTAGTCTGTCTGTCTGTCTCAAGTCACTGACTGACCACAAACACAGGAGCACAGATTTACACTCTGAATTCCTGATGCATTCACTCTATCTCTCTCTCATTCACTTCATCTGGCCACAAATGGCCCAGACATCTGACATCATCTTTTGCACTTTTGTGATTGGGAGTCAAGTCCCCTTGGGCACAAACTGGTTGAATCAACGTTGTTTCCAAATAATTGAAACCAAAAAAAATCAATGTGATGAAGTTAAATCAATGTGGAAAACTGATTGGATTTGCAAAAAGTCATCAACGTAAAGGAATTTCGGAAATGTTTGTATTTCTTTCACCCAACTTTTAACCTAAACCCAATTACAAGGTTCACATTTTTGTTGATTTCAGGTTGAATTTACAACTCAATCAATTGTAAATGAAAACTAGACGTTGAACTGACGTCTGTGTCCACCATTATCCATTACAGGTCTGGATGTCCATTGTCATGAATGTGGACACATACATTTGATGTAGTCCATATGATGCTTAGATGACAATCTGGTATATCTTAACACTAGGTGGTATGTTATTAGTGTGGTTACTAGAACAGTCTGTCTCTCCCTCGTGTTCCCCATTATAACAGTGTCTCTCTCTCTCCCTCCATCTCTTCCTCTCCCCCTCTCCCTCTCATTCTCCAGTACAACAGCTGCCCCCAGGGTCCGGCTGGCACCCCGGGCAGGGAGGGTAACCCTGGCACCAATGGCATCCCTGGGACCCCTGGCATCCCGGGGCGCGATGGCATCAAGGGGGAGAAAGGAGAGTGTGTGAGTGAGGTGTTTGAGGAGCCCTGGAAACCCAACTACAAGCAGTGTGCCTGGAACTCACTCAACTATGGGATCGACCTGGGCAAGATAGCTGTAAGTGGCTGGCAATGCTCACCAGACAGGATCTGGGGCACTGAGTAATATGGTTACATCAGCATTATTACTATATTGATCATCCATAATAAGGTTGATTGTGTTCGTTTAGAGAAAAGTATTCGTTAACATGTTCTTTTAATTTTCTCTTAAGCCTCTGTACTAACAGTGTAATTACTAGTAACAACATTGTATTATTCACACTGAATTGAAATGAGACATGAATACAAAACATAAAACATTGAAGATGCTATCATTGGATGCTATTGTTAGGATTTCCTCTCCACCTCTTGTGTCTCCCCTGTAGGACTGTACATTCACCAAGCTGCGTTCAGACAGTGCCCTGCGTGTGCTCTTCAGCGGCTCCCTGAGGCTGAAGTGTAAGACAGCCTGCTGCCAGCGTTGGTACTTCACCTTCAACGGAGCTGAGTGTACAGGACCTCTGCCCATCGAGTTCATCATCTACCTCGACCAAGGCAGCCCTGAGCTCAACTCCACCATCAACATACACAGAACCTCATCTGGTAAGAAATTATACCATCAACACGCACAGCTCATCCGGTAAGCGGAACGTAGCTGAACTGAGCTAGTGTAGCTAGTGGGAGCCATTTGTTGGTGGTGGTATTTTGCTTATATATCTCAAATGCGAAATCTATTGTAGCCTTGAAATATTAATAATATATCTACTATTGCTGTTTAAATTCTACTGTGAAGCAAGACATTTGACATATGCATACCCACTTCATGCTGTTTTTTTTTCTTTCTTAAGCTGCCAAGTTCACCAGTGTAGAAAGACCAAAACAAAGCAATTAAAAGGCCTCGTCTTGGCACACATACGGTAGTGTGAGTGTACAATGTAACTCAGGAAGTTGTCTTGTAAATAAACCTCAATGACCTTAGTATTTTTCGCAGTGACACTTAAACTTAAGTTGCCCTTATACCTACAGTGAGGGAAAAAAGTATTTGATCCCCTGCTGATTTTGTACGTTTGCCCACTGACAAAGAAATGATCAGTCTATAATTTTAATGGTAGGTTTATTTGAACAGTGAGAGACAGAATAACAACAACAAAATCCAGAAAAACGCATGTCAAAAATGTTATAAATTGATATGCATTTTAATGAGGGAAATAAGTATTTGACCCCCTCTCAATCAGAAAGATTTCTGGCTCCCAGGTGTCTTTTATACAGGTAACGAGCTGAGATTAGGAGCACACTCTTAAAGGGAGTGCTCCTAATCTCAGTTTGTTACCTGTATAAAAGACACCTGTCCACAGAAGCAATCAATCAGTCAGATTCCAAACTCTTTAACCATGGCCAAGACCAAAGAGCTCTCCAAGGATGTCAGGGACAAGATTGTAGACCTACACAAGGCTGGAACGGGCTACAAGACCATCGGCAAGCAACTTGGTGAGAAGGTGACAACAGTTGATGCGATTATTCGCAAATGGAAGAAACACAAAATAACTGTCAATCTCCCTCGGCCTGGGGCTCCATGCAAGTTCTCACCTCGTGGAGTTGCAATGATCATGAGAACGGTGAGGAATCAGCCCAGAACTACACGGGAGGATCTTGTCAATGATCTCAAGGTAGCTGGGACCATAGTCACCAAGAAAACAATTGGTAACACACTACGCCGTGAAGGACTGAAATCCTGCAGCGCCCGCAAGGTCCCCCTGCTCAAGAAAGCACATATACAGGCCCGTCTGAAGTTTGCCAATGAACATCTGAATGATTCAGAGGAGAACTGGGTGAAAGTGTTGTGGTCAGATGAGACCAAAATGGAGCTCTTTGGCATCAACTCAACTCGCCGTGTTTGGAGGAGGAGGAATGCTGCCTATGACCCCAAGAACACCATCCCCACCGTCAAACATGGAGGTGGAAACATTATGCTTTGGGGGTGTTTTTCTGCTATGGGGACAGGACAACTTCACCGCATCAAAGGGACGATGGACGGGGCCATGTACCGTCAAATCTTGGGTGAGAACCTCCTTCCCTCAGCCAGGGCATTGAAAATGGGTCGTGGATGGGTATTCCAGCATGACAATGACCCAAAACACACGGCCAAGGCAACAAAGGAGTGGCTCAAGAAGAAGCACATTAAGGTCCTGGAGTGGCCTAGCCAGTCTCCAGACCTTAATCTCATAGAAAATCTGTGGAGGGAGCTGAAGGTTCGAGTTGCCAAACGTCAGCCTCGAAACCTTAATGACTTGGAGAAGATCTGCAAAGAGGAGTGGGACAAAATCCCTCCTGAGATGTGTGCAAACCTGGTGGCCAACTACAAGAAACGTCTGACCTCTGTGATTGCCAACAAGGGTTTTGCCACCAAGTACTAAGTCATGTTTTGCAGAGGGGTCAAATACTTATTTCCCTCATTAACATTTATATTAACATTTTCGTCATTTAGCAGACGCTCTTATCCAGAGCGACTTACAAATTGGTGCATTCACCTTATGATAGCCAGTGGGACAACCACTTTACAAATTATTATTTTATTTTATTTTTTCCTTTTTTTGGGGGGGGTGGGGGGGTGGGGTAAGGGGGGGTAGAAGGATTACTTTATCCTATCCCAGGTATTCCTTAAAGAGGTGGGGTTTCAAGTGTCTCCGGAAGGTGGTGAGTGACTCCGCTGTCCTGGCGTCGTGAGGGAGCTTGTTCCACCATTGGGGTGCCAGAGCAGCGAACAGTTTTGACTGGGCTGAGCAGGAACTGTGCTTCCGCAGAGGTAGGGGAGCCAGCAGGCCAGAGGTGGATGAACGCAATGCCCTCGTTTGGGTGTAGGGACTGATCAGAGCCTGAAGGTACGGAGGTGCCGTTCCCCTCACAGCTCCGTAGGCAAGCACCATGGTCTTGTAGCAGATGCGAGCTTCAACTGGAAGCCAGTGGAGTGTGCGGAGGAGCGGGGTGACGTGAGAGAACATGGGAAGGTTGAACACCAGACGGGCTGCGGTGTTCTGGATGAGTTGTAGGGGTTTAATGGCACAGGCAGGGAGCCCAGCCAACAGCGAGTTGCAGTAATCCAGACGGGAGATGACAAGTGCCTGGATTAGGACCTGTGCCGCTTCCTGTGTAAGGCAGGGTCGTACTCTGCAAATGTTGTAGAGCATGAACCTACAGGATTGGGTCACCGCCTTGATGTTAGCGGAGAACGACAGGGTGTTGTCCAGGGTCAAGCCAAGGCACTTTGCACTCTGGGAGGAGGACACAACAGAGTTGTCAACCGTGATGGCGAGATCATGGAACGGGCAGTCCTTCCCCGGGAGGAAGAGCAGCTCCGTCTTGCCAAGGTTCAGCTTGAGGTGGTGATCCGTCATCCACACTGATATGTCTGCCAGACATGCAGAGATGCGATTCGCCACCTGGTTATCAGAAGGGGGAAAGGAGAAGATTATTTGTGTGTCGTCTGCGTAGCAATGATAGGAGAGGCCATGTGAGGATATGACAGAGCCAAGTGACTTGGTGTATAGCAAGAATAGGAGAGGGCCTAGAACTGAGCCCTGGGGGACACCAGTGGTGAGAGCACGTGGTGCGGAGACAGATTCTCGCCACGCCACCTGGTAGGAGCGACCTGTCAGGTAGGACACAATCCAAGAGTGAGCCGCGCCGGAGATGCCCAACTCGGAGAGGGTAGAGAGGAGGATCTGATGGTTCACAGTATCAAAGGCAGCAGATAGGTCTAGAAGGACGAGAGCAGAGGAGAGAGAGTTAGCTTTAGCAGTGCGGAGAGCCTCCGTGACATAGAGAAGAGCAGTCTCAGTTGAATGACCAGTCTTGAAACCTGACTGGTTTGGATCAAGAAGGTAATTCTGAGAGAGATAGCAAGAGAGTTGGCTAAAGATGGCTCGCTCAAGAGTTTTGGAGAGAAAAGAAAGAAGGGATACTGGTCTGTAGTTGTTGACATTAAAATTCAAATCAATTTATAACATCTCTGGATTTTTTTGTTGTTATTCTGTCTCTCACTGTTCAAATAAACCTACCATTAAAATTATAGACTGATCATGTCTTTGTCAGTGGGCAAACATACAAAATCAGCAGGGGATCAAATACTTTTCCCCCTCACTGTATTTAACTATGCATTAATGACTGTCGAAACAACACTGTGTTAACAGTCGTTAGAGTAACTTCTCTTCTTGTCTTGTCCCAGTTGAAGGGTTGTGTGAGGGGATCCGGGCAGGCCTGGTGGACGTGGCTATCTGGGTGGGGACCTGTGCTGACTACCCCCGAGGAGACGCATCTACAGGGTGGAACTCCGTATCCAGGGTATTCATAGAGGAGCTGCCCAAATGAGGCCGTCTTTATTAAGTGATGGGACCAGGCAAAATAGAGAAAGAACCCCTAACAATCCTTCTGAAGGCTTTGACTACATATCAGTTTTGTTTCTGGATGGGTTCCTAGTCTATGACAATGTCCTCTGGCCAATCAGACAACTTCAGTTGTGGCTAAATACAGTATCACTGATGTTCACTTGAATGTTTTGTACTACAGAAGGTAGGGTCTAGTATATTGAACACCTGAAATTAGATTTATTCCTCATTAGTCCCATTTCTGTTTAATAAAGCAAGATTTTGTCTGATCTTGTAATCTGCTGAAGTCTTACATTTTTAAACGAATTACTGTCAATAAAGTAATCTTTTGTATGAATCAAGCATTGTGTTACTCATTACACTATAATATGTTTTCCTATCAGATTATTTTTTTTGAAATTGGTGAATTCATAAAGAAATTCATGTGATGATATATTTGACAAGTGAACACAGCACAGCTGTTAAATTTAATCTGAGGCTAAAAAAAGCTACCAAATGTTTTCCTATCAGAGAAGAACATTATTTGAAAATTGGTTTATGCATGACCAGGTGAATTCATAAAGAAATGCATGTGTTGATATATTTTTCAAGTGACAAGTGAACACAGCACAGCTGTTACATTTAATCTGAAGCTAAAAAATGTTAACAAATGTTTTCCTATCAGAGAAGAACATTCTTTGAACATTGGTTTATGCATGACCAGGTGAATTCATAAAAAATGCATGTGTTCATATCGTTTTGAAATGACAAGTGAACACAGAACAGCTGTAAAATGTTATCTGAAACAAAAAGCTAACAAATACAAAAGGAACATAAAGCTTGAAACTTTACCTGAAAATAAATGGACTAATGCCAATTCAACACTGATATTTCAGATTAAGACTTCTGAAATTAACATTATTTCAAAGATGTTGAACAGTGCAATCAGTCTTCTGCGATCATTTCCTATGACATCATTCACATGAGGGTTTACATGCCCTACAGCATGATGCCAATAAGTTAAATAAAAACAAATTGGGTGTACATTATACCCTGAAAATAGCAGGTATGCTCTTTTAATGTCGACGTTTAAATCGGACTTATATTACACACACACATGGTATTCACATCACAGTCAGCAGCCTTGAAAGAATGGTTTATTTTTGCTTTGATGTTTCACCCCCACATCCTGTACAGTACCTCCAGTGAGGTCTGTTCTTCTGTGATGCAACCAAGGAAGAGACAGAGAGACCAGTCTTTAATTACCAGCATTGTCAACATCATCTCTCTGAGAATGCCAAACCTCGAATGCATACTATAGATGAGAGTCCTGGTTTTTCATAGTGATAATAAGATCTAATTCCACCACATGCTTTTGGAGTTGCTTTATGGTTGTTTTGACTCTGCTGCCAGAGGTGCATCCAGGTGATATGTCCGCTCCAGTTGTCCAGTTACCTGCTGTGACAGTTCTGGAGACTTCAGTTCATGGCTTATCTTATCTAGCACCACATACATTGTCTGAGTGTCCCTTCCTCTTTGTGGTCCTGCCATGGCTGTCTCCTTAGTCCTCCTCACTTCTGGCCCATCAGGAAGCGAGACACGTTCTCATAGACCACGAAGGTGATACAGCAGGCTGGGGTGACACGGATCAGGTTGGGCACCATGCCTTTATAGAACCCTACAGCTCCCTCATTCCTGTGGAGGAGGGACCAAAATAAACACAGTAGTCACTATGTGGAAAAAAACCAGACTGAAATGTCAGCATTGGAATGGGCGTTAGCAAGCTTTCTCATGGCTCTCTGTAGGGTTAGAGTTTGAAGCTGCGGATCTTAGTTGCTTCACACTGTTATGTTACCAAACTCCATGAACATGGTTATATGCCCACTTAACAGTAAATTATAGCAAGTTTTGGCTAGTTAACCTAAAACTAGCTGTTTTTTGTGTATGTACTGTAAACCAACAGTGTGGTCTTGGCCTACCTCCATGTCCTCCTGACCACATCCAGGACTCCATTGTACTTATTATGCTGGTCCTGCAGGCGAGCCCGCACCACCTGGTAAGGGTATGTAGTAGCCACAGCAAATATTTTGGATAGAGCTGCCATTGTGATATATTCCAATGGATTCTGGTCAGACCGAGAGAGAGAGAGAGAGGTTGGAGGAGTGATGCCTGTGAGTCACTTACTTCACAAGCATTACGGTAATTCTTCCAGAAATCCTGCAACACTTAGAAGTGGGTTTTCTTTATGAGTAATTTAAAGGTTTATTACCCATATGGTTGAGTCATTAAAACTATGAACACATTTACATTAGGTGTGGTTATAGAAGTCTTAATGTTTCCTCACTCTGCACTCACCAGTTTAGCTTCTGAAGGCATTTTCTTGTATTTGTTGTAGTCTCTCTTCAGCTCCTCATAGGCCATGAACTGCAATGCCCCGTGTGACGTGCCAAATAAACCAGGAACATACCCCTGGAGGATTAAACACTGGGGTCATTATCTGTACCTGACAAATAACCTTTGTTTTAGCGCCAATGAAAGGTGCTGTTATCTTCCAAATCCAATTGATATGATCATGGTATTTATAATATTGAAAAATACTTATAGCTGATATAAAAGACACTAATATCTTGAAAGTCAATTTATCATATTGACTACCCAGGCTGTTCAATTCTGGTCCTGGAGGTCCGAAACACTTCTGTTTTTGTTTCTACCTGGTATTTAATTGCACTCAACTGGTGGCCCAGGTCTGAATTAGTCCCTTATTAGAAGGAGAGGATGACAACCAGAAGTGTTTTAGCCCTCCAGGACTGACATTGAACAGCCCTGCCCTGTGCATGATCTACCTACCTCTACTAACACTGACTTTGCTGATAACTTGAGGAAATATTTACTTATTACTATGACTGTAAACAGCTGTGTAAAGTAGTTAAGTAAAAATACTTTAAAGTACTACTTAAGTCGTTTTTTCGGGTATCTGTACTTTACTATTTATATTTTTGACAACTTTCACTTTAATACATTCCTAAAGCAAATAATGTTTAAAAAAAAGAAGAAAATGGTGCCGTCTGGTTTGCTTAATATAAGGAATTTGAAATGATTTATACTTTTACTTTTGATACTAAGGTATATTTTAGCAATTACATTTACTTTTGATACTTAAGTATATTTGAAACCAGATACTTAAGACTTTTACTCAAGTAGTATTTTACTGGGTGACTTTCACTTTTACTTGAGTGGTATGTATCTTTACTTTTACTGAAGTATGACAATTGGGTACTTTTTCCACCACAGACTGTGAAATGTGGTTGTCTCACCTAGCTATCTTAGGATGAATGCACTAAATGTACACTGCTCAAAAAAATAAAGGGAACACTTAAACAACACAATGTAACTCCAAGTCAATCACACTTCTGTGAAATCAAACTGTCCACTTAGGAAGCAACACTGATTGACAATACATTTCACATGCTGTTGTGCAAATGGAATAGACAACAGGTGGAAATTATAGGCAATTAGCAAGACACCCCCAATGACCACAGACCACTTCTCAGTTCCTATGCTTCCTGGCTGATGTTTTGGTCACTTTTGAATGCTGGCGGTGCTTTCACTCTAGTGGTAGCATGAGACGGAGTCTACAACCCACACAAGTGGCTCAGGTAGTGCAGCTCATCCAGGATGGCACATCAATGCGAGCTGTGGCAAGAAGGTTTGCTGTGTCTGTCAGCGTAGTGTCCAGAGCATGGAGGCGCTACCAGGAGACAGGCCAGTACATCAGGAGACGTGGAGGAGGCCGTAGGAGGGCAACAACCCAGCAGCAGGACTGCTACCTCCGCCTTTGTGCAAGGAGGAGCAGGAGGAGCACTGCCAGAGCCCTGCAAAATGACCTCCAGCAGGCCACAAATGTGCATGTGTCTGCTCAAACGGTCAGAAACAGACTCCATGAGGGTGGTATGAGGGCCCGACGTCCACAGGTGGACGTTTGGCATTTGCCAGAGAACACCAAGATTGGCAAATTCGCCACTGGCGCCCTGTGCTCTTCACAGATGAAAGCAGGTTCACACTGAGCACGTGACAGACGTGACAGAGTCTGGAGACGCCGTGGAGAACGTTCTGCTGCCTGCAACATCCTCCAGCATGACCGGTTTGACGGTGGGTCAGTCATGGTGTGGGGTGGCATTTCTTTGGGGGGCCGCACAGCCCTCCATGTGCTCGCCAGAGGTAGCCTGACTGCCATTAGGTACCGAGATGAGATCCTCAGACCCCTTGTGAGACCATATGCTGGCCCTGGGTTCCTCCTAATGCAAGACAATGCTAGACCTCATGTGGCTGGAGTGTGTCAGCAGTTCCTGCAAGAGGAAGGCATTGATGCTATGGACTGGCCCGCCCGTTCCCCAGACCTGAATCCAATTGAGCACATCTGGGACATCATGTCTCGCTCCATCCACCAACGCCACGTTGCACCACAGACTGTCCAGGAGTTGGCGGATGCTTTAGTCCAGGTCTGGGAGGAGATCCCTCAGGAGACCATCCGCCACCTCATCAGGAGCATGCCCAGGCGTTGTAGGGAGGTCATACAGGCACGTGGAGGCCACACACACTACTGAGCCTCATTTTGACTTGTTTTAAGGACATTACATCAAAGTTGGATCAGCCTGTAGTGTGGTTTTCCACTTTAATTTTGAGGGTGACTCCAAATCCAGACCTCCATGGGTTGATAAATTAGATTTCCATTGATAATTTTTGTGTGATTTTGTTGTCAGCACATTCAACTATGTAAAGAAAAAAGTATTTAATAAGATTATTTCATTCATTCAGATCTAGGATGTGTTATTTTAGTGTTCCCTTTATTTTTTTGAGCAGTGTATATCCCTCTGGATAAGAGTGTGCTAAATTGCTAAAATGTAAAATGGAGTACTGCCCCCTAGTGGTAGTCTATAAAACATGCATTCAAATCTTATGCAACTAAAGTACATTCTGTAAAACTTCAATTAAAGCTGCAATATGTAACTTTTTTGGGCAACCGACCAAATTCACATAGAAATATGAGGTATAGGTATGTCACTCATTGAAAGCAAGTCTAAGAAGTGGTAGATCTGTTCTACGTGGCTATTTCTAGGCTTCTCGTTCTTAAGTTTCATTGTTGAGTCTTTTACTTTCGGTTTTGTTCACATTTACATTTTAGTAATTTAGTACCAGCTTCAAACAGTTGAAAATACAATATTTTGGGGTATGGAAAAGCTATTTCACAGCGGTTTAGATGGTACAATGATTCTCTACACTATACTTCCTTGTAAAATGAAATTAGGCTAACTATTAGAATTTGAGGAACAAGGAAATGGTGGAGCGATTTCTGCATAGTGCATCTTTAATAGCCTGGGCGTTTATTTGCTTCAATCACTGAACATAATCGGTGCTTATTAGAGACAGGTTTCTATTTGAGCCAGGCGACTATTTCCTTATTGCACACAGCTTTTGCTCAATAAAAAAGGTTGAAAAGACTACCACACTGTTCATTGTGACCAGTATGACCAGCATAAACATTATAATAACAAATCCATTGTAGATCAGACCTGCAAAGACTAGGCTGCCTATCATACACCCCGATTTCGCGCATCAGCACCATAAAGAGCTCCATTTGCTCTCGTGTTTTCTTTTTGGTGGCTCCATGGCTAGCAACAATGAAATAATTAAATAAAAAATGTTGACTGTGGGAATATAAGAGCTGTGTCCATGGTAACCTCATTTAGACCCAGCGTTTATTTGAAACAGCCGTTTATTTGCTGAAATATTTGCCGATGCCCAGCTATTAAAAAGGACAGGTGGCTATTTGAGACTGATTTTACGGTACATTGCCTAATTTTAGGCTGTGAGGGATCATAAGGAGAAAACATGTTTACATATGACACCATTCACATGTCCTGCACATTCACTGGACCTGCACCTGACTTGTAAGCAGACAAGAAAGTCCTAATAAGCTCTATTCAGGATACAGCCATCATACATACAGATGACAAACCCTGGGTTATACTGAGCCTCACCCTGTACAGTCCAGGTATCCCCTCATGCCGGTAGATCTTCACCAGTGCATCTATCATCCCTTTATACTGTTTCCTGGTGGGATCAGTGTTATACTGCAGCACCAAGCGAGTCTTAGTCACCCAGATAGGGTTGGTTAGGGTGAGAGTCAATACACCTGGAGACGGAGGAAACAGAGGTGAGTTTCTGACACACACACACAGCTGCATAAGTGTACAACATGAATTAAACCAAACTACAAGCTCTACGCTACACTACATGGAGCCTGTGAAGCATGGAGCTGGTGAAGACCCCTATCTCATTAAGTTTTATTAAATCACATGACACAGGGCAGCCAGTGTCTTTCTTTCCTTTTCCATTGTCTGTCAGTGAGTGCAGGGCATTAGTTTAACATGATTAGGCTAGGGTCAATCAAATCACATGACCGTATACAGCCAGAAAAATTATAAAAGTTCAGCAAATTGACCAATAACTGTATACATATGTACTTTTGCCTTAGTCAGAGGAGTCAAATATTTTGTTCCAACTAGTCAGTCACACGCCTGATTCAACTAATCAAAGTCTGGACTAGTATAGCAGACTATGATATGTTTATTTAGATGTGTAATGTTAACTGTTTGATCAAACAGTGTTGACCTTCGAAGTTGTGGTATTGACCACACACCACCAGTGTGTGTGTCCCTGGGGTCTAGACAGAGGCAGTACTAACCTGCTTGGGCGGCTGACAGCAGGTGTTCTGTGGCACTCAGTTCAGACTGACGGCCTTCCTTAGTGTACGCCTTGATGGCATTGTAACTGTGGGGGAAGTTAATACAGACAGAACAGAAAATTCATTGGATACCTCAATAGACAAATCCCGACGCTACCATTGCTATTTAAAAGTGCTAGAGTACAATGTAGAAATATTATCAACAGTCATGTTAAGTGATGAGTTCATAGTTGATTGGATAGACGAGGGGTTTCCAAACTGGGCTGCAGTGGGTCCGCCAATTTTTTGGGGCAATTTTTGGGAGGGTTTTTTAACGTGAAAAATAATTATTTTATGAATATCGCTAGCAGCAACAGAATACCATCGTGGATACAATGTTTATGTCTCTGCGTCCAGAATGAAGGAAGTTAGAGGTAGTTTCACAAGCCCATGCCAACTAGCGTTAGTGCAATGACTTGAAGTCTACAGGAACAGTTAGCATGCTAGCTGTTCCTGCTCATCCGACTCTGGGGAAGTAGATAAATGGCTTCATTGCCAAAATCTCAAACTACCCCTTTAATATTTTTACATTTTAGTCATTTAGCAGACGCTCTTATCCAAAGCGACTTACAGTTAGTGAGTGCATACATTTACTTAATATAATATAATAATATAATATGCCATTTAGCAGACGCTTTTATCCAAAGCGACTTACAGTCATGCGTGCATACATTTTTTTTGTGTATGGGTGGTCCCGGGGATCGAACCCACTACCTTGGCGTTACAAGCGCCGTGCTCTACCAGTTCATACTGGCCCCTCGTGGGAATCGAACCCACAACCCTGGCGTTGCAAGTGCCATGCTCTACCAACTGAGCTACACGGGGGCCCGTGTGGAGGAGATGATTGTGGACTACAGGAAAAAGAAGAGGACCGAGCACGCCCCCATTCTCATCGACGGGGCTGTAGTGGAGCAGGTTGAGAGCTTCAAGTTCCTTCGTGTCCACATCACCAACAAACTAACATGGTCCAAGCACACCAAGACAGTTGTGAAGAGGGCACGACAAAACCTATTCCCCTAAGGAGACTGAAAAGATTTGGCATGTGTCCTCAGATCCTCAAAAGGTTCTACAGCTGCACCATCGAGAGCATCCTGACTGGTTGCATCACTGCCTGGTATGGCAACTGCTTGGCCTCCAACCCCAATTACCTTGACTAACCGGTGCCCCCGCACATTGACTCGGTACTGGTACCCCCCGTATATAGCCTCGCTATTGTCATTTTTACTGCTGCTCTTTCATTATTTGTTACTTTTATTTTGTATAATTGTATATTGTATTTTTGTGTGATTTTTTGTTGTATTCTTTCTTAAAACTGCATTGTTGGTTAAGGGCTTGTAAGTAAGCATTTCACTGTAAGGTCTACACCTGTTGTATTCGGCACATGTGACAAATAACATTTGATTTGATTTGAAATTACAGTCATTGGAGCTAATTACAGGGGTTTTTCTGTATAGAAAATTCTTAGGCGGGCCATGGTAAATTTCAGGACAGAAAAACTGTTTCAGTGTCAACTTAAACAACCAAAACCAGATAGAAAGCATGCAGAAAAGATATTGAACTATATATATATATATATATATATATATATATATATATATATATATATATTACATATTTTAAAAAATGGGCATTCAGGGCCCATGCCCATTGATTTTGTTATAATGTCTGAGCAGAGGAACACAGCATTAGCCATGGCAAAATGCATAGAATTGCTGGAAATTAGCTTTAAAACTGCAGAATTGTCTCTCAGCTCCATGCCAAACTGTATAGAATTGCTGGAAATTAGCTTCAAAACAGTAACATTTTCTGTCAGCTCAATAGATAAATCTGTAGAGTTGCAGAAAATGTGCTTTACAACAGCAAAATTCTCTCTACGCAGCCGAGATACTGTACCTTTCTAGCTAATAATGTTAAGAGTTTACACTCCCTCTTCCAATGAACTGTGGGTAGGTAAAAATAATGAAACCGTCTACCAAATCTATTCATTTTCAAATGTCGATTACTCCTACTTGCCTTTACCATTCACCTGATGATAAGACAATACTTTCTTTAACCCCTGGGATATACTATTGAAATTCCAATAAATGTCTGGCAATGCATGCATGCTGTCATGTCATCCAGCTGTCATATTGTAAAGATATTATCCCAGAGAAAGTAGAACGGTTTTACTTCTTCTGGTTATACTTACAAGAAGAAGTAGAGGCCCCATGATGCCCCAGCACCCCAGATGTTTGGGGTGACTCCTTGGTAGAGTCCTCGGACCCCCTCCTGCTGCCACACATTTCTCAAACAATGGATAACGCCATTATATTTAGGTCTCAGGTCCAGTCCATCGCTCACTGCAGGAAAATAACAAGGCAGGGGAAAACATACACTGTCAGAGTCAACAGAACATCAACTGTCCATTCAAGTTCCAGCCAGGTAGCTAGCTACTCCTATGTTATTACCATGTGCCGATTGCATAATTTGCAGGTTCCCAATCTTACACCTGTCAAAGGCAGAAATTAGCTAGCTGCTGCCAGTCCCTTTTAGGCTGGACAAATAAACACCTTGTAGCTACTGTAAGAGTTTTAGAGCCACACATTGACATACATAACTTTACCTGCAAACCTGATTTTGACTAGGTCAAGAGGGTGCAGCACCAGTGTTGACACGACTCCTCCACCGAGTCCTGCAACCAAATTCTCTATTTTCACATGGCTGTAGACTTGCTGGATACGTCCAGTTATGGAGAAAGGTGTGCCACTTCCAGGTCCTGTTGCAGCTGTCTCTTGATTTGAAGTAGCAGGACTCATGTTTACCTAGCTATTCTGTGAATTTAGCTAGAATTAAGTTAACGTCAGCTACTTGATTATTCAGATCTTATTCAACAGAACGCGCACGGTATCGTGCTCCTGTTAAAATATAATCCCAGAATCCAAAAGGCACATACTTGAAGTAACCACATCATATTTTAAGACGTTTTAGTGACCCACGTTTTTGTCATGCGGTACAAGCTACATCTCTATCCGGCACGACCTTTCCAATGACTCGATCGAAGCTGATATGCCGAGTTCAAAACAACTGGATCTCGGAACTCGGAAATCGCAGACTTCCGACTTCAATGCGTTCAAGACAACTGGGAACTCGGAAAAAAACGAGCACCGACTGTGAAAAATCTTTTGAAACTTCTTCCAATTCGGGAACTCGGGCCTCCATCATTTGATGTTGTTTTTTCCTAGTTCCCAGTTGTCTTGAACGCACCAAAAGCACCAATACTTTAGGAAATGTGACGCAATTTGGAGGACTTTACTATCCCACAATGCAACAGTAAAAGGCACACCCCCGACCACCATGGCAGTCTGCGAGACAGATTTGCAAAAACCGCAGCGTATGTTATGAAGCTGTGTTTACGTCGGTGAACTAAAATTGTAAACACAATGAGTTGCTTATGGATGGGTAATGTAAGTCCTGATATGTTACTTTAACAACTTTGCATGCATACAAAACTATCATTAGCATATCCTAGCTCTTGTGATACTCCCACTTTAGGATAGCTAGTGTTACCACCTCTCAGTGCTACCAACTAGCTCGTTAGCTAATAGATGCACCCTCAGGCATTTTCATTATTTGGCAAACGTTAGCTAGTTCTTGCTCACTGACAAGCCCCAAAGAGCCTCTAGTCTAGTGAAGCCTGTCATTTCCTTGTCTGAAAGACCACACCAAGTCAGTGTCTCTGAAAGTTTGAGAATATGTCCAGTTGAATATAGCTAGGTAGCTACACTAAGTTACAGAGTGTAGGTAATTTACAGTAGCAAGCTAGAGTAGAGGTTTTCTGTTCAAGTTAGTGTTTTTCTCTCATCCCCTGTAGTTAGAGCCTTATATGGATGAGAAGTTCATCTCTCGTGCATTTGCCACCATGGGAGAGCTTGTGGTGGGGGTGAGAATCATCCGGAACAAAATGAACTGGTAAGACAGGAGAACATTATGCTACTGCAATAGAAGGGTTATGAGTGATACAGACAGTTTTTTGTCTTTGGGGATGTCTAGTAGCTACTGTATATTACTATCACTATTCACCAACAGAAGAAATTGCACAACCACAACGACACGTACATGTATGTGTTTTGGACCTTCTCCACCTTGTGTAGGGGTGCGGCAGGCTATTGCTTTGTTGAGCTGGCGGACGAGGCCACTGCTGAGCGGTGTCTCAGGAAAGTTAACGGGAAGCCTCTCCCTGGAGCCACACCGGTACAGTGCCACCACACACACACACACATCCCTCAATGATTCCACATTTTTTTCCAATCTCGAATCGACCCATAGCCCCTACCCCTATCTCAGGCACTCTGAGAGGATTGGATATGTATAGGGCATATGGTGAACTCTTGATATACCCATTAACTTTATTAGAGATAAATAATGTCTGGAATAATCCATTCTGAACAAAACACTCTCTCTTCTCTACAGCCGAAGAGGTTCAAACTAAACCGTGCCACGTACGGAAGACAAGGAGAGAACAGGTACGTACTGCATGCCACTGAACTTACTCTGTCCAGGGACTAACAGAGCCTCCCTTCATACAGTAGTGAAGGTAGTTGTGTGTAGATGAAGGAAGACACTTTTACTCCATTCGTTTGGTATGTTCAAGTTGTTCTCTCCAATCATGGATGTAGGAAATATCCCAAATAATCCACACTTTTTCATTATTCATTATTAATAGCATATAGATTTTTTATAAATATTATGTTTATTCATAAAGGTTTTCTTTCCCTGTCAAAAACAGGGGTGGTTACTCAGACAACAGGTTCAATCAGGCGTACTCGTACAACAACAACCAGTACTACCAACAGTACCCTGACCACTACTCCAACTGGGGCTATGACCAGAACACAGGCAGCTACGGAGGTTACAACTACAACCACTATGACTATAGCAACCAGGTGTGTGTGTGTGTGTCCCGCACACACACTGTATTGCTCTTTAATTATACATCAGTTGTACCCATTCTAATGACCACTGAATATGTGATATTAGAGGTATGGCATATTATGGTATGGCTGTTGTGAGTAAAGACCTGTCTCTTTGTTTTAGGGTTATGGGGAGACTGAAGATGATGGACTGGAGTGTGAGTGCTCCGTTTTCTTTCATTTCTCTAGCTTCATGATACAAAAAAGCAGCTGAAATATTTGACACTATTTGACATAATGTATTGAACCCAGGCCTGGAGTATAGCCTACAAACTGTCCAGTCTGTCTGATCTTTATGGCTCTCGTTGCTGTGCCCCTTTGTCTGTGTGCCTGACTGTGTGATCTTACTGTGTGCCTTGTGTGTGCATCCTGCAGACCCCATGGTGGCACTGGATGTGGTGGCAGCCAACAGGCAGTACATGGAGGAGAGTGAGGAGCTGTATGATGCCCTCATAGACTGCCACTGGCCTGCCCTGGAGCCTCCTGGTCCTACTACTGCCGCTGCACCATCCAAGGCACAGTAGAGCTAGCAGACTCCCTGGTCGACAGACAGCAACAGTCGGACTCTCAACCTCTCGATGTGGATTGTTTGGAACAGCCCAGTGTGAAGGTTCAAAGGGTAAAGGCATCTCGTCCTGCCTGCCAAGTGTAGCTGGTCTTCAGTGTCTCGTACTCTTGCAATGGGCTAAGCTAAGCGAACAGACCACAGTGTATGATTCGTGTGATTCGTGTGAACCCAGCTCCAGTGACTGAAAGGATGCCCCCCTCATGTTTGAATTGAATTATTATTTTTATCACTCACCCCCACTCATTTCTTTTGGGTTATTGGGCACTGGTTTGGTTCCAATTGCCCAATGAACAGGCTTGTTTCGGTGCTTGATGACTTTGTAATCATATCTTCAAGGACTGCGTTGCTAGTATTGGCCTCTGTCTTTCCCTCCCTCACATAGCTTCCTTTTTCATATTTATTGTCCACACTGGAAAATAGAATAAGATTGAAATATAATCCCTATTCAACCTATTGATTATCTATCTAGGGTCACTTGCTTCTTATTGTGGAGTGGAAGACTGTGTAGTAGGTGTTTTAAACCTTTCTCCTCCATGTTATAATCTGAAAGCTGTGGGACAGGCAGGATTGTTGATTCTGCTTTGTGTAAATATTCGTCAACAGAAGAAAATGTGGAGGTGTGTGTTCATTCTCAATTCATCAGTAACACTTTATAATAACTTACATGAATAATACATTATAAATGCTTCATAAATTATAAATGCTTTTACATTTTTTCATATAATGAAATACTTAAATAGGTTATGAATGCTTATTCATGAGAGTTATTATAAAGTGTAACTGTTTCATCAATGTCAAATGGGATGTCCTGTTTAGCAGGATATGATGGTATTCTTTAAGGTTAGTCTACAGGTCACCTCATATTACTGTAGTAGAAATACAGTATCAGATCAGCTGGTTCAGTGTTAGTAGCTCCAAGACCACATGCTGACTGCAGCAAAGAATATCAGTATCTACAAGCTCACATCACTAGTGTTCATATGTCTTGCTTTTGAAAATAAATACATGTGACATTGATGCTCAGAGACCGACATGTATTAAAAGCTAATTTTGATACATTTAATTAATTGTGCGATATTTGGAATATTTGGAATATTTCACTTTCTCTGGATGTAGGAGTAATAACATGAATTGGTGCGACTTGAGTTTTGCCATCAGCTGGAAGACTGTGTCCCCTTTTCTCAGCAGATGAAGGAGGGCGGAGGGACGATGAGTCAGGTGAGAGGCAGCCTCACCGCTGCTCCCTCCCACCCCTCAGACTGACCATCAGATGTAGGTCATCAGTCCAGTAAAATATATATACACTGCTCAAAAAAATAAAGGGAACACTTAAACAACACATCCTAGATCTGAATGAATGAAATAATCTTATTAAATACTTTTTTCTTTACATAGTTGAATGTGCTGACAACAAAATCACACAAAAATTATCAATGGAAATCAAATGTATCAACCCATGGAGGTCTGGATTTGGAGTCCCCCTCAAAATTAAAGTGGAAAACCACACTACAGGCTGATCCAACTTCGATGTAATGTCCTTAAAACAAGTCAAAATGAGGCTCAGTAGTGTGTGTGGCCTCCACATGCCTGTATGACCTCCCTACAACGCCTGGGCATGCTCCTGCTGAGATGGTGGATGGTCTCCTGAGGGATCTCCTCCCAGACCTGGACTAAAGCATCTGCCAACTCCTGGACAGTCTGTGGTGCAACGTGGCGTTGGTGGATGGAGCGAGACATGATGTCCCAGATGTGCTCAATTGGATTCAGGTCTGGGGAACGGGCGGGCCAGTCCATAGCATCAATGCCTTCCTCTTGCAGGAACTGCTGACACACTCCAGCCACATGAGGTCTAGCATATGGGCCAACCGCACCAGCATATGGTCTCACAAGGGGTCTGAGGATCTCATCTCGGTACCTAATGGCAGTCAGGCTACCTCTGGCGAGCACATGGAGGGCTGTGCGGCCCCCCAAAGAAATGCCACCCCACACCATGACTGATCCACCGCCAAACCGGTCATGCTGGAGGATGTTGCAGACAGCAGAACGTTCTCCACGGCGTCTCCAGACTCTGTCACGTCTGTCACATGTGCTCAGTGTGAACCTGCTTTCATCTGTGAAGAGCACAGGGCGCCAGTGGCGAATTTGCCAATCTTGGTGTTCTCTGGCAAATGCCAAACATCCTGCACGGTGTTGGGCTGTAAGCACAACCCCCACCTGTGGACGTCGGGCCCTCATACCACCCTCATGGAGTCTGTTTCTGACCGTTTGAGCAGACACATGCACATTTGTGGCCTGCTGGAGGTCATTTTGCAGGGCTCTGGCAGTACTCCTCCTGCTCCTCCTTGCACAAAGGCGGAGGTAGCGGTCCTGCTGCTGGGTTGTTGCCCTCCTATGGCCTCCTCCACGTCTCCTGATGTACTGGCCTGTCTCCTGGTAGCGCCTCCATGCTCTGGACACTACGCTGACAGACACAGCAAACCTTCTTGCCACAGCTCGCATTGATGTGCCATCCTGGTTGTAGACTCCGTCTCATGCTACCACTAGAGTGAAAGCACCGCCAGCATTCAAAAGTGACCAAAACATCAGCCAGGAAGCATAGGAACTGAGAAGTGGTCTGTGGTCACCACCTGCAGAACCACTTCTTTATTGGGGGTGTCTTGCTAATTGCCTATAATTTCCACCTGTTGTCTATTCCATTTGCACAACAGCATGTGAAATGTATTGTCAATCAGCGTTGCTTCCTAAGTGGACAGTTTGATTTCACAGAAGAGTGATTGACTTGGAGTTACATTGTGTTGTTTAAGTGTTCCCTTTATTTTTTTGAGCAGTGTATTATGCTCACTTAGCGGTGCTTCACAAGTAATACAACAAATGATCCATTACCAGTGTGATCATATACTTGTTTTTTTTTTTATGGTCTGAGAAGAACAACATTGGTAGGGCAATTCGAGCATATCCAATACGCAGTGATAATGTATTGGGCCTATAGGCTACTGCACAAACCTCATTGCTACATAACTGTTTTTAATTGGTTAATGTTTTATAGGCTTATGTTATTTAATTCATGATTTAAAATAAATCTGCGGTAGATCTCGGCTTGCATTTTGACTCAGAAAGTGATCTTGACTCAGAAAAGGTTGCTGACTACTGTACTAAATGGAGTGTCTCGGATTTACGTACAGAATAATACTAAATGCTCTGAGACCACGTTGCAACATACCACCCACTCAATCTGTTCATGCCCTACTAATGAGCCTGACACCGGCTGGTCATGTGAGTGGAGCTCAGTGCAGCAGCCTTTGGGATCCATTATAAGAAGCAGTGTGAAAGTCATGGGACAGGCACAGGTCAGCCTACTACTGCTGGCCTCTATTAAACCAAAAGGCTTAGTTATTCTATCGTTAGTTATGTTGACCTAGATTTTAGGACTGAGTGACGGATGTTGTTCATAGGGGCTTGATAATAATGAACCTGTAGACTGAGCTGCACTCCAATCATATCCAACCCTCATATCAGAGATCTCATTATCAACAGAGAAAGTAGCCTATAACCTAACATAAACAAATCAGAATTCATAAAATGGGTTACTTTTAGATAGGGATACACTTGACCCGAAGTGGCTATTTTACTTATGTAGAATAGATCTAATATTTAGTTTCTGCGTATGAGTTTTTGTCTGCTGGCTCAGAATATGAGCAGAGTAGCGACTTTGACACAATCACATGCGCACGCTGAATTACTGTGACCAACCGCAAACGTGTGACGTCGCATTATGTGCTCGGTCTTCGATACGGGACAGAAACTGGAAACGACGCATTATACTGCAATCCCATTGAAAAGTAAGGATTTTATCATAATATTTAATCAATCATTTTACAGATGTAAGTAGAAAACGGATTTATCTTGATTGTCTACACTGGTAAAACCACCCAGAAAGTAGGCTACGATGCGACTGCCAGTGCCTATAACTGTCAGTGATTCAACTGGATAGGCTACATTGTATCTACTCGTTCAACACATAATATGGAATTGGTTACAATTGTTTCTAACCCGATGCAAAGTGTAGCTGTTTTTTTAAAATTACGTTTAATTGCTTTCGATTTTAATTAGCCTAGTGGCCTATAGGCTATACAACCCATTGAACCCAATAGCCTATATGAGCATGTCAGACTGACTACTTAAGAATAGCCTCGGTCAAACACTATTATACAACCATAGTATCTGAAATCTCGGCTACATAAAAAATGGTTCATGTTATGCAGGCTTGTCGCTGTCACTTTATAGCTTGTAGCCGAGATTTCAGATACTATGGTTGTATAATAGTGTTTGACCGAGGCTATTCTTAAGTTGTCATTCGTGTTCAATCATGAAATAAGCAGCTCACAGAATTGTCTAATTAATAATCAGTTAAAATGATAAACTATGTGACCTCATATCTTGGTCATGGTTGACCCGCTAAATATAATTTCTGTGCAAATGGATGGCCAGCCTACATTCGGCTCCGGTGCCTGCCGAACCTGCTCTCCTATTGTAAACAACCTGCGCTCATGACGAAATGTGGCCTAGCCAATGCGTCAATGTGCACTGTAAGTAGTAGATATATTATAGCCCGCCCATGTGGTCGGATGGAGGATAAACCACAACTATTTATGTCTTTCAATCCTTACTTAGTTTTATGTAGCTTCAAGTGATGATATTATATGCAATCTGATAATGGTGCTTGTTTGAATATATGAAGGCTGCTATATGTGACTGTATGGCAGGTGTGTCCAACATTTCAGTCCCCACTACGGAGTGTGACAGACGCCAGGAGCAAGGATGTCATACGGGAGAACAGACAGCTACCACTCGCAGCCACGAGACTTCAGCAACCTCACCCAGACATGCAGTGTCAACATCCAGAAAATCACACAGAACAGTGAGTGGTGAAGAACAAGACAGTGACAGAACCCAGTGTTCTACTGCTGCGAGTGACACCTTGTTGCAATGCACATTTCCCTATATGGTATATTAAAGTAGGCATATTCTATTCTATAACCTACCCTAACACCATACTCCCACACTTTGGACAATTGAGTATCACAAATAAGTCTTGGAGGCTTGATGTTTTGGGTCTATTTGTGTCTTCCATCTATTTCTGATCTCCTCTCTTGAATGAACTAATATTAGGCAGAGATGTCTGAAGTCAAAAATAGGAACTTCTGAGACAAGAACAGCCTGAGTAGGTCTATAGTATAATGTATAGTGCTCTATTTAGAGAGAGAGAGAGAGAGAAAGAGGGATAAAGAGAGAGAAGTGTTGTTCTATCCTGCTTTCTCAGTTCCCCCTTCTCTTAGTTCAGCTCACCTCACAGTATTTGTTTTGCTATACAGCTGGGCAGATCAAAAACATGCTGTACCAGATGGGGACGAGACAAGAGACCCCAGAGCTGCAGGACAGACTGTGAGTACTACTGACACTACTGCTCAGTAACTAAGTAACTACTGACACTAACTGACTGCTTCAACACTTAGCCTTTTCCACCACTAATGGGGACAACAAGAGCATCACTAATGAAATATTTTAGTCATTTAGCAGACGCTCTTATCCAGAGCGACTAACAGTTGCATACATTTTTCATACTGGCCCCCCTGTGGGAATTGAACCCACAACCCTGGCGTTGCAAGCGCCATGCTCTACCAACTGAGCTACAGGAGGCCTATATACGTACTGCATGTGTGTGTGTGTGTGTTTGCTACTCACAGCCAACAGGTACAGCACTACACCAACCAGCTGGCCAAAGAGACCAACAGACACCTGAAAGAGCTGGGCTCCCTGCCTCTCCCTCCCTCAGAACAGGTGAGTGGGAGTTCTATGCATAGATACTGTATATTTCTATAGTTCTATGGAAGAGTTCCACATCTATGGACTGGTCCCAGATCTGTTTGTGTAAGCATATCTGGGACCAGGCTACATCAATGTCCTAACATTTTCAAACCAACTAACCGTATGTCGATAATCTCGTGTTCTGTTTCCTGATACAGTATATCATCTTATCTAACAAACCAAATGTGTAAATCATATATAACTCTGCTGAGGACATCTCACCATACAGTATATTCTACTGAATCTATTCTAT